GCACTTGCTTGTGTGTGGGCTGTGGAAAGGTGGAGAACCTACCTTTGGGGACACCGTTTTGTTCTACGCACGGACCACCAGGCCCTTACAACCCTGCTTACCTCGAAGGGAGCCGGACGTGCTGGACTGAGAATAGCCAGATGGTCTGCCCGCTTGCTTTGTTTCACCTATGACATTGCTTACCGCCCAGGTCATCTAAATGTGACTGCAGATTGCCTTTCTAGACTGCCACTGACTGATACAAACGAGGGCACGGATGAACCAGACATGATTGCTGCTGTATTTAAAGAGTCACTTTCTGCCATTTCTGTTTCAGACTTCACTACTGCCAGTGAAAGTTGCCCTGAACTAATAATGTTACGTCAGCAGATTGAGAGAGGCTGGTCCAAATCTAAGAAAGGTGTACCAGTTGAAATTGCACCATATTATCAGGTACGAGATGAACTTTCTGTACACGATTCACTTGTGATGAGAGGGACAGATCGTTTAGTCGTTCCTAGTGCACTCAGGGCCAGAGTTGTTGATTTGGCACATGAGGGACACCAAGGTATAGTCCGTACTAAACAGAGAATACGCGAGCTTTACTGGTGGCCTCAACTAGATAAACTAGTGCATAGTGTCATTTCCTCCTGTGTAAATTGCCAGTTCAGTGATAAAGTGGCTGTTACTGCTCCTGCACCACTTACACCAGTTGCACTCCCGAGTAAGCCATGGGAAAAAGTTGCAATAGACATAACGGGTCCATTTGAAAATGCTACATGGGACTGTCGTTATGCCATTGTACTTACAGACTACTACAGCAAATGGCCTGAGGTTGCGTTTGCCTCTACCGTCACGACAGATGTTATTCTTCGTTTTTTAGCCACAGTATTCAGTAGAGAGGGTAATCCAAGTTTCCTAGTCTCAGATAACGGGTGCCAGTTTACTTCACACGCATTTGCAAGTTTTCTGAGAGAGAGAGAGATACAGCACCTAAGATCTAGTGTGTATTATCCAAAAGCAAATGGTGCTGTTGAGCGATTTAATCGAGTACTGAAAGAATGCATACAGACAACAGAAAGAAGCCGTAGACCTTGGAAAGAAGCAGTTACTGAGTTTCTGCATAACTATAGAGCTACTCCGCATGCAACTACTGGTGCAACTCCATTTGAGCTTCTCCGTAACAGGAAAATGCGCACCAAACTAGACATTCTGCCAGTTGCAAATAAAAGTAAAACTCAGGCACAAATCCAAGAAACAGTGGAAAGAAAACAAAACAGAATGAAAGAATACACAGATATGAGAAGGGGAGCAAAAATACCTACCTTCAAAGTGAATGACTCTGTACGTGTTCGTAGACCAGAGCATGTTCCTAAAGGATCATCCAAATACACAGAACCACGGACTGTAATGAGGAAAGTCGGACAAAACACTTATCTCCTGAGTGATGGGCGCAAGTGGAATGCTTCTAAACTTGCTCACTTCCCAAAACAAGTGTTAACATCCATTGAACATGAACAAAATAATAATGTACTTGATTCTTTTGCAATGCCTGAAAATCAAAACTTACCTAATCCATCTCTTAGACGTAGCCAGCGGTCGAGAAACCCTCCTAGATGGTTGACAGGTTTTGTGAGAAGATGAAAGTCGGGAATTGCTCATTACGATGTAAAATAGTATTACAGTTCTAAATACTATTGTTTTTTTGTTTTATTTCAACTGATGTAAATGCGGTTAGAAATACATCTTACCGTTGGTAATATACTTTTATTTTGCTGTTTGCATACAGTACCAATGTTCCATTTGTAATAAGCAAATGTTTCAGAAAAGGGGAAATGTTGTGTTGCCTGCTATATTGTATGTAACCACCAGAGGGAGCTCACGTGCAAGGTAATACGGACGGTTGAGATTTTGAATGCTGGAAGAGAAGTAAAGGACGAACTGGAGCAACTACACGTCTCTGCCTGGTTAATTTATTTTTAATACTACAATACCACACATACCTGTTTCAGACCAAATACAACATTCTGAGAAGAACAATTTGAACTTTGGTTAGAACAAGTCCCAGTACCTATTATTAGTGATATTAACATTATCTGTTAAAGGGTTAACACAAAAGTATTTAGACTTTGATCGTTCTCTGTGCAGATTGTTGCCACTTACAATTATAGTAAATTACTCATCAGAGGCCAACACTACAGCCTCACCTTCACAAAGAGCAATTTGTTAAGACAGTATTCAAAATAGTCCAAAAACAAATTCAGTTTGAATTAACTGTATCAAGGAGGGAGAGACACATTCATTGGAGAATTTGGACTTTACTGAACTTGAGCTAGAAAATAAATATTTAGAGTGAACATTATTTTTGTTATTCATTAGTTTGTACTATATGCCAGTGTTAAGCTCTTTGATGGGAAGCTGAACTCAAGCACAAGGTGAAACTGGGAATGGTGTCCAATTTTCAAAGAATGCGAAAGTATGCAGTATTTAAATAAAACATAATCAACTTCATTGTAAAGTTGGGGCACACAACTTTAAAACATCAATATATTAGCAATGATACAAATGTTATGTTTGGTTCTCACACTATATACTTTCAGAGCCAGGTATTTTTCAAAAAAAGAAAAAAAGCATCACAAAAAGCTAAAGTGGCAACACTTGAGGACGTATTGATGGCGTAAACTTAAAGTAAATGTTTGTAACAGGCTCTTTGTGCTAATTCTGCTATCTGATTGGATGAGACAGACAGATATTCATGAAATTATAAAAACAAAGTCGGTTTTAATCAAAAGTACTACATTTTCATGTCATTTTTGCTCTGTTTGAGTCCGTGTGAACCAGAAAACGATTAATCGATTACTAAAATAGTTGTCGACTATTTCAATAATCGATTAGTCGTCGATTAATTGTTTCAGCCCTAATGATTTCCAATATCTCAGCAATTTGTTAATGAGAAAAAACAAAGATTAAAAAAACAGTGCTGTTTTTGTGCGCAGTAATCCCAGGTTGTGGGAAACATAAGAGTGCAGCAAGCACAGAGCCTAAAACTCACTGAATGAAAACATCCAGGTCACAGACTGCATTCTTTTACTGTGGATTGTCATCAAAAGGTAACATGTTAATAACACTATAGATAAATAACGCATAGTACTTATTTTGTGCAATCTAGGGACACTCATTGCTGTAATTTTAAAGGTCCAGTTTTACTTTTCAGTCAAAGCTGTTATTCACCAGAAATGTTCTATTTTCTGTCATTAAAGAATATACAGTGGTTAATGCTGATGCTTCAAAGCAAGATCAGATGTGTCTAGTATGTTCTCCCTATGTCCGCATCATAGACTGTAAATATTAATTAATATCTGCGTAGGTTAGCTATCTGTGCTAGCTTGCCCAACCACGTTTTTGAAATGGGGTGATCTTATCTATACCATATTCAATTATTTCTTGAGAAGGACCTGTTACCATGGAGACATGACTATCAAGTTTAACAATAATAATATTTATGCATTGGTTTTATATAGCTCTTTTTTAGACACTAAAAAGACGCTTTACATGTCATTATTCATTCAATCCATACACGGTGGTGATACATTACTACAGTAGCCACAGCTGCCCTGGGGCACACTGACAGTTTAAAGACACTGTAACACTTCCAAGACACCACAAAAGTTTCACCTTTAAAAAGTTTGCCCCAAAACAACACAAGCACCCATAGTAATACAGTCTTCATGTCCCCTCAGAACATAGAAACTTTATTCTAGTCCTTTTCATCTTGTTTCTTTGGCACTTCTGAGTTCAGCTGGTTAGTTGGAGTTGCTTCTTTCGGTGTTAGTAATGGTTCAAAAGATGGTTTGTAAATATAAAAGCCTCCAGCCACTCCAAGCAGTGTGGCAAAAACCACTTGGGTAAAAGGTATTCTTATCCTGTGTCGAATCATCACTTCAATGCAAATTCAAGCGTGGTCCTGCAAAAAACACACAAAACATACAAATTCAACATCTGTACATTCAACTTAAAAAAAACAAAAAAAGACACAGAACTCTCTCTGTGTTTAAAACACAGAAAGAGTATTATTCTGGTGTCAGAAAACCCTCTGCCTTTGAGTGTGGAGACTTCTGACGGATCATAATTCTAACTTCTGTTTAGATCGTATGATCGCATAAGCCAATACTTATAATAATCTTAATATATACAGACTATGATAATAATCCTTTCCATAGAGCTGATAAGACACGATGTATATGGGAAGGCAGGCTAAAACTAAATACATTTTTAAATGTAGTAAATTAAATATACAAAAGAAAACCAAAATAAAGACTTCACGTGAGATCAAATTAAATCTAAATGATCCATATATTTAATATGGTTTATTTTGAAAGACTTGCCTGTGTGTCACATGTCTCGCTTGTGGATAAACAGTTTATACAATTAAGTTTTAATTTCGAAACATCATTATGAACTTCATAAGTGCTGCACCGGTGAGTTCCTTACCGCAGCCCGGGCTTCACTCTCGATCCCGCGGCAGACTGAAAGATAGAAAGGACGATTACAAAACAGAAGCCTTTGACCGAAGCAAAACCGGAAACAGTCTGTCTGAGAGCGCCATCTGCTGGTGGACGTTTGCATCAGACCTGTGTTTGTTTTTATATTTACTTAAGTCAATTGCTCACCCAGTCTTAAGCCCACTCGATATTATCATTATAATTAAAAAGTAAACCTTATAATTAATACAACTTTAAAGACATTTGCTTCGAAAATGACACCGGAAATCGAGACTGTGGAGGAAAAGTGACGCTGCGCCTGCGCTGGATGAAGTTAAATCGCTGTGTCCATCTTCATAGTTTTTATACTTTATCAAGCTTTTAGAAATCAAATAGAAGCGAGCTAAAGAGGTGTGAAGACTTTATAATAGTTTTCACTGCGGTTCAATCTCAGTGAACGTGTTCTTTTCAAACTCGCTTGATGATACTAGTGTTGAGGTTCTATTGACAGGTGGCAGAGACAGCAGTGATGTCCCAACAATGGACAACATCCGAGCACGTTTCAAGTTTGGGAGTAAGGCCGAAGATGTGAAATTAAGAAAACGAAAATCTCAACTTTATAACACAAATGATCCTGTATGCCCTCTCAACTGTGAGTGTCTTGTTTTAAATGTACAGTAAATGTATCTTTCCCGTGGTGATTTGACCGTACTGTATTTTGACTGTCTGTACCTGTTTGTATCATAGACTGTAAATATGATCTGTATTTTACAACAGGTGCGCTGGGATTCTGGTTGGCCCTGTTTGTTGTGACTTTTAGACTTGTCAACTGCTTCCTGGTTCAGACTAGCTTTGTCCCAGATGAGTATTGGCAGTCACTGGAGATCTCGCATCATATGGTCTTCAAATATCCTTTCTGCAGGATCTATACACACTGAACAGAAATACCAAATCACTTCACTTCAGCTTTTTCAGCATTAAATTGAGTTAGTTTTGTGTACCAGGTTTAAACAACAAATCAATTGATTGTCCAAACAGCAATTTCTTGCTACTATATTTGTAAATTCCATATTAGATATTCAAACAAGTCATTTATCAAATAAAAGTATTATTTATTTTGTCTGATAGAAAGAGACAAGGTTGCACTCTCCAGGATCCACAGAACTGACAGGCGCTCTCCAGAATGAATCCAAATACAATGAAACAAAAGGCTCTTACGTGCGCTCAAAATAACGATACAAGGAACACTGTAGTAAAAGTTCTTCATTACACGGACATGCCTACACGCTACAACACAAACGCTTCTTCATCAGTGACATTATGATTCTTGATTCAGCATCTGATAAATCAATGCACTTTAGAACAACAACAACAACAACAGTAAAAAATCCACATTAACTGGGATTTTGGTTTATGAAGAGAACGACTAGAAACACATTTGTCCAGTCTCCTGAGCTCATCATTGCATCATATGTTTGCTTAGTACTGCATTGTTAGTTGATACTTGCTGTTACCCGAGTAAAGTGTGGTTTCCTTAATAGTGATACTTATGGGTACATGACCTGGGAATGGAAAGAAGGCATCAGAGGATATTCCTATCCTCTCCTGTTTGCATTTGTTTACAAAATATTGTTTTATATTAATTATGACTCCGTCTATTTGCTTGTAAGTTATGAACATGTTTTTCAGCACTCTGTTTGTATGGTTTGGTTTCTGCATATTGTTTTGACTTTCAGAAATGGCTGCCACGAATCCTCCAAACCCTTTTGGCAGCTCTAGCAGATATCAAATATTTTTTTGTTATTGGAAATTTGGAAAGCAAAGATACTGCTAAATGGACGGTAACATTCTGCTCACTTACATCCAGTTATTCTCCTGCAAGACAATGCAATGTTTATTTTCAACATGTCTTTCTTAGTTCATTTGCCACCTCTCTTCCTGGTTTACGTGGTATTGTTGCACCAGGACCTTGACCAACAGCATGGAGACAACACTCTCCACTTTAGCCTTGTGTTACTTTCCTCTTCCAGGATCCACATCTCAGAGCAGGTGTCACCATCGAAATTAAACTTTTACAGTATTTTTATTTTTTATTTTTTATGATGTGATTAATTACAACAGCTGGAAATATCTTACCCTGGTTGCCTTGGCTGTACTTGTGCGTCCAACTGCGTTGATTGTCTGGTTCCCTTTGCTGCTCTACCATTTCTTCCAAGAAGAAAACAAACTCAAACTTGTTATCCAGCGCTACGCACTCGTAGGGTCAGTGTTGTGGTTCACTTCTCACATTTACCGTTACTTTTCCCACTGTACTTATCACTGTACTCTTTTAGAGCCGTGGCATTTCTGATCTCTACCATGATTGACTGCCTATTCTACGGCAAGGTAAGGTATACGAATACTTATTGCAGCACTCACCAGCTGTTTTACTGCTGTATATAATAAAACAAACAAACTTAGTGAAAAAATAGTTGCATGCATGACTTATCACAATCAAATCAAAATTGTGGTCCCAATAAACAAATAGCAATGACTGCAAATACTCTGTGACAACAAAAAGGGACTAAATTTAAAATGTCTCTCGCTTGACTTGATTATATTTTGGGCGAAGCCATATCTTTTCTGTCCAAATGAACGTCTCATCTTTTTCATTATATAACCAACAGTTGGAGAAATCTTTCTCTTAAAGTCTTTCTACATGAATTATGTTAGAAAACACTAAAGATTTTTTTTTTTACTTGAAAAAAAAAGTGTTTAGTGTAGGTTAGAACCATAACTCAACATACAATTTTAATTACAGTGGGGAGAACAAGTATTTGATACACTGCTGATTTTTCAGGTTTATCCACTTGCAAATCAAGAAGAAGTCTGTAATTTCTATCATAGGTACTCTTCAACTGTGAGTGATGGAATATAAAACAAAAATCCAGAAAATCACAGTAGGTGATTTGTAAATAATTAATTTGTATTTTATTGCATGAAATAAGTATTTGATCATCTACCAACCAGTAAGAAGTTTGGCTCTCACAGACCTGCTACTTCTTCTTTAAGAAGCCTCCCTGTTCTCCACTCATTACCTGTATTAATGGCACCTGTTTGAACTTGTTATCTGTATAAAAGACACATGTCCACACTCTCAATAAGTCAGACTCCAAAATCCACTATGGCCAAGACCAGAGAGCTGTGTAAGGAGGTCAGAGATACATTTGTAGACCTGCACAATGCTGGAATGGGCTACAGGACAATAGGCAAGCAGCTTGGTGAGAAGGGAACAACTGTTGGTGCAATTATTAGAAAATGGAAGAAATTTAAGACAACGGTCAATCTCCCTCGGTCTGGGGCGCCATGCAAGATCTCACCTCGTGGGGCATCAATGATCATGAGAAAGGTGAGAAATGAGCCCAGGACTACACGGCAGGACCTGGTCAATGACCTGAATAGAGCTGGGACCACAGTCTCGAAGAAAACCATCAGTAACGCACTACGCCGTCAAGGATTAAAATCCTGCAGTGCACGCAAGGTGCCCTTGCTCAAGCCAAAGCATGTCTAGGCCCGTCTGAAATTTGCAAATGACTATCTGGATGATCCAGAGGAGGAATGGGAGAAGGTCATGTGGTCTGATGAGACAAAAATAGAACTTTTTGGTTTAAACTCCACTCGTCGTGTTTGGAGGAAGAAGAATGATGAGTACAACCCCAAGAACACCATCCCAACCGTGAAGCATGGCGGTGGAAACATTATTCTTTGGGGATGCTTTTCTGCAAAGGGGACAGGGCGACTGCACCGTGTTGAGGGAAGGATGGATTGGGCCATGTATCGTGAGATCTTGGCCAACAACCTCCTCCCCTCAGTAAGAGCACTGAAGATGGGTCGTGGCTGGGTCTTTCAGCATGACAACGACCCAAAACACACAGCCAGGGCAACCAAGGAGTGGCTCCGTAAGAAACATCTCAAGGTCCTGGAGTGGCCTAGCCAGTCTCCAGACCTGAATCCAATTGAAAATCTTTGGAGGGAGCTTAAAGTCTGTGTGGCCCAGCGACAGCCTCGAAACCTGAAGGCTCTAGAGGAGATCTGTTTGGAGGAGTGGGCCAAAATCCCTACTGCAGTGTGTGCAAACCTGGTCAAAAACTACAGGAAACGTCTGATCTCTGTAAATGCAAACAAAGGTTTCAGCACCAAATATTAAGTTCTGTTTTTCTGATGTATCAAATACTTATTTCATGCAATAAAATGGAAATTAATTATTCAAAAATCATCTATTGTGATTTTCTGGATTTTTGTTTTACATTCCATCACTCACAGTTGAAGAGTACCTATGATAGAAATTACAGACTTCTACATGCTTTGCAAGTGGGAAAATCTGAAAAATCAGCAGTGTATCAAATACTTGTTCTCCCCACTGTATGTGTTGAAATTGTGCATTAGACATACAAGATATTTATTTAAAAAAAATATTTAAAAAAATATATATATTTCTGTCATGAATTTTGAAATAAGACATTTTGCCAATTTTTGTACAGTGGACGTTTGTACAGTTCAATTTTATAAAGATGAACATCTTCCATGGCGTCGCAGACTTCTATGGCTCCCATCCCTGGCATTGGTACTTCACTCAGGGCTTCCCTGCGGTGATAGGGCCACATCTTCCCCTGTTTCTTCATGGTTCCACAGTTGCCTTCAGACGCTACAAGATCCTCCTGGCCACCATTACCTGGACGCTAATAGTCTACAGGTGATTTTGGAACAGTTTGGTTCTGTTCAGTAAAATGCAAAGTCTGTACATTTTCTTTTTGACTGTGAATTGCATTTTAGTTGAAGGGCAGGTGCCAATACAACTCTATGGGAAAGAAGCGTGTTAAATGTTCAATTGTTAATAATTGTGACTAGATTCACACACTTTTTGTATTATTATATCTCAAGTAATTTCTAGGGGCCAACATCATGCATGTTTTTAAAAAACATTTTCACCATTTCCAGAAAATCTTTTAGAAAATATTGTACTGACAAATGTGCAACTTTGTCACTTTTTGCTTCATGTGGATTGGCACAGGAATTAGAGATTAACTTTAAACTAAGACTAGAAAGTTGACTTCTGACAGTTACCATATTTATCAGGAAAGTATTTTCACCTGCTCTCCACAATTTTAAACTATCTTTGGAATGTTGTCACATGAATGCAACATATTAATTTCCTACAGCCTTCTACCTCACAAGGAATTCAGGTTCATCTACCCTGTCCTGCCGTTATGTATGATCTTTTGCGGTAAGCTCTCCACAAACTTTCAAAATACTAATGTAAACAATCTCATGCATGAACATTTTTATTGACAGGTATTTCATTGGCGGGTTTGAAAGTATGGCAGCGCACTGTGGCTGTGTTCCTGGTGGTGTCCAACTTGTTGCCAGCGCTGTACACTGGTTTAATCCACCAGAGAGGAACCCTTGATGTCATGGGACACTTACAGAGTCTTTGTGATCTCCATGAAAACAATTTGCAACCAAATGTTCTCTTCCTTATGCCCTGCCACTCCACACCATATTACAGGTACCTATGCGAAAATATTTTTCTCTGTATAGAATGTGAATTATTTTTCTCTTGGCAGTCACCTACACTGTCCGATAAATATGAGATTTCTTGAATGCCCCCCAAACCTTGGAGATGGATATGTAGATGAGTCTGCCATATTTTATGACAACCCTCTTCAGTGGCTGAGGGCTTCTTTTCCATACAAGTCTTCACTGCCCAGCCATATAATTATGTTTGATGTCTTAGAAAAGGTAAGCCCAATATGTTCAATAAATTCATTCCACTCAATAAAACGTAAAGCTCACACTTTTTCTTTTGTAGGATATAGTTACATTTTTACATGGAAATAACTTTTTGAAGACAGCTGAAGTCTTTCACACACATTTTGCTGAAGGAAGAGTCGGAAGAAGCATCTTTATTTATGAAAGGCACTGATGAACATGGTCATTTAATAAATATTGAAAAACATACTTTTTTGAATTGAAAGTGCATTTGTGTTTTTGCCATAAACCACAGGAGTGGACTAGTGTAATGGCAGTTGAATGCTAATGTCAATCGTAGTGTTTGTCTTTTCGAAAAATAAGCTGATTAGAGCTAGCTGGAACAGGCTAGCTCAAGCCAGTTTAGAAATCTGGAGCCAACTTTGGGAATGGCAATGACCCAGCAACCACAATTCTTACATGCCAGCTAAAGCCAAATTCGGGGACAGAAAGCACCTGATTGGTCAGTTGTTAAAGAGTTTATATATCTGGATTTAGCGAGGAACAAAAAACAGTGTGACGCAAAGTAAGCTTATTTTACTCAGTAAGTGAATTGGGAGCCAAAGCGAGTAGGAGCAAAACTTTGTTAATGAGTACTTAACCTAAAGGGTTTGCATTATCCATTCCTATTCAAATTCCTATAATTATTACATAAAAGAACTTTAATTACAACGAGATGTTAAAAATTACATTAAAACTATAAACAACAAACACCACAAACTAATCTTAACAGTGGATACAATGATTGTAAAACAGTGAATGAAAAAAATATTTCCAGGAGGAAAATGAGTGAATTTAAAATTAAAACAATGGAAAATAAAAGTGTAAATGTCTAAAGGAGTGAATTTTGTATTCATATTTAAGCATGGGTCCCATTTTCCATCTTTGTAAGTCCGATACACTTGCAGTCACCATTGTAAATCCTGTGCTGGGGTTTGGTCCACCGTGTGCACAGACACGCTATTGCAATCTGAAGGCCTTACCTTGGTCTTGAGTTTTGAGAGTATGCATCACCAAAGAAGTGTCTGTAGATATAATCATCAAGATCTTCAAAAAAATCTTCGTTCAGCCCTTGGTGCTTGTAAAGATCGGTCAGATAGTCCTCGAGGTCATTAACAAAGTCTGCAAACAGCATTTGGTCATGAATGAAAAGGCCATTGTGAAAGAAGTTATTGATGAAAATCTCCAGCTTTTTCCAGTGTGGGAAGTAGTCAAACTCTTTCTGAAGGTAGCTCTGCAGCAGCTGGTGGAACTCATCTGCTCGAATGGGATCCGCAGCTTTGTTAAAGAGACTCATAAACTCCTGATAGGCGCAGTCGAACACCTCAGAGCAACTTTGTGGCTTAAACTTCTTGTGAACTTCATCTTCAGAATTTCTAGAGAAGTGGTTACTTCGAAGGAAGTCAAAATTGAACTTGAGTGTTTTTTTGGTTGGTTTTCCTGATCTGCGCTTCCCCGTCTCATCTTCTTTTCTGTCATTGCGTTTCCTGTCATAAAAACCTTGTGCTTTGTTTAAGATGGTAGATGCTGAATCCTTAAAGTTCCTAAAAGTGGATTTGAGTGATTCAGAAAACTTCCTGAGGTTCTCTTTAACTGCAACTTTTGCCTCCTCAATCTTCTTCTTGTGATGACGAACAAACTCTTTTGTAGAGTTCTTCATAGTATCAAATGTTTCTTTCACTTTTCCCGCTGGGCCTTGCTTGGATTTTGACGTCCTTTTAGTCTCCTCATCTCCTTTCGCCCTCTCTTTAGTTTCCAGGTACAGCCGCTCCCACATGTCAGACCGCTGCTGCTCGAAGCTCAACCGTCCTTCCAGCTCAACCAGGCGAGATTCCAGGTCCTTTGTTTCTTCCGCTTCGTCGATCTGTTGTTGAAGTTGGTCAATTTCTCCTCTCAACTTATCAGTCACTGTGCGCTCGTGGTCTAGTTTCTCTCTCAGCATCTTTGCGTCATTCATCAAAGCCTCTCTCTTTGCACTGAAGCTGCGGGTCCCATCCTTCTCCTGCTCCAGTTCAGCCTTCAGTCGTTTGTTTTCAGACTGGAGTGAATCTCCTCTGGCTTTCACGGCCTCCAAATTGATCACAGCCATGCGCAGGGTTTTGAGGTCTTCCACTAAAACAGATCGGGATATTCCCTCTTCCTCCAGTGCCTGTAAGAGCTCATGGTTCTCCTCCAGCAGACTCTGGTGCTGGGATTCCATATGTCTTTTCTCTTCAGCCATTTCCTTGAGCAGCAACTCAAGCTCATTCCTCTGATCCTGGGTGAGGAGAAACATGTAAGTATGAGGTCTTACTGGCCACATTAAATTGAACATGTGGCCAGTAAAATGTATAGTTAATAATTGTTAGCGCAAACAATGTAGTTGGTTCAAGGAAATTATCTAATTGGTAATATTACAAATAAATATTTAACTTGCATAGAGTAATTTAAAAACGTACTTGTATTTGTGCATATCGTAAGCCAAGGTCGTCATTGTCTTTTATCATCTTGTAAATGGCTTCTGAAAACACTGAAATGGCCTTTGGAAAATCCAGCTCATTCAGGCTCAGATGCGTTTTCTACAGAATATTAATACAGCCATAAGAAAATCATGTACTGTTAAAAAAAATCTGTTACTGACCTGTTCTCCGGTCTGAAAGAGAAGGTCTCTCAATTCATCCAGCTGATTCAGAGAAACTTCATCCACTATGGTTTTCCTTGTCTGGGTTTGATTTGTGCCTATTTTCAAAATCCAAGACATGACAATATTACAACTAAACAATTCTGAAACAGGAAGGGAAATGGCTGCAGATAAATTCACTCTTACTATAGAAGCGTCCAAAGCCGGTGCTAAACGCTATAACGAGAGTCAGTATTGCGCATGCTGTGAGGATGCCTTGGCCCCGTGGTTTGGCCTCAGTCTGCTCCTGGCCACTCATCACTGACTCACTTGGGTCCATCACCTTTACGGTTGTCAAAAGTAAGGAACATCAGTTATCAATCAATACTAAAATTAGTATTAAAACTAGATACTAAATTTGAGAAAGTATCAATACTAATTAACTTTTATTTATATTCACATTTATGAACTGTCCTCATAAATATCAGTTATCAATATTCCATGGTCAGTGAGGATTCCAATGAAAACTACCGTTGATTAATACTGACATGTTATAGGTTGAAGTGGAGGAGTTAAAAGTATCTCGGGGTCTTCACCAGTGAGGGAAGGATGCAGTGTAAGCCATAATGCGGTGGTGGTTTCAGACTGTTGTGGTGAAGTTGGAGCTGAGCCGAAAGGCAAAGCTCTCAGTTCACCGGTCAATCCCACTCACCCTCATGAGCTTTGGGTAATGGGAAAGGACGAGATCATGGATACAAGCCGTTAAAATTACTGACTTGGGCACTCACTTAGAGATAAAGGTGAAGTGCTCAGTCGCCAGCTGAGGTCGCTCTGGCATCTGTTTTGGATGCCTCCTGTAAGCGTCCCTGGGAAGGTGTTCCAGGCACGTCCCACAGGGAGGAGACCCTAGGGGAAAACCCAGGACACGTTGGAGGGACTAAGTGCTGGACTCCTCCAGCCGCGTCTCTGTTTACGTGTGTAGGCTGCAGCCCGTCAGACGTCCGTAAAACGGAATAGTGGCCACACCGGCTTCAGCAGCGGGCAGCTCTGGTTGTGCGTTTATCAGCCCCATGATGCTTTGTTTAAATAGAAGAAGCGGTGTGTGATTTGCATGAGCTGTGGCTATGATCTATGCAAAGCACGCCATATTGAAACATCGCGGACGTTGCGATGGATGAGGCAAGACTTATTGAAAGCAATTGGAAAAAGGGGAGAGAGAAAAGAACTCCAACAAATCCAGGCTTTTTGGAAAGCAAGTCAATATTAACATTACGCGAAAAATAAATGGTAGAAATATGATCAGGAAACAATTATTTCAATTTAATACATGAAAATAAATTACACAAATTTGTTAATAATCATTGTCATTTACAAACACTTATAACCAAGGACTACAGCATATATCAATACATGTTTAGTAACGTGGTAAATATATTTTTCCATTGTATTTTCACTGGAAACCAGACCAGACACGCGTCGACGTATGTAAAAAATAAGATTGTTTCTATTTTGTCCGTCCGCATCCGTAACACCCTGCGTGGACAGACTGCTCCCTACGCGCGTCATAAGGACGCATGTCGCAGGCAGTGGAGCCACTTCCATTCACCCTCATGGAGAAAACGGAAACAGAGATGAAACGGACACGTTTGGACAGACATGTTGGGACGAATACGTAGTACGTTTTATGCAGCCGGTGGAGTCGGGGCCTAAGTCTCTCCACTGACCAGGATTACTCCGGAGGAGCTGGAGGAAGTGTGTGGACAGGGAAGACTGGGTGTCTCTACATAGACAGCTGCCTCTGTGACCCAGCAATGGATAAAGCTCAAGAAAATGGATGGATGGACATGGCATTGCTAAATAAATAAACTAAAAATTTTATACATCTTGTGGTAGCATAAAATGTGCATTAAAAATTAAGTTAAATTAAAATTATGAGTCAAGTATTTCATAATTGAAATAAAGTTTGAGATGTAGTATAATGACCACACACCTCCTGCGCTGGCTCAGTGTTGGGGGTGTTTCGTCTGACACGGCGTCTTCGGACCGCAACCCCCGAGCTCAGGTCGGGTTCATCCTCGCTGCTGCTCGGCAAACCCAGCGTCTGCACCGGGAGGACTGTGGAAAGGAGATTAAACTATTGAGTTTCATGAACGGAAATGAAAAACAATTGTGTTGGGGACATTCAAGTGTGATGATTATCGTCAAGTCAAAATCAATAGATTTTTCCTTATTTAACAGAAACAAAAAACAAGTTAATCAAATGCAAATGGATTAGTTCAATGGTTCTCAAATGAACATTTTCTTTGATAAATGTTTATCTAGTTCAGGGGTCTCTGACCTTTTTTGATTGGAGAGCTACTCCTTTAGCAGCAGTAATGCAATTATAGTCTATATAATAACTACATCTAATCACGGAGAAAACATATGCATAATATTCCATTATACCGTATGTATCCCTGCATTAAAGAAATTTGTATAGTTGAAATAGATGTAATGACTCAGAAGTGAATCAGGATCATGTGTTAAATTCTTGAATCCTTTGGGGAGCTACCTGGAAGGAGGTGGCGAGCCACAGGTAGATCCTAAGCCACAGGTTGGAAACCCTTGATCTAGTTAAACTAAAACTACAATTTAGTCTAGGTAAACACAACTCTTTAAATCCTATTTTTATTCTTCTGGCACGTGTTAAATTTGAGAACCACAATTTTATTAGATGCCTCATTGGCACATGCTTAGAATTTAATATTTTATACTTTTTTAGTAAATGAAGTGCTAATCATAAGAAAACTAATGGTTATTACATTATAATGCACATGCAAATCTGTGCCACTTTTTAAAACTCTTTTGTGCAATGCCAAATTGATGCGGTGATGCATTGCAGTAGATCCTGACGTTGCACCTGGAAGAGAGCAACTTCCATGGTTTGGAGTCTTCAGGTGTTTTCTGAACTTAAGGAGAGTCCGTTTCCATTGCGTCATCATCAGGCCTGATTTGCAAATTGCAACACAATGGAACATATTATATGGAGTGGATTTAGTTTTAGAGCATGCTTCTCAAACTTCGGTACTTGAGGTAATATATTTTACTTTAGAGTCATTTTATAGTAGAATATCCTTTGTGCTAATCCCAATTAAGAACGATTGAGACAGTGTCGTGGTCTTGTTTCAGACCCTCAGAAGGCAAATATGGGAGAACTCCTTAGTACTCCTTACACCCAACTACCTGTACTTTCTACTTATTACATTTAAAAATGAAGAGTTCATTTTCAGATGGCGGCAGGACAGGAAAAGGTTGGCATGAGTTTTCCATGTTTTTTTTTTTTTTGTGGTAGATAATGGGGATAATTGGAGCAGTGCTGTACCGGTCTGTGCCGAGGTGAATGTGTACTGGCTGCTACAGGACATTCCGAGATAAAGGTCATCAGAGGCCTCCGCGGACACCAGCTCGTCGTCTTTTATGTCTCCAAATGTCAAAATGTCTGAGTGATCACTGGATGACAACACGGAAACATGTTCGTTGGTGGCAGCATCTATTCCGGTCTATGCAAGAAAAGAAGTAAGAACAGGCTAAATATTTAACAAGTGTGATGTAACATTAGATCTTTTAGATTATGCACCTCTGGTGGATCAGGATCAGGAACTTTTTCTGTATCAACCAGAGTATCCTCGAGTACATCTTCTTTTAATTCCACATGATCACCTTTAACATAATAATACATTAGCTCATAAAACCTACTGTAAGTGGATATTACTTCATCATTGCCCACCATCAGGTAATTCAACTTTCTGAGGTACAGGGATGACTAAAGAAGATTCTACTTCCTCAGTTCCCAATGTCTCAATATCTGAACCCTGAAACAAGCAAAGAAGAAAATAAACCACAAGCTTTAGTCGTGAACCATGTGTAATACTGCATAAACACAACACGATGAAAACACAATACCTCATTACTGATGAAAGTCCATCCACACGAGGACTCTGTATCACTTCCAGACATTTTTCTCAGTTATCTACATGAAAATGATATGTAATAGATATAAAATAAGCAAACATTGTCTCATCTAAAGCCGGATATCTGTTCTGCTTTAAATGTTTGATTCAATATTTATATTATTGAACATGGGATACTATGTTCAATATTAGGGATGGCTCCATAGTGCCCTCCAGTGATGATGGACTAGAACAATATTAATTATAAATCGAAGACAAGAACACACACACAATGACATACCTTCGTTTTGCCATACTTAGTAAGGCCATAATAATACCCTTACTAAGTATTTCAAGTGGCACTAAACAGATTTATCTGCGTGACTATTCTAACGAGCTGCTCGTGGTTCGCGTCATGTTTTCATCAGTGACCCATTTAGCACAAATACTCACCATGAGCTGCTTCCCGGCGGTGCAAGTACGCCTTTGTTTCCAAGCAGTTGTTCAAAAGTGGGATTAAAACAATGAAGAAACGGAGTTAGTGAGGAGGACAGCTGTTTGCAGGCTCCACCATAATTATGAAGTAAGCCGAAGTTGTGAGGGAGCACATGGGAACTGTAGTTTACACAAACAATGCAACAGAGCGAACTACCGCTGAGTGAAACTACGTTACCCATGAGGCAATGCGATAGTCAGGCAGGTTTTGCAAGGGTAGTGAAACCCTGTAGAAAAACATAAACAAGGAAGCGTGACAGGGCCGCCCCATGGATGTATTATATTAACTGGATAGGGTATTACTAGCTTGTAGCTGAATAACTCACGTGCTCAGGGGATTCTCGCGGTACTGCAGACTGAACCAGACTAAATTCACGTGGGCCACCCAGAAATTTTCCCCATAGAACTCAATGCATATTAAAACAGCTCAACCTCAGCTGACAGAGAACCTACAGCTTTAATAAAGATCGGATTTTGTGGGGATTTTAGTGTCCCTTGTCATCCTGAACTTTTTTTCTTCTTAAATCCTTCGGTTTTGTTTAAATCCACACTTTAGTGCCACAAACTCTGCTCCTCTGGCTCTCGCTCTAACTCCCGCTCTGATGAACTGCTCTGATTGGTCAGAGCGCGGCCGAGCCCCTCTGTGCACGTGCGTGAGACCCGGTGTGAGACCCACACACGCGTGTTTGGCGCAACGCATTATGGGAGATCATCCACTGCGCAGAACCGGGAGGACCAGACGATGCCCAAATACAGGCGAGTTTCCCATAGATCTTTGCGAGTTTCAGGCAACTTCCGCTAATCTTTCAGCCCCCATGCTGTCACAAAGCGCCACTGAGCACAACCATTCATTTGAATAGGGCGCCATCTTGGATCGCCGGGGCTTGGGCCGCCCATGGATAATAACTGTTTTGTATTGTCAGGATGTACACAGACTCTGTGTATTATTATCGTCTATGTGGAAACTACTAACTGGGGAGTTTGTACATCGATGTAAAATCATAATTAAATAGATTAGCAATTAGCAAGATTCATGCTGCTAAAATCTGGAATAATCTCCCTGAAGATGTGAGACAGGCCTCCTCTCTGACAATGTTTAAAACCAGGTTAAAAACGGTTCTGTTTAGCTGTGCATACAACTGATGGATTTTATATTTTTATCCTTCTTTTTAATGTACTGTGATTATTTATGATTTTAATGGTTTCTTGTTTTGTTCAGCACTTTGAGTTGCCTTGTGTATGAATTGTGCTATACAAATAAACTTGCCTTGCCTTGCCAATTGACATCAACTGAGCGTAGATCGTTTGCATTATTTTCCTTTTGACCGCTAGATGTCAGATTGGGTCTGGAGTTTATCCCTCCCCGTCATGGTAATAACGTAGACTGTTTGTACATACTTTTTTATATTGAATACTCAAATGGTCTAGAATCACAAAAATAATAATGATCTGTAACTTTTAAAACTGTAATTGCTGTTTATAGAAATGTTGTGATTTCAGTATGTTTGCGTGATTCCCAGCCCTAAAATAACGTCAATAGAAAATACAAAATACATCACCAGAGTATCTGTGGTGACCATGATAATTAACTGTTGATACTAAGTTACCATTAATGAAAGCTGAAGGCATGTGCCCATGTGGTTGAATGGGGGATTTCCTTGATAAAAGAAATGAGTTTTTTCTTTATATAGATAAAATATCCCTCAATTTTGCTCTTAATATTTCAACATTTTATTTCAGACATTAGAGTCAATAAAACGCCAGCGACAAAGACAATGAGATACATTTGTTGCAGTTTTTATTTTCACTTTTATTAGCATTTAGACTTGAGAATCACATTTTTATCTAACATCTTCTAAATATTTCTGGACAAAATGTTTTTAACGTCAAATAAAAATAATAAAAAGCGTTAATAATTACAAAATACATTCATTTTCAGAAGCCTGCTTCCTCCATTGAGGCTGTGGGTCTCCCTGAGTAAAACTGCAATTAACCTTCAGCACTCAACCAGCTGCACGAGGAGAGACGGACCATTATCTATGCAAACATATGATTTCCCCTTTACATTACTGGGACAAGAACTCTGACCAGCACAAAGGATGAAATACAGCTGGACAACATCCCAGGATCTCACAAACACAACATTGTTGTATTTCACAAGTGCATGAAGTGGACAAACTTCATGCACTTGTGTTCTCGGCTTGAAGACGTGAGTCAGAATCATGTGAAGCCAAAATGACCGATTTGTTCAGACAATTTCAGCCTTTTTGATTCCGAACAGTGCCTTCAAAGCCCCTGGTTACTGGAAATAGAACAGGAATACTGATATGTATTTTCCTTTTGGAGAAAAAAGCAAAGAATATATACTGTATAAAACCATTCACGAGTCTGACAAATTATGAGAAAAAGGAGCATTTATATTATCTTAGTACCATTTCAAATTCTGCTTACATTTTGTACAATATGTTTGCATTTCATCATTGCTTCCAGGAATCATGACATCTCGCGCCAATATGCAACGGTGACCCTAAAAATAATCTTTGGTTTTCTGTTTGCTTTTCAAAGAAAGTTCAACTGATTGTGTCACCTGATTGAATCCTCTCCAGAACCCTCTGATTAGAAACAGCTATGGGAAAACACTGACGCGTTTAAGAAACACCTGAAATAAAAGTAATACTGCATTTTCATTGTGTTCAAGGCATTTGTGTGAATATATTAACATTATTGTAAATTCAGGACTAGTGTTTCATAGCTGCACTGTTGCTCCACAGGTTACTGCATAATAAATTGTATACCTCTATATAATATTCACTTACAACATAGACATCTGCGTGCAACAGCGTGGAGGGAACTGACAGATCGATTTGGTTTGGTGCATAACACTGATTATTGTCACTCCATCTTCATCAAGTGCCCTTACATGCTATTGGCACTTATTTAGAGTCACCCGCAACTCTCGCTCATCTCATCACGGGTAAGGCCACTAATGTGCAAGGCACCTCCACTGATTTAAGGCCGCCTTTCATCTTTGGTCTGAAATACATTCATATTTCGCATAGCTCAGTAACCTTCTGCCAGCGATTAGACGAGAATCGAAAACAAAACTCCAAAAGCAAACAACTCATTGGGCTGTCACCGATGCACATTGGCTTACGCTGATAAACTACGGCGGACAAGTGCTAATCTTCATCTACATCCTAACAGCAAAAGTAAAGCTACTGTAACTACACGTGCGCTGGGTGGCACATACTTTCTAACAAAAATATAGCTTTATGCTGTAAAAAGGCTCATTGTGTTAATCTTCACTTTTGAACACAAATGACTCATGTTTTCGTTCATACATTCTTCATGTGTTCATCTCTGCACAAAGCTATCCCTCAGAACGATTAGCTCTAGTTTAGGCAGCCGAGGGCACTTTGTGCATAAGGCCAATTATAAAGCTCTCTTTATTCCACACAGTTCAAGCACTTTTGGTGTTTTACTAATGAATAAAAAGGAAGATGGGTCTGTTGTGACACAAACCACTTTGAACCTGAGGAGTAACATTTGCACTACTGGCTCGATCAGTCCAGATACATTCACATATTATAGGCAACTACTACAGCGGTTTAGTACGCAAATACCCTGTCAAATCACTATGCAACATGTTACATAGCTTTTCAAATTGTACTAAACCTTGTTCCCTGAGTTGAGGAAAACAAAACGTCAATAAAATAAATTCTTTAAGGAGGTAGTATAAACAGGAATAGTGAGGGCAGTTGCACTCTGGTGAACAATCAGACATTCACAGGACTAATACTGGCTCGTTACTCCATTTGAGGAGAGAACTGTGGAGTTGTGTCCTAAATCCTTCAATCAACACAACGGAGAGTGCGCTGCAGTGCCCTCACCATCCCACAAACAAGAAACAAACAAAAGTTAATCAGGAAGTATCAAAAGAAAAGTGAGCAAAGCAGCCACATAGTCAAAAGTAGTAATTAAATAGAATGGAAATTCACCCCGAGGCAAACACAGGTAGATAAACAGCAAAAGGATCTGGGCTTCCCTTTTGCTCCAGTGATAAACTCTTTTAAATACAGTCAACAATGTTTCCATTCTTGACATTGTTTGAGACATTCATGATGGGTGAGGTTTTATCCACAAACAAAACATAAAAAACAAAATGAAAAAGAGTCATTCATCTACCGGCCTTCTCGTCGTGAGGTATAACCCGCATCTCACGCACACGCACGCACACACACACACGTACATACATGCACACACACACACACACATACATGCACACACATGCATACATGCACACAGTGCAGTTACAGCAGACAGAGCTCTAATTGGACATTAATGTAATACTATCCTGAGGAGTGGCCTTTTGCACTACATTTTTTGGTCATAAGTTTGTCACAAAAGTAGCCACAAAAAAGACTAAAACTAATCTGAAAGACAAGACTTTCAAACTCAACGCTTTTCACAGACTTACTCCCAGTGAGAAGATTAAACTATTACTTCAAACAGAAATATAATGAAAGTCTTCAGAGGAACTGTCTGCAGTAACTGCACTGAGCATATGCAAACACTCAGGAGAGGGGGAAAGTGCAGGTCTCGACACTACAAACATGTATAACTGAATTATTCTAAATGACTTGAACTTAATTTGGTCTTAATTTCAGTAGTTTTTGACAAGTTCAGTTCTATTTACTGAGATCATTGGACTTTTCTGACAATCAACATGTTATCTCTCATTTTAACCACATCTGCAGATAAAACAGGCACAATTATACGACAGTCAAAAATCCTCAAATCATGTTTTCTATGATGCTCTGTGAATTGGGCGGCAGCTTTGATTGCCAACACCCCGACCCAGAAATGGATTCAGGGGATGAAAATGGATGGATGTTTACTCTTAGGTTGCGATCATGTTGCATAATTAGATTTCAGTTGAAGGGCAGATGCCAGTACAGCTCTATAGGAAGCATCTTTTCTCTTGACCAGTCATGATCATCCATGTTTATAATATTGACTCTACTATTAGACCATACCTGTACTGACACATTGTCTCACTTAGTGACAGTTTCATGTGGGTAGGAATTATCTCTAAACAGTTAAGCTGCACTATAGATTCCCTGGAATGTTGTGATGTCACATGAACGCAACCTAACTCATCTTTTTGCAGTAAAATAAACCTATATTTGTCAAAAATGCCGACATTTTCAATAATATCTTGTGTTCAAGTCATTTAGGCCTGAATAGATATGACATCAATACAGGAAACAGCCTCAGCCTCAGTCCGTGTGCACTTTCTGGGGTCCTGCGCCCTTCGGTCCAGGCCGCTGTCTCCGCTGTCACCACTGTCTTCATCGGTCAAAGATGGCGGCCGGCTCCCCGCAGCAGACGACAGGTTGGTGAGCTCCGTCTCGTCATGGGAGAAGCGGCCCGAGTCGCCCGTCCTATGGCTCTCCTCGCTCCCCGATGAGCCCTCCGTGTCGGTGGGGCGTCCCAGTAAAGCCTCAAGAGACATGGGCGACTCCGCACACAGCTCCTCGTGGTACAAGACGGTGGTGCCCTGGTGATACTGCAGCCTCTGGGGTGTGGTGCTCTACAAGCACATGCACATAAACATATTTTAGTTTACATGAAGTTCAACTATGTAATAAAAACAGTTGTTCTATCACTAGTTTTCAAATTTAAATACCCAAAAACTATACTTATGCTAAGAAATTAATACACATTACAAAGAAAAACTATGATAAAGATACAGCAACACAATAGGTAATGTAGTTATAGGACATTGATACTGTAGTGTCCTAAAGAACATTTTCTTTTCTGTAGAATTGATTTCTTCTCATCTGACTATCAGCTTGCATCCTCAAACCAGTAAATAACCGGTTTCTATTGTGTTTACATACCTGCAAAGATATGCTGCCTGTTTTCTCTTTTTTATCTCTACTGTTGAACGTAAACCATTTGCTTTGCTTTTCTGTGTTTGGTTGAACAGGACCAAGAGAGTTGATGATCAGGTTTGTTCCACCCTATAAATAAGAACGCACGTTTAAATGTATATTTGTTCATTAAATCGTTCACTGAAAATACCTTGGCGTCAATAAAGTGGTTCATGGGAACAGCAACTTCTCCACTCGCAGCCTGTTGCTCTGACTGGGAGGGGCTCTGCTCAGCTCCAAACTGCTTCACTGCTGACATTTTCCTGTACAAAAAACACATAATTTTCATTCTGAAACACAAACATGTTGGAAATGTACACACTGCATCCTTGAACTGTCTGGCTTTTAATACATTTACAGGCAAAATCAAGAGACAGTCCTTACTTCACAGTCCACAACTGAAGCTGGTTTTATCCTATGACATATGTGTAGAATGATACTCGTACGTCATTGGATGAAGCTAAAGATACACAGGGTACCTAAGTGTGCACTTTATTTTTTTCCACCAGAAAGTAGAAACAATTCAGATCAAGTAAACACTACTTGACTTTTTGGGCTAAGAGCTCATTAGCTGAGAGGGTGGTCCTCTCTTTTTCACTTTTCTGTCTGAAAAATCAGATTTACAGATGTCAAGAGGCCAAAGATACACGCATGTGAAAACTAATGCTTGAACCAAACTGCTTGGATGGTTTGTATTACATTGTTTATTCTTTTTTGGTTTGAAATATGGGTACCCGAGCTTAAAGTTTAAAGGAGCAATATGTAATATTTGCATGTCAAGTCATCATTAAATGACTCGAATATTTCAAAAGGCGTTATTAAATAATGTTCTTTTCAAACACATCTTTAACTGATAACAGTAGTTCATCCGAGATATTTGAATATCAAAATTAGTTTTACGACCCGTAAAAGTTGTTATTGTTTTGATTCTAGTGTCCTACCCTCCGCCGTTTCGCCAATCAGGAAGTGTCATGTAAGTCCGTGATCGGGTTGCCAGAACTCCGCGCGGCTCATTCATCTCAGAGGTAAAATAACATGTGGCGCAGAACTAAAAAAGGTCTTGTTATGACTCTCAAATCATTAATGACAAAACAAAGACTAAAACGAGGATTTATATCGGGATGCCTTTGAACAATTGAGACAGCTGATAAAAGTTTATGTGTGATGCAGAATTTGCTAGTTTGAGTCCGTTCTTCACAGTGGGTCTAACTGGGTGAATCGGTGGTCTAGTGGTTAAAACTGTGTGCTTACAATGCAGGAGTCCCGGGTTCGATCCCGGGCTATGTCTTTTTGTATTTATTGCATGTTATCACATTCTATGACAGATTGCTCTAAAAACGGTAAAAGACGAAGGTCAAGACGTTTTTTTGCAGTTTATAGCTTAATTGTAAAAATAGGGAATAAATAAAATTGAAAGGTGATATCCTCTTGAGCAAACCCTGATGTTGATACGCTGAAGAAATACGTTCCAACATCCATTCTTCCCACTCCTATTTTGGACATCATTTGCTTATTTATTTAGCATAAACTATGTATAATTACATTGCTTTTATTTTGTTTTTGTTTTTTATCTCAAATGTCCAAATAATAATAATAAAAAACATGAATCAAAACATTCATTCAGCATTAGCACGGCTGTCATGGCAATGTGAATGGAGACGGACAAACAACTGATAAAATAATTCCCTGTGTTTGCTGCTGGATTTGGTGTGAATCTGGCAACCTGAGTCAGGGAGAGTGGGAGAGGACTACAAAATATTGACTGTGACTGCAGTACCACTTTTGGCCAGATTTTTACATATTGTTCCTTTAAAATTTCTCTACTGAACTTGTTTAACATTTTACCTGTTTTTGCCTCGGCAGACCAGGACAAACGCACAGATGATGATGCAAATGAGAGCGATGGAGACTCCAATGGTGATTCCAGTCATAGACCTCTGGTCCAGGTGGTAGAAACCGCTGTATAGCACTGCAACACACACATGACGTGAGCTTCGTAAAATTCACATTAACTTCTGTGTCTCTGTGGCTTTGAGTCCTCACTCACTTGTGGAGTCGTGGGAAAGTTGTGGGTTTTGCGCTGAGGACAAAGCAGTCAGCTCCACAGTGGAAGAGAACGGCCCGTCGCCCATGTTGTTCGAGGCCGAAACTTTGACCAAATACACCAGACCGGGCTTCAGGTTCTCCAGCAGGGCCATGGTTATGCTCCCTGTGGACAAGGTGATGGATAAAGGACCACTATGTAACCTTCATGGTAATTTATAGTTAAACTTGGGACAGTCGTTACAATTACATGTACAATCCGACTGTTGCCAGAATTCTTCTGCCTGATGCAATCCATCTGTATAAACTTTGTTTATTACACTTGTCTCATTTTTGTTTTTGCTTTTATTTATACATTTTATAAACAAAAGTTTAAATTAATAATTGTAAATATAAAAGAAGGCCAAAAATGATTTGTAAATGTTGAACTTTTATGAAAGTAGATAGAATATGTAGATGTAATTTCAAATACAAAATATGAAATACTGTCCTTATAACAGGCCACAATAGCTGATATTAACCTCCTATCATCAATGCTTGTAAGTTGTAACTATAGATAATCATTCTGAAAGCTTGTTATCCAATCGGTGGAGGGGCGTTTTTTTGCCTGAGTGCATATATATTTTTTGAAAAAAAGCACAGGGCTTCCCTAAGTTATGGCTCATATCTGCAAAGAGGTGAATTATCATCATATAAATTCCTCATCTCATTTAAGTATGATTACATGTTTTGGTCAAGGTTACAAGGTGTGGTCCTCGTGTTCCCCGAGTTCTGGTGAGCACAAAAAGCAGTAATGGGGAAAGCATGGGTCACGACACAGCGCCACACAGCTTGTGCTTTCAGAGTGTTTTTATAACAGGCTCACATCTGACCCCAGCTCCAAAGGCATTCAGAGACTCTGCTCTTTGTGTCGTGCATATAACACACACTAACACCAGCTCCTTTACAACACATTTATCTCTGTATCATTCTCCTTTTTCAATAAACAACATGCAACATCATTTTTAGAACAATTTGTTGCTTTTTATTTGATCCTAGGGACACGTTGTTCTTTTTTTAATTCGTAAGCCTCAGTTGAATTAAAAAACTCAATTCACAAGGCCTGAATATTTTTGGCAAACATATGTCAAATTTTGTAGTGATTTTTAAGTGCTTATCAATAAAGACTGAATTCTGAAATATTAGATGAAAGATAACATTTTATGGACTTTAATATAGATGTAGATACTATGTGGCATTGTGTATATATATTTTGTGAGGGTTTATTTATTTTGACCAGTGCTTCTTTCCAGTATTACTCAAATCATTGGCGTTATTTATTGATTTTTTTGTCTGGGACAGTACAAGAAAATGAACACACCTCTCTCTACCTCATTGGTAGGGGCAATCGGAGCACCCGGAGGAAACATCAATCCACCTCCGCACAGAAAGGTCCTGTGTGAAGGTGGATTGTTCGATTCCACCTCTGGGACCTTGCTGTGAAGCACAAGTGCTAACCACAGTGCACCGTGCCGGCAAAACAAAAATAATGATAATAACTGATCATAAAAAATAGGGAGGTGGGTTGTACTTTACCAGTAGCAATATTCAAGAAAAAATGAGAGCAGAGTGTTTTAAAGATCAGTCAAGGTCAGTTCTCAACTATAGTTTTCTTCCATTTTCTATTACATAACCTTTAATCATGAGCACATTGTGTTCACGATTCTAATGTTTCCACTTCAGCCTCACCCTTTCAGAATGTATAGAATTACAATATTGGATTTTAAATTGTTTTTGGTGGTGACTAATGGCCAAAGAAATTAATAAGCAAAACAGAAGGTGCAATACAGTCCAATATAATCTCTTTCATAATTGTCTGATTCAATAGTTGTGTCTTTTTTAGTACTAAGTGATAGAATATAGAGGTGTGTGTGTACCCTCTCTGTGCAGGACCTGCCACCGGCCCGCCAGCCACTCCTGTTTGGAGGCGTAGAGGATGGTGTAGCGCGTCACCGACATGTTTGGCTCTTCTGGACTTTTCCACGAGACCAGAGCCGTGTCCTCCTCAATCAGAGTGACTTTAACGTTAGACGGAGGCTTCGCTGGAGCTGTAGAAACACATTGGACACATATGTTTTGACCATGTTCATTATTTCCTAATTCGTCCTATGAGGAACGTGTGGCACAAACACCGCCCTTTTGTCTAAAGTGTTCCATCTCAAACTTGGTTTATGATGGATCCTCACAAAAGGTCTTTTAAATAAGTGATAGCATTTTCTCCAGGCAAATTGTGTTCTTGACAAGTGCCTAAAATACCCTATCTTGAATTTAAATGTAAAATACAGAATGTAGAACTTGTTCCACTAGATGACAGTGTTGCCACAATCTAGTCATCGTTTATATTTTCATCTTAAGAAATGATTTAATATTCTAAGACATGAATTACCAGAGAAATAATGCATAATATCTATTGTTTGATATAGTTTGTGTGTCATACCTTCGGGCAAAGTGCTTTGATAGGCCACAGGACTCCAGGGGCTGGACAACTGGTCAAAATGAAGACGAATCGCAAATTCATATCTGGTGTTTGGTTGAAGATCTTTCACGACAATACTCTGCTCGCCCCTGTGGAAGAAAGTACACTGAGTTTTTCTTTTGGAGCTAATTAGACAATTACACTCTTTTCAATTATTTCTTTTACATTGAGGTGAGCTCCAGTGTGCTCATACCATTGATATGAATAAAAAACTAGTAAATAGCTGTATCTGCCTCTTTGTTTCACACAACAGATGAAAGTAAACATTTGGGCTCACGTTTGCAGGTAGAGCACGAGGGATGCGTTCTGCAGGCCCACAGGATTGCAGCGCACAGTGTAGTTGATTGCATGGCTGGTGGTGAACGCGGGTCGGCTCCAGTGCAAGAACACAGACGACGAGCTGTTGCTTTTGGCTTCAACGTTGTGTGGTGGAGGCGGAGGGGGAACAAGGCGATCTCGGACAGCTGTGGCACAGGCGTAACCATCATCATATAATCAACGTATTTGGTAGAAAGAAAAACCCCAGTGGATATACAGTAAGAGCTACTCACAGACACAGCTTGGGGTGCTTATGGTCTGGTCAGCCTGGTAGCCTTCGCCGATAAAGTTATATGCTAGAAGTTTCACATGGTACTTCTTCCTGGGGTCTGAAAAAAACAAACATGAAAAGCAAATCAACATTGTACCGTGATGAGATTAAGAATATTTAGAGGTAGTGACAAGGTCTGATCTGCGTGAGACTGGGATCATTGATTTCTTTCTTATTGCTTTGATGTGGTGGTGAAGTAAGCAAAAGAACAGATGTGTGGCAAGCCCTTTGGTCAGTGCCTAAACCAATCAGAAGAGGGAGTTTCTATATCCATCACTGTCATGTCTTTTCAGAGCAAATCCTTTTTTTTTCCCAGCACTGGTCCGGCCGGCTGGGCAGTGGTCAGTGGGCAGTGAATACTCCTTTTCAGGTCGAACCGGGGGTTAAAACCAGGGACACAATCCCAGGGGACGGCACAGTGGATGCTCAACAAACACAGGCTGCAGTGACCCTGAAGACCTCTGCACAACAATAGTCACTTGACCACCCACCCCCCCTTCATTTGCCTTTGCTGAATATTGTATTTAAGGTTAAAAATAATCAGTGCTGTGATTTGTGCAGCATCAACTTAAAGCTGGGGTACGTAACTTTGTTGTTTGTCACAACATAAAGAGTCTAGTAAAAGTAAAATTCTACCACAGACAGAGCTCTGTGAGTCCGTATGTGACACTTTGAGCTAAGAGCTGAGAGATGTCAAATGAAGCTGATCTAAAGATGCACAATATATATAGAGGCACAACATACATTTTTGTAAAAACTACCATAGACATAGAACAAAATAATTTTGAGAGCAAGGAACTATGAATGGATTTTCAGTACATATTTCATTCAGTTTTTGTGATTTGAAAATGAGGGACCCAAGCTTTAAAAACATTGGGCTTGGAGACTACCAAGCAAGTTGTCCCAGTACTTACTAAAATCGTAAGAGTAATCTTCTTAAGTGCTAACCAAAATGACACAGGTGAAATGTGCATGTATTATTTACAAAATATGTAATTATAACAATACTCGACCACATCAAAAAAGAAAAAGCATGAAATGATTTTTTTATTTTCAATGACTTTTGTTGTCTGCATAAGAAGATTGCATTTAATCCTGTTTATTTGTGTTATTTCCTGAGCCCCAAAACACATGTTCAGAGGGGCAGAAATATTGGCTGGCTTTAAAGAGTATAGTTGGACCACCAGGCTTGAATGCGTGTCTCAGGTGGGGGACATTTTTTTAAGAGTGGAGCAGAGCGACTTGAACCCCCACACACTGGAGCCGGGGCCACAGGGTCGAGCAGAGATAAAACTCAAAGAATCTGAGGTCATCACGCGCAACACGAGACGCACTTCCTTCTACCTAAGGATTTACCTCAACAACATTCAGCGAGGAACTAAGCAACATGTACAGGTTATAAAGCATATAAAGTTTAGGATCATGCAAGAGACGCTTCATAAAAGTCTTTAACTATTTAATTTATGAGCAATATTCAAAGCATCAATTACGCTTGTAGGATTCTGGATATTGTTTCAGTTGTTGTGTCAAAAAAGCACAGGGATCTAGTTTGAGGCCACAACACAATGAACTGTTTTAATTACGCGAGAGAGGAGCTCTGAGAAATAGGGGGCTTTGACATCTGGGCCATGGCCTTTGACATGGAATCTGGGCAAGCTAAATCCTGCAAAAGGAGGGTCTCTGGGGGAGGGTCACGCTTTAGGAAGTTAGTGAAATAACTACATTCAAAGGCACGTCATGAAGGATGAATCCTGGTAGAACGGCAATAGTCCCTTTTTCATAAGAATTCTTTAGATCCTGTTTGTGTTGCATTGGGACTATACCCAGCAGTAACTCTCACTTTTTCTTTACCGTACAAAAGGGCCAAAGCCACGTCTTATATTCTAGTTCTATGTGAACTATTTTAAATTCACATAGGTGACTGGTAAAACTACTAAATCAAATTGAAGACAAAGCCAAAATCAGATACACTCAACATACTACATTGTAATTGAGGAAGATAAAAAAAATCTGTGGTATGTAGTTCCTAGAAAGTATAATCTTGTTATGTCATGTGTCGTTCCTGGAGAATATAGAAAACTCCCACGGGTCTAAGGCCATAAATTATTCTCTTTGCATTAAAGGGCATATTTCAGCCATTCATGGTCACCTTTCCGGAGCTAAAGCGGCCAGATTCTTTGAGCTTCTGAAGTTTTGTTCTGCCCTTTTAGGCCCCAGGCCTGAACAGGGGCCATAAATGTCAACTCCCAAAATGAACCTTCACACTCACATCTATCATCTCCACTTCTACCCTTTTGCTCAGCAGCCACAAATCACATGCCCACACGTTTAAAGAGTAGAAAATGTCTTATCAAAGTGGTAAGTTAAAACCCAGGAGGCTTCAGATAGCACACTCCGAAATTAAAAGAAAACACGCTGTGATCAATCTGCTGTTCTGTGGCCTGGTGCCAACAGGTATGAGAGGTATTTATTTATTAACACACACAAGAAAAACAACTGAACTCTCCCGGATACAGTCCTGTGTCTCATGATTTGCATGAAATCTTTATAACCATATTATTCAAGCACTGAACGTGTCCTTCAGAAGCCTGCGCTGAATCAGCTGTATCTACTGTACAGAAATCAATGCAATCGTCCACACAGCACCGCGCCCACAGAACCGCTGACTGCAGATAGACCTAAAGTATATAACCACATACGCACAGACATAAATGTTCAAAAAATGAAATTCACAGGAAACACAAAGATAGCATACTAGTTAATCAGTGTCTGAGAGCATCATTGTTGAAGCAGCATTTACTGACAGGATGCATTTCCTTTAGGCATAGGGCAATAAACTATCTTTGTGCCTTTTTCAGGCCAATACAATGGGGTCTTTGAAGTCAATGCTCCTCCAGCCACACTGCTGAAGAAGCCATAAAACAGTTAATGAATATTCTTTTCAAAACACCTCCTTCGACTCAACACTTTACACCTAAAACTGCAAATGTAAATTCATGTTATAGAAGCTGAATGTAATGGGATCAGTATCCACGTTTAACTACATACCTAATACTGATCATATTTAAATAGGTAAATACTATAATTATCCTGACTTCAGAAAATTTCATATTTTTGTATGATTTCTCTTCACCTATTTTCAGATCCACACAACAGGAAAGTGTGTGACATAAAACGCCGCACCTTTCCTCATCTACAGGGCTTTTTCATCTTTTGCTTCTTACTGAACCCTTCATGGTGATTTACAAGTCAGCTGCTGGCCACCTGGCTGACCCCGCTGGTCACAGATGGTCAGTTGTCCACTGCTCTGGCCTGGGACCCTGTTCTTCCCTCAAACAAAAAGAGCCAAATGAATCTGACCCACAGGCCATGCAAGTTACGATAAGCCAATAGCAGCATTGGTCAGCTGCTAAAGTCACAGGGGTGGGCTGCTCACACCAGCACTCATCAGCTGCTCTTCATTGCACAAATTAATTCAATGAAGATCAATCAATTCAATAATAATTCAACAAATCAATAAACATAGTGTTCCATTTTAAGTAAAGGCCCTGTACCTGATTTATGGGAGAAAGAATGGGTTACACATACATGCCCATGTGTGACTCTTCTTAGTTTACTGTGGGAATTCACTCTTGACTCTGTAAGTTGTAGAAGTTTGAGTGAGGGATGTCTAGACTGTTGCTAACTGTTTGTAATCAAGTAAACAGATTTTATGATTTCAAATTGTATGGACGACAGGATATAAACTGAGCGTAAAAACTTAATATTTACAGTCTATGTTAAAAACCTGGCAACATATTAAAAATGAACATGTTTGGATTTACTAAATGTCAACATAGAGGTCTCCTGGTGTGCAAGGTTACTGTGTTATCAATATTCATCTGAGAGTGTTCACAAAGTAGTAAGTAAGTAATCTTTATTTATATACCGCCTTCTCACTGCACATCGGAGTCTCAAAGCGGTTTACAATTGTTATTTTTGGGAGCAGGGGTGCCAGTACAGGAGGCACATGCCAGACCTATTGTACATATTTTTAGTGGTAGGGGAAACCGGAGCACCCGGAGGAAACCTACGCAGACACGGGGAGAACATGCAAACTCCACTCAGAAAGGCCCTGGTCCAACCGGGATTCGAACCCAGGACCTTCTTGCTGAGAGGCGAGAGTGCTATCCACTCAGCCACCGTGCTCACAAAGCATGAGTGAAAACCTGATTGCTTGTGCCAATTGAAAAAAAAAACTGTTGGTTTGAGCTGTTGAGCTGACATATACCCTAGTAAACTAGATCCTTTCAAGACAGGGCCAACAGATGCATTCAAGATCACAGGGAAAAGTCAGGTTCACATTAGATATGTATGTATTTGGACATATATGGCTACACACGTTAATTTGCAAAGTGGAAATTAAATGACAGTTTGATATGGGAAAATCAAATGTTCAAAGTTGCGTGATAACATTGGACAAAGTGATTCATTTTACATTACAATTACAATTAAAACGTTTTAAGAGGGGAGAGGAGATCTTACCGAGGCCGCTGATGGTGTGGCTTTTGACAGTGGTGCGGAGCTGGATGGGCGCCTTCTCTGGTCGGCTCTCCTCGCGGTAAAACAGCTTGAAGCCCTGGACACTCATTGCGTTTCTCGGACCCAGCTGCCAACGGGCGACGATAGTGGTGCAGTTTAGGGGCTCCAAATGCAGCTCAGGAGATCCTGGAACTGCGCAAAGAAAGAACACAATGCATTTTGCTACAACTGTATTATAATTGTACCTTCAACGTAGGAGTGCTCATTTAAAAGGCATAGCAGAAAGTTCACAAACATAGAGCAATCCCAGTCATCACCGGAGGAACGGTTAAGTGGAGTTGGTTACTAATGTAGCTGATTAGAAGCAAAAGAAAAAAAAAATCAATTACCTAAAATTGTATATAATTATTATAGAGATGTGAGTTTTTGTGAATGTGAATGTTTTCTCCCTGGCAACCATTTCCAACCTTGAAGAACATTTAGAGACATAAGTTAAGCTAATCAACAACATGCCAGGATAATATTTGTGGCCTAAAAAAATTCCCCCAAAGCCTTTAGATAGTAAGCAGCCTGTCGTATACTTTATGGCCCAGGACTGAAGTACCTGAAGTATTTCTGAGAGTGGAGAGTGGAGTTGACTGCACAACAAGATTATCTGCAAGCCTTTTACTTTTGTGCATTTCAATGAGAGAAGCTTTTAAAACCTACTCAAATCTACTCAAAGCTGTCCTACCCTGAGCACTAGACGTCTTCGGTGTGCGATGTGAAGCCCAGGCAGAGGGCTCTCCCCACCCCACACTCGTGGCCGCAGCGAGTCTCAGGAGGTAGATGGTGTCTGGCTGCAGGTTTTCCAGGAGATGCTGAGTTTTCTGTCCGCGGAGCTCAATCTGCGTGATCGTGTTGTCGGAGCTGGTGCGGTAGGACAAGCGGTAGGCCAACACATGTCCTCTGCTCAGTTTGTCGGGGAGGGGTTGCCATGACACCTGGATGTCTGTGGGGCAGCTGCTGGTCAGGCTGAGCTCAGGGGCGCGCAAGGGAACTGTAGAAGAGGCACACAATCATGAAAACACATATCTCAGAGACGGGCCTCCAGACTTATTGTATTTCCAGGTTAACATGGTTAAAAAAAGAAAACCTTTTCTCGTTGTATGTTAGGCTGTTCAAGTTGTACAACGTTTGGAAATTAACTTAAAAATGTGATAATCTCACCATCCTCAAGCGTGTGCTGAAACACATGGTCTGACATGCGGCTGGCTCCCATCGGCATGTAGGCCACCACGTAGAAAGTGTAGTTGCGAGCCGGCTCCAGGTCATCAATAATGTATCGAGTTGTATCATTTCCAATGACAACTTGATATTCCTCATTGTTTAAACCTAACAACAACAAAAACAGTTGAATTAATGAATTCAAAACAACAGTATGCAACTTTCTTTCTCATGTCATCAAGTTAAAACCAAACTTCAAAACCTTCTCCAAGGAGCTAGTTTAGAAGAAATGGAGATACAAATATTAAAAAGACGAAAGTCAGTTTTTGCTAAAAAGTGATACACACTCGCACACAAGCATAACCAAGCATAGACGCACACAAAGACACACACACACACACACACACACACACACAAAAAGACACACGCACAAGCGCACTCTGGGACATTTTCAGTGAGGGCTAATTAGGGGCACATTCACAGAAAATACCACTGAATTTCTCCTCAGTCAATGTCAGTAAAGAGCCGGTATCAGAGAAAGGGACAAAGGTGTTGTGTCCTTAAACACAAAATCAACTCCAGATACTTTGCACTAAATGGCCCTTATAAAGGAATTCATTTAGACGAATTCCTCCACAATCCAGCAGGTGCTCTCTTGTCCGGCCTTCACAAACACAAGTCAGTGGTATTACAATTAGAGGCACTTCCTGAAAAGACTTTTTAATACTGCTCTGTATAGACAATGGTCTGGTTGTCAAAAGCTAAAGTTGGGCTGAAAAACATTTTTGCTGCCAGGCAACAGCTATTGAGTGTTTCATTTGTAGCAGTTTAAACCAATTCAGGAAGTCAGTTGTATGTTATAACAGTTATGTTGTTTAAAGGACAGGTGGCCTTTTGAAATGCATATACACTTTTTCCATAAGGATGAATGTGTGTAAGTCATTTACCCACCTCCAGTAAAAATAAGTTTTGCCACATCTCACCTTCAGCCTTCATGTAATGCACTGAATAGGCAATAACTTTGTCATAGTTGAACAGAGGCTTGTCCCAGGCCAGCAGGATGGCGGAGCTGGACACAGTGTCCGCTCTGATGTTGCGTGGAGCACTCGGCCGATCCTCTGACATCACCACAATGAGACGCGCCATGGACATCACAGAGCCCAGGTTATTCTCGGCCTGACACTGGTAAACAGCATCGTCTTCTGGGATGATCTGATTGATGACAAGCTTGCTGCAAACAAAATACGTCATCAGAAATTAGATTTCAAGAGTCAGCCCCATAGCAAATGTTAAATGTATTTTCCATAATTCTGTATTGACATTTTGTGAAATTGCTCACAAGGTTGTTGAAAATGTGTCAAAACGCCTTGGTGTAAGGTGTAAAATAAAGCCTCACAAAATTGATTAGTCCATTGGACTGTCTTTTATTGTTTCCGTCAAAGTAATCGGTTAGAACTGTTTGTGGCAGTAAACTATTGGCCAAACAAATAAAACTCCCTATCACACTAATGCACTATTCATGTCTCCAGCCATTCCTCAGGAGAGATAGTAGTAATTGGCTGCACCCTGTAAGTACAGTATGTTATTTGCAATACCTGTTGTACATCTTGATGCGGCCATTAGAGTGGACTTTCTTGCCGTTCTTGAACCAAGTGATTTGAGGAGTTGGGACTCCCTCTGCTTGACACACAAAGCGAGCTGTACCAGCACGAGGACGTGTCAGACTCTCTGGCCATTCGACCAGAGAAGGTGGAGCTGAAGATGCAAGAAAAGATATATGAATAAACAAGCTTCAGAAAACGTTTTTTGCGATAAGAATACTTAAACTACTTTATCTATTTATTCTATTATGCTACAGTACGCAGTAAGAAAATAAACAGCAGAAATAAGCCATATACAGTCTAATTGAACCATCTATATCTAAAACAAAAATACACTAGTTAGTTCCATTAATTATTGAACAATGAGTTGATATAGTACTTATTATGATGGGCCATTTCAATGTGTAAACTTAAAACAGTTTTTATACCTAGTACAGTGATATTGGCTGAGACGATGGTGTGGTTTCGAGTCCCAGGGGTGGTGGCTCTGCACAGATAGACTCCCCCATGTTGTGGCTTGATATCAGAGATGATGAGGTTGCCATTTCCTAGAACTTTGGTGTTGTAAACGTCAATAGACTTGCTATCGGCTCGGCTCCACGACACTATGGGTCGAGGGTTTCCTGTGGCCATGCACTCGAGAATGGCATTCTGATGCACTGTCACAGAAATATTCTGAGGGGCAACAATAATGTGTGGCCTCTGGGGGAGCTGGGGGCTTGGTGCTAGAGTTGGACAAAAATACAGCATTATTTACAATGAGTTTTAGCAACAGGGAGTATTTTTTATCTCACGCAAATATATTATACAAACCAGGTGTAACTGTGAGGGTTGCTTCAACACTTCGGCGTCGGCTGGCGATGTTTGTGCATATACAGCGATAATTTCCAGCATCACTTTGTTGCACACCGTATATTTGCAACACTCCACTTGGAAGCACTGTGATTCTGAGGCAACAGGTAAAAATATAGGTAAAATGATTAGAAGAAAATTGAAAACCATGTTGTGAAGTCGATGTACTGCTGGCAGTCTCCCACAGGCTCACCTCTCAGTGCTCAGGGGTAATGTTACACGATTGAACTCCCACGTGATGATGGGAGGAGGGTGTGCACTGATTTTACAGGAAAATCGAGCCACTGAGCCTTGAGTGGCCACTACGGAGGTGGGCTGGATTGAAAAAGCAGAGATACCTACAGGCATACAAACAGGAAGAGATTAAAATGCGCTAACTGATGACAGGGGAGTTCCAGGGTTTGTCAAGTGAAATTCAGACCTTTTTGAAATGCCAATTTAGTCAATTTTACACTAGAACACAGATTTGATAGGCCGTGTTTAAGTAAAATACCACAGTGCAATAGGATATGATAGTAAAGAAAGTGCATAATAGTGTCCATTAAAAAATCTTTATATTTATGACACAGCACACTTTAACTTTTTTTTCTTTTTTTGAGTTTTTCCCGATAGAACAAATATATGATGTGCATCAATGTGCATAAGAACAGAAACGTCATTGCTTAAGATATTAATGATGCATTCATAAAGACATACTGTAGAATCCACACTATTTATGAGACAAAAAAGTAAATAAATACATATCTACCACATTCTATGTCGTGTATAATGTCATATTATTGTTTTCTTCATCGTCATAGCATTAGTTTGCTGCATGCCTTAATGTCCTCATTAAACTTTCCCTTCTGTTGGACTAATAAAAGTTCTTAATCATTCAATATTATGGGTTCAATTTCTAATATGAGTCAAATATAAACGTTTTAAAATAACCTTCAGTTTCCTTGGCGACCAAGTAAACAGAAACAGTGAAATACAACAGAAGTGCAAATGCTCAACACCCCCTACAAACAGATGCAGTGGTCGCAGCCGCAGAGCTGCTGAGTGCTGCTGGAGGTGACGACTGGAACAGCAACATCCTGCAGGATTGGGTTTCCCTGAAACTGAGACTGTGTCAGCCTCCAGCTGAGCAGCAGCAAATAATGCACAATGAATCACAATAAGCCTTTTTAAGAGGACGTCGAACAGCCACCAGCAAAACACACAGGTGTGTGTGTGAGAGAGAGAGTGAGTGTGTGATAGAGAGAGAAAGAGAGAGTGAGAGAGAGAGAGAGAGAGAGTGGAAGAGTGAGAGAGAGAGAAAGAGAGGGTGTGAGCTATATCAGTCAGTTTCACTTTTTTGTGTTCTCTTTCACAATAGCTCTTCACATGGGCCATAAATCCCTCGGAGCCACTGAGGTCACTACTGCAGAACACCCTCTTCAGGGTCCAAAAGCCTATGGTCAGTCATATGCTAGAAGAAATCAATGGCACAGCTGTTGTAAAGATTGCCAAAAACATTTAACTTTACGGCATCCATATATATGAGCCAAAGAAAAGAACACGCAAACAACCCTAAAACATGCACACAATTAGGAGGCCTTATTTAAATACAATAAATAAGGATAAACTCACACTAACAAATACATAACTATTCTGAGTTACTGCGTCGGGCCTAAGTCCAGATCTTTCTTGTCCTAAATATCAGCTCTTGAGTAATGGATGAGCAAATCCACTCAGTTGCTCTTTAACCTCTGCTCACATCCGAGGCTCTTGGTGCCATGAGCCATCAACACTAAACAAAAGGGGAACAGACCTATGTGGGAAGTAGGACGCAGAGTTAAGTGTTCATCAGAAACTCGAGAGCTTAAACATGCATTTCTGCCACACAAGGTTTTCCCTCAAAAATAATACAAATACATCATCAGAGCTATTTAGAAATGTTCGATATGTATGGTGGGCAGTTGTTAGCGGTGGTGTGAAACAGCAGGGGAGTTTAGGAAGTGACAAGTGTGAAGAAAAAATCAACAAATCCACAAATTTGATGAGTTGTGCAGCAGATGTAGAAGGTCCATGTTGCAACACTAGTGTCAATTTCAGCAAGGTAATCAACTTAAGATGACGCTTTGAGCTGTCTCATGAGGCGGTGAGAGGATTACCACACTCACCACATTAACGGACCTTTAAGTCATATGTCGGCCGTTTATGAGTTCTGATCCTCCACATGTGACTTTCCATTCAGTTCAATGATGTGGAATTGACAAACAACAAGATAGTCATTGATTATTGACAAACTACAGAGGGAGGGAAATCTATAACTGCTGGGGTTGGGTCAATATTTACTACTTGCCTTAACCTGATTTCATCCATATCTTAACTTTGAACCACGTTGTTGATCTAATATTGAATGATTTCTCTCAGAGGAACCTTGTAACCCTCTCAAAGTGCCCCCTCACACACTCGCAGATTTCCAAGCTTCTTTAAAATACTGTATTTCCCTGAACGTCACCTCTCACCTCTGGACACACAACTCCTGGTGGACGTCTCTCCAGTTTAGCGTGATGGCCTCTTCATCATCGTTCAGAGGCACCAGTTAAACATGGACCATGTCAACAAACTGAATGATACAGTACAAATCCCAATTAGCTGGTTTAAGCTGCAGCAGATGGGCATGTTGATGCCAGCAGCTCTACAAACTTAAGGTCAATGGAAAGGTCAGGCCAAAACAAAGCTTTCAATACAAAGACATAGTTCATATTGTATTTCAAACGTACAGATTAGAAATATCCTCTTTTTTTTTAAAGCAAATTTTTAAACATGATATTATTGAAATAAGTTTTGTTCATTTAGTGAGTGACGCAGATCATTCATTACAATGCTAAGCTTTGTAGTGTGTGAGATGTTCTTCCCCAAGTGACTTTTAACCTATCCCAACCCCCAGAATCCAATCTTTTAGGGGAAACATTAAAATTGATCATTTCTTTCTCATCCTGGAGGCAAAATTTACAGCCTTAAGTATCAGGAGAGCAATGAAAACGATCCTTCTTAATTGCCATAAGTGATTACACATAACTATAAAGCAAACGTTGCACACCGCTCACACTTGAAAACACAACAGTGTCTTGATAACTTTCAAGATTAACTAAGCAACACGTCCAATAGATAACAAATGCTACAATCAATGTAAAGTACTAGTCAAAATATAAAAGTAAATAGTACTTATTATTGTATGAACTATAAATGCATTTTAGTTGACTAATTGACCAATTTAAAGCATTGCCTTTTAAAGACTAAAACAATATCATACTGTTGATTTTCATTCTGAGAACAAGACAATAAACGCAACGTGCTAAGGTAAACTATCTGAACTAAGAAAAATCGATAACCATTTCCCAAAGAATAATATATAAAGGGGGTATGACAACAGATGCCTTAAAAAAATGTCTCACTAAAAAAGACACAAGCCTGGCAGATGTGTTTTCTCTCAGAGCAGGGAGCTGGGACCAGGACAGTCAAATGACCATTGGCCTGGCTGAACAAAGGCTCATTCCCGTGGGCAGTGTGACCTCTCAGGACCAGTGCTGTTGTTGGGGGAGGAATCCTCCCCTCCTCCAGTGCCTTATCTCCTCTGCAAACTTCGACTATCGTTCATCTAAGGCCGTTTAGTTGGATCAAACAGTGGCCACATTGTTGTTCTATCTCCAAAAAACAGTGTAAGATTTGATAATTGCAGTGAAGGAAGATGATCTTTGGGGTGGGAACTGTTTGTTGAAGTGGAGATTATTCTCGCTTTTTTAACTTTTCTGCTTGAAAAATCTGATGAGGATATAATTTATTGATCTCACAATGGAAGATGTGATATACATCTCTGTCACATCTTATGCATGGAAACTAGATATGTATGTGGTTTGAAAGTTAGGTAAGTGTATGCTCCTACTTGTGTGCAAGTATTCAACCAATTTCTATAAGAACATTCTGATAGCACAGCCATGTTAGAAAATAGTTGTCTTTTACCTAAGAACTGGTGCAAAATGCATTATTACATTTCTTCAGTGAAGAACTTTTTCAATGGCTGACAATACAATCTAAAATATTGTGAAGGATTAAGTCTGAGTATGTCTGATCTCTTACATCTATTGAACTATTAAAGCACCGTTGATCCTTGGGCCAGCTGCTAGGGTCTCTATGACAACCTTTTGTGTCGAGCAGAGGAGAAAAACAAGATTCAGACCTGGACTTTTGTCACTTCACAACTTTTTCCACAACAAAAGTGGAAACAAAAGTTTGCTTCAAGCATTTTGGAGTGGTGGAACCAAGACACCTATTACATGTCTGCTTCTCCCTAATAGTTATAAGATTAGCACTCAATCTTAGGTATAATAAAAACAGCAGCAGTTTTACAGAAAGCATTCTAGTCTAGCAAAAACACTAACAGCATTGTTGTAAATGTTTCTTTCAACTGGTACCATCTTGTATCCATCATTTTGTTGTTTAGTTTAGTTTGCTTTGGGTGCTTCAGTCCTTTGGCAAAAGCGGGAACCAACATGAGGAGGTGATCACACCATTGAGATCAACATCAATCAGAAGTCTATTGACAAATGTCACATCATGAGGATCATGTGTCACATTCCTATTCAGTGAGGCCAAATCTCGCCTGTCTTTTGGGCCTCTGCAACCAAATGTTTAAGGTTACCCAGACCAGTCCAACACAAACATTAGCACCTATGATCAACCAAAAGAAAAGACACTGACAAGCTTTACAGCAGGCCAATGTGTGCTAAGGTTACAGGATATATATTTACTAACAGCACAAAACAAAACTGATGCACAAAGTCAATCCCAGAGGTAAGGAGCATTGACTTAATGACATAAAAAAACCTGGAGCGCTCTAAAAGCATAGCCTGGTACACATATGAAACCTTCTCTTTATTGATCAGAGGGTGAACTGCTTCCCCCTAAAAGCTCTTTTTGTCTGTCCAGGGGGTAGTGAACAAAAACATTCTGAAAGAAAGGCTATTCAGGTCTTTGTTTTCTGCCTCACTATGCTTACCAATTGTGTGAATCCCCCACAGCCCCAACTGACCTGGCAAGACCTGCAATAAAGTTTGGTGTCATTTAGGCCATGGTCCGAAGAAACTACAGATCTTTGTTGTCAGCATATATGCTGGTATATTCTGCTCCCATATGTACCTCTGATGCCGCAGAGTCTTCCTCTGAGCATTTCTCAGGTCTGTGCAAACTTTATGAGCTCTCAGAAAGACCCTGGAGCTGCCATAAGTGACAGTTTAAAACTAGTAAAACTCAGAGGCTGCATTTATCCCCTCTTAAAACCAAAGGTGCGCTAAGTGGGATAAAGAAGTTTATGGACAATGTAATGTCTATAAATGTAATTGCATGAATGACACAGATAAGGCTTAGTTGTTGTGACTTTTTGACCTCATGAAACTTCTGACAGCATTTGTTTAGTAGTCGTCACTCTGTGTTTACCAGTAAACAAACATACTCAAACAGGCGTCTTGAGGGCCACATATGGAAGATTTCCGATATAACATTCTCGAAGGGAGAAATATTTTTCATTCTACTCTAATGATTATCACATGTGAGTGCTGAACACGCAGGTGGTCCCTCAGTCTATTGAGATACATGTACACATGGCATGTGGAAAAATGGCACAGAAAAGAACAATTCCTCTGGTAACCAACAACATGAAAGAGTGGCCAGTGAATGGGGGCCATCCAACAAAACTACTGTCCTGGGTTGCTCCAGCCTTTCACTCCTCTCATTTGCACAGCAGTAGGCAGGTTTTCTTTCTAAACAGTGTACGCTTACAGGCTTCTAGAGTGACAGACAAGACGATCAGGTAATCATACTCACTTGCGATTGTAACACGGGCTTTCTGGCTCAGGATTGCTCCATATTTATTCTGAGCAAGACACTGATAAACGCCTTCGTCTGATTTGTCTCCTCGTCTGTTCTCCACTTCCGAAATAAACAGGGAACTGTTGGAGAGCAGGTAGACCCTCTGGCTCTCCACCAGCTCCAGTCCATTCTTGAGCCATCTGATGTCAATGGGAGCTTCTCCGCGCACATGACAGTCCAACAGGACTGACTCTTTGCGCATCACTGTTACATCCTTGGGTTCTTTGACAAAAAATAATTCACTGAAGCATAAAATGCCTGTGGAAGAAAAATATATACATGGTGTTAAAGGCAGCATTAAAAACCATAAAATAAATAAAATAACATGCCCCAGTAATTATTTCTGCACCAGATACTTTTGGGGGTCACAAAAAACAAAATAAAACAGAAATCAACCCAAATATTTCATATCACAGACAGACAAAGTAAACAAAACATTGGCCATTTTGTTGTTTTTAAATATGATTAAAAAACCTCTTCTCATGTCATGTTTACCCATATGTGTGAAGAGATCACACTTCTATAAGATAAATGTAAACAGTCTTAAATGTATTATACTATTACTCTATATTACTCAGGCAGACTGTATTTTACATCACTTGTATAATACACTACATAAATAAACATTACTCACATTACTTACTTGGGCAGGCGGTAACTCTTTGTTGTAACATAACTACACAAAAATTGATTGTTGAATAAACTAAAACAAACTCACCTGAGATCCGAAGAACGAGGATGTAAAAGACCCAATGTTTATTTAAAATCCTTTTTAGAGGCGCCATTTACATGCACTGCCGTAGCATGCTCGCTACTCTCTCCTGGCTCCTCTCTCCACGGCCTCACGCTGCCACTGACCAGAGGTGCGCGGCTCCAGCGGCTCCAGCCCCAAGTCCTGCCCTCCTGCCCTTGGACCAGCCCTGTCCTGACTGTCCGGACTCACTGGGAGGACAGCATCACGACTGACAGCGGCACGACTCTGCAGCGCCACCTAGCCGCCACTGCCCACCGGGTAATGAACAACAATAACAACAACATAAAACATGTACTTTATAGGAGTTTGACCAATACAAAGTGGTAGACAGTTGTGAAGTGGATGTAAAAATATACATTTGAAAAAGAAAAGAGAAGTGTGGCTTGCAAAAGTATTTTCCTGAGTTAGAGAGCTGAGCTTCACGTCTTTTGGGGAATGTTCTGATAAGCTTTGCACATTCTATTTTTCTTTGCAAAACAGCTAAAGTTCTGTCAGCTTACATCAAGAGTGTTTCTGAACAGTAGTTTTTACTCTTTCCCAGAGTTTATGTGCCTTTCTAGAACATTCATATGACATGTTTTAAAGCATTCCTTTGCATGAGAAGGCTTTATGTTTTGGGAAACGATCCTGATGGAAATAAACCTTCCAGCCTTTTACATACCCCAACAGATTTTTGTATTTCTGTATTTTGATCCCCCCCATCTTCCCCCGACACTCTTCCCTGTCCATACTGAAGAAAAGCAGCACCAGAGCATGATGCTGTTGTCACCACCAGGTGTGACATTGGGAATATGACCAATGTTTGTCTCCACCACACATCATGGTTTGCGCAATGATTCAAAAGTTGCATTTTGGAGTACTGCTTTGAACTTCTCCCTGACTCCATGCCAGACCTCTTTGGTGGACTTCAGTTGTAATCATGAAGTCAGATTAGCATAATCTAATCTCAGAACTCCAGTTAATAGTTTATTATTAGACCTTTCAGTGTGTGACTGCACTCCCGGGACTGAATAGTTTTTTCACACTTTTAAAACTTAGTAAAATAAGAAAACATTTGTATTTCATATCACAAGGGCCACTTTGTGTTGGTCCTTCACTTAAAAGCCAATGCAATTTGGTTGTTTGTGTTTGTAACATGACAATATAGTAAAAGTTGGTGTTTAAATACTTTTTTCAAAGCACTGTATTTATATTTCAAACTCATATTAAATAATTGTAGTAAAAACACAACTTTGCACAGACAATGTATTCTACACATGCCTGTGTATACATTGCTCTACATTTTAATATTTTTATTTTTTTGTTTTAAATAAACCTACAATTTATATCTGTATAATGTCTGTATACTGTCTATGCTGCACCAGTATTGACATGAAGCGATCCCCCAGTTCAGGCCCTGTCATTTAAAAGAGTTATAATAGAAAGGCTTCTGTTTGAGCAGAACAGCTGTTCTGTCACTGTCAATGTTGATATTGATCCAACTCGCAGAGCACAGAGGATGTCCCCCTTCGTGGGACACTTCCTGCTCACGGATCCTGCCTTTGAAAGGATGGGCCTGGTCCCATTTGTGACCAGCAGCCAGCCACAGTACATCCCAAAGACAAGTCTCCATAACTGCAACCTTAGTGAAAGCTCTGGCTCAGCTTAAGATCATGTTCAGATGTGTCTATTTGCACACACTAGGCTCATTTTAAAGCTGTAACCCATTGGACCATTTTTATGTATCAATTACATAAAATGTCCACAGGTCAAAATGGGTAAAAAGCACTAAACCAGAACCTAAATATTTCTAAACGTATTCCTTTCTCTTTTGAGATCATGTTGTCTGTATAATTCATTGTTCAGCAATTTAAGTGGACTACATGGTATTACAGTGTATTAAGGCCTAAATGGCATAATCTTTTTACATAATGTTAGAAAGAGGCTGAAGAGTCCCTCCCTTGAATAATCAAGTACTCAGGTTCACACCTGCCAATATGGCGCTCTGTGGAGAGACGGTCAGTCTGTTGTGGGCTGGGGTCAGATGCTCTGCGGCCAGATCAATGTGGGAGAAGTCATTATCAGGTTATGAATGCTGCTGCTGGAGAGTGCTTAAAAACTCTGCGCACCCTCTGTCCACTGGTCGATCTGACCATCCCCATTGACCCCGGGCTCGGTCCAAAAAGAAGACCCGAATGGGCTTGACCTTTCAGCTCACCCTGAAGGGGGATGTTTCAGAGCAACAATGGCGGAGGTCTGGCCAGCATAGAAAAGCACATGATAGTCCTTTGGTGAGTCACACCAAATTCTAACAAATACTTTTGAAAAACAATTCACCATCTTCAGAGCTAGTTGTTATACCCTTTAGGTTATAAAATAATAATAATAATAATAATACAGCATATAAATGTCTATTGCTCCATGGACCAGGAAGTTACAAGATAAGTTACCACAGAAGTGGCGACCACCTCACAGAATGCATCCTATTGAAAAAGGCTACATTAAAGCTGAGGTACTTCACTTTCAAACCACAAAAAAGAACTGTGTAACTATGAACTAGTTTCTTGCTCTGTTTGGTATTGTCACTAGTTTTCACATGCATGTGTCTTTGACTTCTCTCACAAACAGTTTGTGCGACACAGTGGCTTTTCAGTAAAAAGGTCCTGGGTTCGAATCTCAGTCTCAACTGGGCCATTCTGAGTAGAGTTTGCCTGTTCTCCCTCTGTCTGCGTAAGTTTCCCACAATACAATAAATAAGAACAATAGGAACAAAACCTCCAGCTCTGGTCCTGACCAAACAGGGAATCATGGAGCATCAGTTGTCTGGAAACCCATTTCCACTGCTACGGACAGAGACCCGAGAGGCTTTGCAGGATGGGTCAAATGCAGAAGATTTTCTCTATTGGGACAATAAAGTATAGCTTGACATCTTCAGATCCAGTTAGGCTTACACTAGACTAAATAACAAAGGGCAAGTGTCTAAATAGAAGTGCAGTTTGAAATTGAAACAAACAGCATGGTTATACTTCATTTACATTTTCAAAGATGAAGAAAACATTTGTACTTTTCCGTAGGGACAAAAAAATCGTTTTTAAATGAAAATAGATGATAGGTACCCAAGCTTTAAATAGTTTGATGCCAAATTTCTCCATGGAGGATTAAAAAGCCCCAGTAGTTGAGTTGCACAGTTCCACGTGCACTCTGCCTCCCTCCTCTGGACATTTGCAGTATTGTCACAAATATTTATCAATAAAAAAAAAAAAGAGTTTTGAGAGAACAGCATATGTTAGGTTTAAATATTTATTTTCTCTCTGAGGCACACATTTGTCAGCTGCAAAGAGACTGACATGACATACAGCCATGTTACCTTTTGTGGTAATGCACATGGTTTAACATTTATTTTTGTATTGTACACAATAAAAATATTCCATGTACATTAAACGATCATTAAAAGTCTATAGTACAACACAGTACAATACATTATAAAGGCCTCTGAGGTGCACATTTAAACAGCCTTCATATTAAGAGCATTATCTCTGTAAACATTTAAACATTATACTTAAATAGTGACAAAAGCAGTGTGCTGACAGACTCAAAGATACAGATAGATCAGTAATAGTAAGACTTTCATAATATTAGAAAAGTATAAAAGTGTGTTCGCTGAGAGAAGACAAGAGTCGGTGTAATTGCTGAGTAAACATTATAGTGTAAACGTGTTATAATCATTAGGACTTCTGTCTTATTTGAATATTTTACACGTTTTGTAATCTGTGCATTGTAGTAAAAATATAATCGTGTGCGAAATGCCTCCAAATGTCAAGGATTAAAGACAGGGTCTGTAAGTGTATGCTCTACATCATTAAAACTTGATTACTGCTTTAGTCAGCACTTTGGTGAAGTCAAACAGCTTAATAGTGGTTTTAGGATAGTACAAATCTATAAATTAGGTCGTATAATCCAAAATATATACAGCACTGCTTCTTAGACAGTGTGAAATATATAACACTGCATTTTGTTGCTAAATTGATATGAAGTGTACGGTTTATTACTGGTCCAAATGATGTTTGTGATGTTGACAATCTGCTACATAAACATACATTTCCTGCTTCCGCTATTTAATGCATTGGAATGAGTTCAGCCCAGAACTAGGTCTTTGCTGACAAAGTTTACAAACCAAAAGTAAATGTGTCTTATTTAGATATCTACAAAATATATAACTTCATGTATTTTTTTTTTACATGGGACGAGCCAAAGCAGGTTTTCTGGTGCTTTCAGTGAAAGAGTAAATTATGTTTTTATGTTAATATTTAGATATACTGTACAATGGTATATTTGTGGTCCTAATAATGTTGATAACTGCATTTAATTTTCTAAGTTGTAAAGATTAGCATCAACACATTTATATTCTATGAAATTTGGTTGTACACAATAAGGACACAACCACGGAACAATATATCGTTTCCTTCATTCCTGTTTCTAAAAAAACAATTTATATTTTTTCACATTATTTTGGTAGAACATTGGCAATAAAAGTTCCAAGCTGAAAAAGGCCAATTATCAAAGCATTTAAAAGAAAACCTCTTCCCCATTGTTCTTCAGCAGAAGTGTACATCACCACATAGTTAGTGGAGCATAGAGGGCGCTGTGGTCCTAATGAGTCCCACCGGTGCATTTGCCCTTAGTCCACGCCGTCAAAGCCTTGGGCGTTCTCAATGGCAATGTTCAGTTTTTCTCTCAGTTCTTCAAAGGACTCATACGGAGGCAGGTCCAGCCGATTAAAGCTACAAGTAAATGACAGAAATAATGACGATGTTAGAAAGTGAGATACAAAATCTATCCCAGTTCTTGGGCCATGTTTGACAAATAAATGAGGAAACAAGTTTAAAAATAGAAGAAGTAGTGCAACTCCATCTGTTCCAACAACACACATAACACAAGCCAATAACCAAAGGGCTCACCATGTGTGAGCCCGTGGTAACTTTTCACGCGTTCCCCACTGCTCAATGGTGAAAAGCTGTGGTCCATTAGAACCTACAAAACATCAGAGATTAGGAAAACTGTTTTATCTTGCAGTGCAAGACATTTAACTCACCATACAGTTCAGCAAATCCATTCATGGGGACTCTGGACGTGCCGGTGACAAACTGTAGGAGTCTGATCCGCTTCTCTGCATCCATCAGCAGCACAGTCTAAAAATACAAATGTGAAGATGAGAGTAACAGGTTTCAGGTGCTGTTTACAGGATTCAGGCTCAGAAGGACGTCTTACTTTCCAAAACCACTGGATCACTACGTGGTTGGCGCAGTAACCGTTCTTGTACTTTGTGTTTTCTTTCCAGTCATTTACATCCACATCTCCTAATCCACACATGAGGAGCTGTGAGAGTAGAAGGAGAGAGATTACTTTATACATGTTCAAAGTATATTAAATAAATTACATTAATCAGGTCAGCAGTAACAAACCTCCAGCTCATTCTCATCAAAAATCTTTATTACATCCAGTGGAATCAATTCAAAAAAGCCCTGAAATTTAAATTAAATACAAATTAAGTTTCCTTGTAAGGCTAAAATGTAAAATAGTCATCTTACCTCTTTGAAAGCAGTCATCTGTTTTTGTATCCTGTTCACAAACCTCCATTGTATCACCAGACTGCAAAACAAATACTCTAATAATACATGTGAACATTCATACATTTTCTTTCACTTCCACTGCAGCAGACTGAGAAGAGACAACTTTCATACAGTAGGTGTTCCCAGGCCTCTTGCCCAAAACACCGCTCCAAGGGGGTGTCCAGTAGGCATCTGAAACAGTTTCCCCTAACACCTCAACTAGCTCCTCTCGACATGGAGTAAACAATTTTGGCTGCTTGTATTGTGTTCTCGTCCTTTCGGTCATTGCCCAAAGCTCATGACCAGAGATGAGAGCATTGCCCCATGTCTCAGAGAGGGACAGCCACTCATACATGGCTGCAACATGAACATTCTTCACCAAATAATGTGCAATAGTTTATCACTTACTGGATGTATTCGTTCTTGTTTTCATTTGTCACCACAATTTCTGAGCCGTCAGCCTTAAGTTCGCGCTGATGAGTCTAAATGTTAAGTTGCAACATATTAATCTAATAACCTTGTTAATGTCAACGTTATTTGTATTGCACATAGTAATACAAGTGTCAATAAAACAAACCTGTCCAAAGAGTTCTTCATCAACAGTGAATCTCAAGTCCAAGTCTGTGGGGTCATTCTCCAAAATCCACATCAATGAGTTAAAATATTCACTGTCCTAAAAGGTGAGGCGTGCATTATAAGGACTGACAGACTGCAAGATACTGAAAGTTCATATGCTTCAATAATACTTACAACAGACTCCATGTCTTGAAGATTAATTGGTTTCTGAAGCATCATTTTATAAAAAGGTCGGATGAAGAAAGCTTAAGGAAACAAAATACAAACATAAGCAATCATTTTATTCACCAAAGATTCCAGTGTTTAATTTGAAAGGCATTGATATTTGAATTAATTTAACTGAAACCAAAATAACAAATCATAATTTCTTCTTTCTGTCAGACTTTGTTTGAAATTGTTGTAAAGATCTCAAAGAAAACTAACCGTCCAGAAGCTTGCCATGGAACACAGCCATTCCTGCAACACGACCAATAAACTTGAAGTACGTGAGGTGATCTTCGTTGCATAAGCCTGAATTTGGATTGATCTGTAGCGTGTAGTTGTCTCTGAAATTAAATGACATCAACATTAGTTTTAGGAGCTTCTCAAACCAAATGTAACACCTGCTAAATACATAAAATCACTATTCCTATAACTTATGAATACAACACTCACGTAGCAGAATACTCAAAAAGCCCATAGTATGGGTTGAACATCTCTCGGGACATCATGAAGAACCACTCTCTGGCTATTCCTCCATAGTCCAGACCCTTCTCTCCCTCAAACTCCACCCACAGTCGAGCCTTGAGCAGCTCCGGCCGCTTCACTGACAGGATCCGCCGATAGGAATCCTCCAGTACTGCAGCACGTCTCAGTTTCATCTCAAAGCGGTTTGGGATATCAGCCTAAATCAAGTTCAATGATTATGAATTACACTCAATGTTATGTTCATTAAATATGATCGAAGAAAAATACATACTGGTTTCTTTAGTTTCTTTCTGAAGTAATCATACTTCTGTTTGTAGTCTCTGGAATATGGCACTGCCTAAAAACACTGTACATTAATCTTCAATTGACTACATTCATAAAAAAACAAAAATATTGAGGCCATTTTGATTTGGTATTAGGTGTAGGTTCAGAAGGTGTTTGGGCCTGTGTTTTGTCCAAGTGAGAGTGTGCGTTGTCTTGTTTTGTTGTTCAACCCTGGTACTTGTAGTGTGTTGTCTTTATGTTGATGCATGTGAAAATGATTTCTGCAGGTTTGTATTAAACTAAATAATCCATCTATTTCCACAGGAGCAGAAAAATGAACTCACTGGTCCAGCTATGGCCGAGTTCTGCAGTCTGGGATCCTCCCATTGAGTGATTCTGGTATCTAAAAACATGAATCATTGAATTAAGTAATGCCCATTCAATTAAATACAAAATTAATATACATACTATGATCTATGTAGAATATACGGCCATCAGAATGAACTCTTTCCTCCCAACCAGGCTACCAGCAAAGAGAAAAAAATGTCATCATTCACAGGTATAACAGGGTACAACATTATACTGTCAGTGTCAGAGAAATTACTAGAATGACTTAAAACAAATCTAGCTAGTCTAAATCTAATTAAATCCTAAAATAAGTAATTTACAGTTGTTTGTAGAAATGACAGAACAGATGATCTCTATTCTGTTTGAGCTGTAAGGCGTTTGGTTGCAACACCGATATAAATGTACCAAACAAGCTATGGTGTTGTCTGGTGTGTGTGTGAATGGTTGGTGGTGGTCGGAGGGGCCAATGGCACAGACTGGTTGCCTCGCTTCTGTCAGTGTGCCCCAGGGCAGCTGTGGCTACAGTAGTAGTTTATCACCTCCGTGTTTGGAGTGAATGAATAATGACATGTAAAGCGTCTTTGAGTGTCCAAAAAAACGCTATATAAAACCGATGCATTTTTTTATATATATATATTTTTAACAAGGAAGACTGAAGACAAGCCACATCTCTGGGACCCACAACAGATCAGCTCATCTCTAATCACCACGCACCTACTGCACACAATAATCAATCAGATCACCACTGCTTAATCCACAATTCACATAAACTCATTTGCTTTCGCCTGTTTTGTACCCCTCCTCCTTCCCAGCTCCACCTTGCTTCTCAGGTGGTTCATTCGACAAAGGCTGCCACCACCAAAACCAATATTAACCCAATCACTGCCAGGGCTTCTGCCGGGGTCTGAGCGCCAAACATTTATAATTGTTCAATAAAAATGGTAAATCTATTCCAATAAAAATTGGATTATGTGTATTATCACACTGAATGTAATTATAGTATATTATAATAAAAAACTTAAAGTGATTGTCTGCAGTGTGTCAGAAAAGAAGAAAGAGAGGTACTTGATTTGAAAAAAACGACGCAAGCTCTTTCCCCCTTCCTTTCTGATTGGTCTACACCTACGTTTCCGTAACACATTTAAATGTTAATCAGAGAACACATTATACATGTACATTATTAATACAGATGCACAGAGGTTTTCAGAATTATTTGTAAACGTTTTCATGAAAAAACAATGTTTTAATGCACAAAAAAAGCGATAGCGGCAAACCCGGAAGTAGATATTTCACAAGTTGACAGCCAAAAAATGGTCAGGGGTTTCTCAACTGATTTAATTGATGATAATTTTGGTGTTCTGAGTCCGAATATCACATGCATTTGCTCTATCAGGTCAACTTTTTGAGATACAGCCATAGTGTTACGGATTATGCACGTCTACGTTATTATGAATTCTGCTTATCAAATTTGATGGAGAAAATAAAAACTGAATGACTTTGGATACGTTGACTTTTATTTCTTGAGGAAAACGGAAAAAAACGTCAAGGGTTTCTCAGCTGATGATCCGCTGAAATTTCTTTTTACACAAAATCGATTTAAAAAAATATTTCTGTAGCAAAAAATCCTGACTTGATTGAGCAAAACCAAGGTCATTTTCGGACTCAGAGCATTAAATTTAGTCTAATTCAGCTGGAAAACCCTGGACTATTTTCAAAAAATATTTTTTTGTTACCCAGTGTTTTCATTGAGTTTACCAAAACTCCAATCACATTATTTTAATCCATCATCACAAGTGAGAAACCTGGGCGTAATCTTTGACTCTGAGCTGACTTTTGTTTCTCACATCAAGAATATTCTTATTCTTCTCTTCTTATCTTCTTATAAGATTCTTATCTTTGAGATTTGCTTTTATCCTATGAGCTTTCCCAGCCCCTGCGCTCCTCCAGCAGCAACCATTCCCAAAGTCAGGACACACACTCACGGTGAAGCATCTTTCCAGCACTACGGCCCCCGTCTTTGGAACAGTCTGCCGGAGGAGCTCAGGGCCGCAGAGTAGGGATGTAAAAAACTATGAATTTTCATGACCGACCACCGAGCCTCATTAACCGGTTGAAACCGGTTAACCGCGTAGTTTAAAATAGTCCACGTTCTTTGAAATAACAGCCATTTCGAGCCGCGTACTTTTCATAAGTGCAGCTCTGCGTTCTACTGGATCAGAGCTGAGACAGCGGCGCCCAAACCCGCAACAGCTCCGGCACCTTTGCGCACAGAGAACTGCTTTTTTAATCTTCCCATTCTGCTGTGCTGCGGGTTAATACCAAAACTTTCTAGCAGCAAACGACGGCTCGTTCACATGGTCAGAGCAGCGAGTGACGAGCCGCGTCTCACAGGTCTTCACAAAAGTTTAAATACAAGTGATGTGTGTGGAGCTGATCCCGAGGACCATAAACACAAACATGTTCCATGTGGTTTGACTGGAGCCGCGTATTTGCGCGAATCCTTTGGGCTCCGTGACACAGAGGAGCGCGACAGACCGGTATGTGTGTATGTATGTGTGTGTGTGTATATGTGTGTGTGTGTAAATATAAGCTCCAATGTAGTTCTGACCCGCGCCAGTGTGCAACTTTGACGGTAACAGAGGGGAGAGATGATGCGTGTGGATGTTACGTATGGAGAGGGGGAAAGTGTGTGTGTGTGTGTGTGTGTCTGTGAGAGTGTGTGTGTGCGCGTGCGTGCATATGTGGCTCGTGCGGCGTGAGAGTCGTCCCGGAGTTTATAATACATTGGCGCACACAGCTAGATACAGACCCGCTCGTCACACCGTGCAAATAGGGCTTAAAATAGCGTTATTAAGAGACCTCCCCTCTCCCCTTTTTCTCTTTTTTTAACCGACAGCTTTGACCGGTTAACGCTGTTAACCGGTCAACCACCGGTTAAACGGTCGCCGATTTACATCCCTACCGCAGAGAACGTTCATATTTTTAAAAGCAGGCTCAAGACGCACCTTTTTAGATTAGCTTTTGATTTGTATTTATTATGTTTTAGACAGATCTCATTTTGGTTCTTATTTATTTATTCACTTTTATGTATTCTGTTTTGTCACTTAATTTTAGGTAGCTGTTTTACTCTTTATTGTATTGTTTCAGTATCCCCAGTGTTTCCTCTGGAGGAGCCCTCTGCACTGGGAGCTGCGGTCTGCTGTGGCTGCAGGGGTCTGGCTTTTGGATCTGGTAGGGGCCTTTGGTCTCCTCTCTCCTCCAGGTCCTACGAGGATCTGGTGGGAGGTCTGGGGCCTCCTCTCTCCTCTGGGTCCTGTGTCGTCCCCTGTGGTTGCAAGCGGCTCTCTGCTCCTGGTGCAGATGGCTCCTTGGATGGCGCTTCTTCAGCTGGATACATCCGCACCCAGCCCTATATCTTTTCATAGTGTTACCTATTTTACCTGTCTGATGTGTTTTTATTTGTCTCTGTGTGTGTGTGTGTGTGTGTGCGTGTGTGTGCGTGCGTGCGTGCGTGCGTGCGTGCGTGCGTGCGTGCACCGGTATATGCATCTCGATGTATATCTAATAATTAGGGTGGTTTATGGGTGGGTCTTTGGGGTTTATTGGGCATGTTGTATTGATTTTGACTCAGCTGTAAAGCACTTTGTGTGGCATTTTATTGTATAAAAAAGCGCTTTATAAATAAAGTTTGATTGATTGATTGATTGAACATTTTAGGACACATCTGCAGAGGATCTGATTATGGATATAGGTTCTGTATATAAACGGGTAACTCAGCGCGGATGTTCACAATTCTTTGTTCAGTTTTCATGTAGTTTCAGAACCTAATGGAGGCTTGATTCGGAGGCTCCGCGAAAACAAACAACTGAGCATGAGCAGCTACAAGCATCAGCGCGATGATTGACAACCCTTGGCATGACTCGATTGGTTAACTTCAACGGCAACGTGGATTCTGAGCTATAGCTAAGAGAAGGGAAGGCGGGACTTACCCGTAATATTCAAATTAATAAAATGACTTATTTTATATCAACATTTAAGGACAGGAGGTCAACTTAATACAATTCTTAAAATTTGTAATTCATTTAGAGTTACATACAATCACTTTAGGTAATGTGCTTTCAGAATGAAACGTTTTTTTTATTGATACCCATTTTTCTGAAGCCAAAGTGTTTTGAACAAAGGCTTGGAGGGGCTTCTTATAAATGTTTTCTTAACTTTGCCCGTGAGTTCCAATCAGATGAGATGGTGTGGTTTGATGTTAGTTATTCATTATTATTATTATTATTAGTTATCGGCTGATGTTCCTACCGGCAGAGCGCCGAGATCTGAGGGGTCGAGTGAGGCCCTCCTCCTCATTTGCACTGGAATCCTGAGCCGTGGGTCTTCCTGCTCACAAGAATGCAACAAGGATGTGTGTCATTCACAGGATATGGGATATGGCGGAGACAACATTCTTCAATACCTTACCCAAGTGGTTGTCTTTGTGTTATGGTTGATGAAAAAGGGTCTCCCGTTGGGAGCACTGCGGACCTCCCACCCGTTGGGCAGTGTCCCTGATGGGTCAGGTGTGGGCTCTGGAGCCTGGACTGGCTGAGGACTCTCCTCCACAGATGACTGTGATGTTCCAGGGCTTTGGAATGGACCCTGCTCCCTCTGCGGGGACGATCCTTCACGAGCTCTCTGAACAAAGAAAATCAGAATTAGCAATGGGAATGATCAAAAGTATCTGTTTGTTTCAGTGGCACAGAGGAGTACCTGAAGAACAGGGCGTGTCCATGTAGTGGTTCGACTGAGATGATTCACGTAGTAGCGTCTTCCTTTATTGTCTCGCTTCTCCTCCCAGCCCCCGGGTAACCCAGGTGTGACTGGAGGAGGCTATTGTGTAGAATAAACACATGAAATATGACAAAGGTGCCCTTTATATACAGTACTTTGAAATAATATATATTTCAAAGTACAAATTATTATTTGTTAAATACATGCACAAACCAATGTTTTATTTCACAGTGCTAGTAGTTTGTAATCGTGTCTGTTGTGTAAACTAGCTTTAAAATGAGGTAATACATGACATGGTAGAACATAACTGATATAAAAAAAGAACATATATATATACACACCGCGGTAACATGGTCATATTTAAGACCATAAACGCACCGCACAGAACTATTCTCTGCATGTTGTGTGCGTAACTGTGCAGCAATAAATACATATACTGAAGCTGAACTACGGAGCTTCAAGAAGTGTCTCCTCCGGTCTTCTCCTGAAACGCAACTAAACTTGCTAAATTAAAGCTGGGGTACGTAAATTTTCCCTTTCATTAACAGCTCATGTTGGTTGTGCTCAAAAATAAAAGGTTGTGAGTAAAGCAAACAGATTTAAGTACATTTGGAATGAATGACAATGTGTCATTACATTTGATAATCTCATTCAAGTGGATTTTAAATAGAATGTAAAAAATGTTAAAAATTGTAATCGTTTGACAGCCCTAATATAAAGACAATCTTACAATACCAAAGACAATTGTACAACTGCAGCACTCACCACAGAGTTGACAGGATGATCCTCCCCAGTGGAGGATCTGGTGCTGCTTCTAAGACTGGAATGGCGCGAGTTACTCTACAAGAAAAAGAAACAATTAAGAACTTTACCCAAATATCACTATAACGGCCCTGTATAGGGTTCGTTCGGTGTCGGCTCATTTTGTTTGTTTTGGCTGGCCCAACAGGTCCAACTTTAATTTTATTACTTTAGGTTTTTGTGTTCTGGATACAGGGTTGGGTTTTTGGATTTATATTAAAAAGTACAGAGTTCACTCAGAAGAGAAATAAACAAATAAAATCAATTTTTGAACTCTCAACCTGTCTCTGTGTCTTCAAATATGTTTTGTCCTTTGTGTTGTAACACTTTCTAATTTCTATAGTGAAATATGATAATAATAATAATAATAATAATAATAATAATAATATGAAATCCAAACATCACATAATGACAATTGTGATTCCGCTGAACCTACAGATAATGTTAAGATCCTTACTGGACTGGAGCTTTGCTGGTTTGCTACAGTTGCTCCCGAAATGTGAATGTTGCTCATATCATTGCAAAATGAGTGAATCCGGACTGGTGAATGTGTTCGAGGGGACAACACCGGATTACTGTTGTAATATGAAGTAGACTCTTCCTCAGGTATGACCTCCCAGCTCTGAAAACACACAGGGATATAAGATACCTGGACAATCATCAGCAGCGCAGAATGCCATTTCAATTAATAAAAATGAGCCGGGAAACAAAGGATTTTTGCACACACCTCTCAGAGCAATGTCAAAATGCGCAATATAAAACCACTCGTGTCCACTGTCACTTCACTTAGCCAATACCCTCATACTGCTAACATGTACAGATTTTTTTCGACGGACAAAAAGTGTTTCTTTGTAGAGCATACCTCTGATGACTCTTGTGCGTTCTGGTCTTCAGGGTCTGAAATTTGTCTTCGCGTGTTAAAGGCATGCTCAGCTTCAACATTACTGCTTTGTCTCCTTTGCAACTCCACACCATTTTCCCTTGAACACAAAAGGAATAACATGTTTATAACAAATTAACAAAGTATCCTGCTTAACTATCCGTTCCTTACTGAAGAGTGGGCCGCTGCCACTGAGTGGTTCTGCTCTCGTGGTTCACATAATAGGTTCTTCCAAGGTTGTCTTGCCGTTCCTCCCAGCCAGGGGGCAGTGCAGGAAGGACCTGGCTCTGCCTCGGACCTGACATGTCCTGAGACTCGAGATACTCCCAAGCAGGCTGCTGTAGACAAACATCCAACCCAATGTAGACACGCATTTTGAAGGACAGAGAAATGTAGCAACTCACATCCACATCTTCAGATTGATCAGCGGGGTCCTGGGTTTGGTCTGGGTTTTTGGGAAGGTATGTCATTTTTAGCCGGAGATGACCCTTTACCCTTGACTTGTGACTGCATCGTAAAAACAATAACATAATTATATAAACATATAATTGATAAGCATAATAATCACATGTTCCATACTTGTATAATTTGTTCAAAAACATTTTTTTTTTTATAAAATGTGAAAAAACAATTGTTGAAAAAGTCTTAATGAAATGAATCCAACCTTCGGGGATGAAGCAGAAAATCCTTGAATGTGTATGGTCTTTCTGAATTAAGATTTTCAGTCTGAGGAGGTAAAAATAAAAATAATAAAGGTTTGCATACTGTAATTATAAAAAAGTTTAGCATGAGGACAAATCAGGAAGTGTAGTTTGTTTATAATAAAACATAACTCAGAAGAAAGCATAAACATGGTCAACTGTGTTTCCAAAACGAAGCACATTCAAGTGGAACGAAATTTGTTTTGTATGTACAGTATGTGAAGGTTTGGGTCAAAGTCAGGTTAAAAAAGGACAAAATAACATCAATATCACACATTCTATTACGTGAAGAATGTACTCACAGGGATCTGGTTTAGGGGCACGTCCACCTGTCCCAAGAAGTCATCGCGAGTCTAAGAAAAATGCACAGATGTAAACAAAGCCTTAAAAGACCGACACACAAATTCACATGAGCTCAATAAGTTGTAATGTTTTATCATGAACAATAGAGCACATTTCTGACTTGGGCTGTACAGTTGTGGAAAAAATATAAATCTAATTGCAATTTTTTTATGTAATTGACAGTGGCTCAGTTGGTAGAGCATTGGCCTTTGCTGTTGTTGTATTCTTGGGCAAGGCACTTAACCCGACGTTGCCTAAAGCCCCTGCTGAAAGATCAAGGCTATGTCATCACTGACGGAGAAGCCATCTTCCTGTGGACCCACCACCTGCAGGAGGATCAGAGAGGGACTGGTGCTATGAGCGTTGGGTGGCAACTCTGATTGCCAACCCACCGACCCAGAAATCGACTAATAAAGGGGTAGAAAACGAATGAATGAATATAAGTGTTTTAATAACTTAGTGATATGCGTTTTATGTTTTGATAGTATTTTTGATAGTAGGAAATCTATTCATATTACAGAGAAAACTGAAACATAGGAAAATATATAATTTCCTTGAAGTAAGTCATATTATCTAGATTTTTGACAATATTTGACAATAATGATTATAAAGTCATGAATATTGTTATTACATTTATAATTTTACAAAGAAAACATAATAAAGATCAAACCTAAGTATTTATTTTAATTGTTTAAAGTTATTCTTATTGCTATCAATATTTTCTCAACTTATGATCGAAGGCTAATAGCTTTATTTGTTGTACATTGATTTAATTTGACACAGAAACGCCACAAGGGCCTGCTTGCTATCTTATGTTGGCAATAAAACTACAAAGAGATAACTGATTAACCAAATAAAGTATCACATGAGGCCTTTCCCATTACAAAGATATTTATGGAATATTTGTTGTAGTTATCATAGCCAGAAGAGATCTTATGACTGTGTAATAAAAGGATAATAATAAGGGCGACAGTAGCTCAGTTGGTAGCCAGAGGGAAGTGGGTTCAAGCCCGACTTTCACCATCGACTCCCACTGTCTGCTATCGTTGTATCCTTAGCAAGACACTTAAATTCTGGGAACACCAGATGCCACAATGCGGCTGTAAAGTGCCAAAGTGCCGTTGTGTCCTTAGGCAAGACACTTTACCCCCATTGCCTAAAATGAGTCTGGTGTGTGTGTGAATGGTTGGTGGTGATCGGAGGGGCCGATTGCACATACTGGTTGCCTCGCTTCTGTCAGTGTGCCCCAGGGCAGATGTGGCTACAGTAGTAGTTTATCACCACCGTGTATGGAGTGAATCAATAATGACATGTAAAGCGTCTGAGTGTCCAAAAAAGCGCTATATAAAACCGATGCATTATTATTATTAAGTTCAAACTAATTTCACATGGAAATGTATCGGCACATACAGTGCCTTGCACGATGCCTATTTTGTTACATTATAGCCTTAAGTTCAATGTTTTTTAATCTGAATTTAATGTGATGGATCAGAAGACAATAGTCTAAGTTGGTGAAGTGAATTGAGAAAAATATATACATAAAACTATTTTTCAGAAATAAAAACTGGAAATTGGCATGTGCATATGTATTCACCCCCTTTGTTATGAAGCCCATAAAAAGCTCTGGTGCAACCAATTACCTTCAGAAGTCACATAAATAGTGAAATTATGTCAATGCAATCTAAGAATCACACGATCTGTCAGTACATATACTGTACACACCTTTTTTGAAAGGCCTCAGAGGCTGCAACACCTAAGCAAGAGGCACCACTAACCAAACACTGCCATGAAGACCAAGGAACTCTCCAAACAAGTAAGGGACAGTGTTGTTGAGAAGAACAAGTCAGGGTTACGTTATAAAAATATATCCAAATCTTTGATGATCCCCAGGAGCACCATCAAATCTATCATAACCAAATGGAAAGAACATGGCACAACAGCAAACCTGCCAAGAGACGGCCGCCCACCAAAACTCACGGACCGGGCAAGGAGGGCATTAATCAGGCAGCACAGACACCTAAGGTACCCTTAACCCTGGAGGAGCTGCAGAGTTCCACAGCAGAGACTGGAGTATCTGTACATAGGACAACAATAAGCCGTACGCTCCATAGAGTTGGGCTTTATGGCAGAGTGGCCAGAAGAAAGCCATTCCTTTTAGCAAAAAACAAAATGGCACGTTTTGAGTTTGCGAAAAGGCATGTGGGAGACTCCCAAAATGTATGGAGGAAGGTGCTCTGGTCTGATGAGACTACAATTGAACTTTTCGGCCATCAAGGAAAACGCTATGTCTGGCGCAAACCCAACACATCACATCACCCAAAGAACACCATCCCCACAGTGAAACATGGTGGTGGCAGCATCATGCTGTGGGGATGTTTTTCAGCAGCCGGGACTGGGAAACTGGTCAGAGTTGAGGGAAAGATGGATGGTGCTAAATACAGGGATATTCTTGAGCAAAACCTGTACCACTCTGTGCGTGATTTGAGGCTAGGACGGAGGTTCACCTTCCAGCAGGACGATGACCCCAAACGAGCCCAAACGAGCTCGCCATAAGTCTATGGCGAGCTCATAGACTTATCCAAAGCGACTTGGAGCTGTGATTGCCGCAAAAGGTGGCTCTACAAAGTATTGACTTTAGGGGGGTGAATAGTTATGCACATTGACCTTTTCTGTTATTTTGTCCTATTTGTTGTTTGCTTCACAATAAAAAAAAAAAGACAACATCTTCAAAGTTGTGGGCATGTTCTGTAAATTAACTGATGCAAATCCTCAAACAATCCATGTTAATTCCAGGTTGTGAGGCAACAAAACACACAAAATGCTTTTGCAAGGCACTGTAGATTAGGGTAACACACATTTAATTTTACATCAAAATAAAAACAAAACACATATTCTAGATAGGACTTAGAATGACATGTACTTTTTCTGAAGAACTCATTGAATTGCACTTGCTAAATACTTGTGGAAGACTTCAAACTTGACAAGCTGCTAAATGTGCATTGGTGGTGGTGAGAAAACTGATCCTGCACAAACAGAAGTGGGGGACCCAGAGGGGACGCACCATCCTCTTACTGGAAGTGGCCCACACTCCTCTGCGTGCGTGAGGAGCGTGAGCCTCCACAGATGGCAGGAGTGACACTAGTATCATGTTAAATCTGAATCCACAGGACTGTGCGCGGCTGCAGACCACCAGACTATCTGGAGTCAGGGGGAATATTTATATCAGCAAGTGGCACTGCTTTTCCCACCACTAAATATAGCTCAGCTAAATACTTAAGGCAATTACTCATACCGTTAAAAGTATGATAAATGACTTTCAAAAGGTTTAGAAATGAGGATAAACTGATCAACTATTTGCTTTAATTCATTGTGGATTATGTCAATAAAGTAAATATATAATATCTGGATAATATACAGATGTCTCTGCATGGGGGAAAAAATCAACAACGCAAAAACTTGAACTTGTATTTTGCACAATAAACAAAAGGCCTTTTAAGAATGTTTAACGGCAGGCTTATTTATATAATAAATGGAGGACTGAAAATAGTGATTTAAGACTGAAAATATAATGCTACATTTGTATAGTTATATGTGAAATAATTAAATTCAAATTCAGAGAAATAATCTAAACCAGTTCATTAAACTATCAAATGCTCTTTCTAATCAACAAGGAACAAAGTGAAGCCATGAAACCATGAAAAATAAATACTAACCTCTGTGCTTTCATATGGACTTGTGACTAGTGGAGACTTAAGGCCATGCAGCAACTTATTTTGGCAGAAAGGAGACAGATGGATGTGGACATGAGGAGAACAGGGACTGAAGAGTTTTGGGTTTGAAACATGACAAGAAATTCCAGTATTGGAGTACGGCACCTCAAGAGAGAAGCTCCTTTGTATCGCACGATGACTCTGGGGCTGGCCTTTTTCTGAGGCGCGTTTCCTTTTATTTGGTGGTTTATTGGAAAATAAACAAGCAGATGTACTTTGATACAACTTTCTGTAAGCATCATGATCTTTATGGGGATGGGGAAGTCTATTAAAAACCTCAGGATGATCCACTTTTAATGTTCCTCCTTTTGCAGGTAAAACAGGTTTTGGATGAGCAAAGTGCAGTCGAACACAGCTTGAGTGGCGATTTGATCGGTCCAACGTACAAGATTGCTCCATTACTTGATTACATTCCTCCATTTTATTTAATTGTACAATGTTTCTAGCAGTCTTACTTGCTGAGCTGCCCCCCCTTGGGGGAAGATGGCCACTTCCTGGACCGAGACCATCACAAGTGGTATCTTCTTCACCAGAGATTTCACTTGGCCCAACAGCAGCAGTGCAGTCAGGTGAAGCTGGTGGAGTGCTGCACGGACTTTTTGGAAAAATAACCAAAGAGGAGCATCGTCTCAGAGGAACTTTGGATTTACGGCGGAGAATGCAGTGCTCCTGGATAGTTCTCTGCTTTTCCAGAGAGTCTGGTTCAAAGATGCTGTTACTGCTACAGTAGCCCGGGTCACTGGCCATACTACTGCATGAGCCTTTGTCAGAGCAAGCGCCTGCTCCTCCGTCTGCATCTTCTGTACTAACATCCACATCCCCACTGGGCTTTCCACATGGCTGCAGAGCTATCTGCACAACACCCTTCTTTACACATGCTCCAGCATTAATCCTTGGAATAAAGAGTGCAGAATGCTTTTGTAAAATCCCATTTTCTGTTGAGAGAGGAGTCACCTTTAGGTGGACAGAAGACTGCGCCAGGCTCTCTGTGGGGCTCTGACCCGAAACACCATCTCCAGTCTCTTCACCCTGGCTGAGGCTCTCTGACAGGGGGTCCGTGTTACTTCTTCTCGACGCAAAATGCAAGCGGAGCTGGCGTGCCATTCGTTTAACTCTCTAATCTCTCCACACACCATAGGTTATTCATGATAAACAGCTTGAAAGAAAAAAAGAACGGCAAAGCAACTGCTCCGTGCTCACTGCTGTGATCACAATCATTACTGGCTCCACATTGCCAAAATAGCTCTAGTGACAACCTACATTCCTGTCCAGGCTGATCTCAGCTTTTAGTCAGAGAAGGTCAGTGATTCTGTTTGGACGCATGACCCAAACATACAACTCTAGCAGTCTCTCTTGTCGGCTCAAAGAGCTTGTCAATGTTAAAATATTGCCAATGGTAACACAGGTGAACAAAGACTTTACTGTTGAGCAACTTTTAAGGGCTCATATCACAAAGTCAGCTGGTCCTGTCAGGCACACGGTGTTATCCAAGAGAGCCCCTGTTTACTGACTACATAAACAAAAAACCAAGATGGTTACCCTCTAAACAGCCGCTTATGACAACTTCCTGCAGCTGCAGCTCTGCTTTTTATATTTCTAATACACATATTTATGTACGATTAAAATGACCAGAAATTCAAGTGACAGTGGTTCAAAACAGTTCAGAAAGTCCAGAGAGAATAGTAGTCAATAGAAAAAAAGAGAAATTTGCAAAAACAAGAAAAACAGTAAGCAACTCCTTCCTTAGTGAAATGACACCTGTCATATGACACCTCTTGTAACAGTTTGTCCAGCTCTGATTGCCACTCCATAAATGTTGACATGGCATTTATCAAAGACTGCCTTTTGCAAGTAACCTCTGAGCAGGAAGGAAACATAGAAAGAGTAATTAAGATGGGTGTGATACATTCTAAATAGCACAGTTAATATGAGCGAAATCAGTGTCAAATACAGCTTTCTCGACATGGAACATGACGCAGCAGTCCTGAGCAGACACACCCCTTTATTTAACCATGTGACTGTGATATCTAACACAACTTTGTATTCAAGAGGCATCTGTAGAGAGCAGAAGTGTAGAAATATACAAGGACATATTCAGCTTCTTGTTATATGCAACATTGAGGATATTTTCCCATTCAAAAGATACACAAATCTTTTTTCATTTCTCACCATTCTGATAATCCTGGATGTACAATGAAAAACTAAAATAACTTATATAAATATTGAATAAGACATTATATCAAATGGTCATTCGACTATTTGCTTTAACTAATACACTTACAAGGTACTCAAAAGAGACATTTATTTTAAGCAATAACATTATAATCACCAACATCAAGTCGACACCACCACAGGTGCTTAAAAAGTACCTTTTTAACCGGTTAGCTCCATGCCATCACATAACTGAGACCTTGAAGCGAACAGGTTTCACAATGCAAATCCACATTATGTGCTCTTTGGTCAACACAGACACAGCCGCACACGAGTCTAAAGCCAGATTTACCCACATAGACAGACACGTACCAATAATACTGCACATGTTGAGGCAAAATAGGGGTAGGAATGCCACTAACCTTGTAATGACTGGATGTAGAGTATTATGCAGATAGTATCTTCGTGGAATGTACAAATGTATGCATGATAGGATATTGGGTATAAAAATTATTTAAAAAGAGGCAAGCAATGTATTATATAAGCATATTACCTCCTCAATTATACTACAGTTTTAAGGAAATTAACTTTACAACATGACATGGCAAAACCTATTGTGTAGAAATACACTTTTTTTTGGGTCAAATTCTGGTGAACACTGTAAGCAGAAGAACTACGACAAACTACAATCCTCGTCTGTCTTTTTCCAATAAAAAAAAATCTGAGTAACAAATAAAATGTACAGATGTGCACTAGAGAGTGTAACAGGTTAGAAAAACACCAAAAGCATGTTTTCCTGCTGACGTCAACAGCTCCTCTTTGCCAAATTACCCAAAATAAAATAAAAATATAAACAATTAAAAATAAACCTTACCAGGCGATTTTCATCAAACACTTCCAGCAGAAGGCGATGCTGACTGGGATCGACCTGTAAAAGTGACAATGACATTAGACATATGCAACAACAAAAGACTGAGCTCACTGACTTACTCTGAAAAAGAATTCTTCATTCCATTTTGGATCCAGAGTCTTTAGAGAAAAATACAAAAAACAAAACTGTCATATAAAGTAGAGTGTCCATGTTTTTTATAAGACTACTATCTACTACTAGACTACTACTACTAGACTACTACTACTATCTATTAATTATATTACCTTTGTGCAATTGAATGATCCAACTTTTTACATTCCTCAAAGCATATTAAACATGTGAATGCAAGGATTAATTATAATGAAGTATCTCTCAAGTCAATTTATTGTGATTGCACAATGACATTAGATTCACTCAAATCTAAACTAAACTCAAAAGACAAATGGAAACATGAATTGGATCCTATTGAACCACAGGTATGCGTTATAGATAAAAAATGTTTTAACTTATAGCTAAAACTATGAAGGAGTTTCTGCGTAAAAGAACATTTTGATCTTAATTTCAAATATAATTCACATTTTTTCTAAATATGAAACAAATCATTGATTTTTTTAATCAAAATTTTAATCCTTTTTGCTGCTGTCATTCACCTTTTTTATTGTCTTAGTTTGAAGACTTGTTATTTCTCCATTAACTGGATCATACAGAGACAATCTTGTGTAGGGGTCACTGAAAAGAAAAGGTGATGCAGAGAAATCAAAATTGAAGCCATAGTATTTTTATGATACCATTATTTAATCACTGTTTTGCTACTGCTACTGAAACATAAATACAACTTGTAATTTGTAAACATTAATAGGCAAACGTGAAATGAGAAATTAGATATCATTGGATCTACTATAATTGTATAAAACATGATAAAAAAAACACATTGTATAACATACCTGGCTCCCAGTAAGTCTTTTTTTGCCAAACCAATTCCAGAAATGACTTTAACTTTGAGAATCCTGGTCTCGTCCTGAAATAACAAAGCAGTAATAATATATATATATATAAATTGGTTACGGGTTATAATGGGTAATTTCAGAATAAGTAAAACTATGGTCAAATCACAACAATACAATTATTGCAATAAAAACATTTATCAACAATAAAATAATATTTTTCCATTTTCATGTCCCGTACTGTTGTATGTGACCAATATTATAAAACGTTTTCAAACTTCCTGAATGATAATAAAAAGTGAATCATAAGTTATTAAATATAAATATAACAACTTAAATATGTTTTGAATTGGTGCAAATGACTTGATTTTGAGCTAAAGCAATCTTTTTTTGTTCTATCTATTATTCGTGACCTCCCAAGTTGATAGGGGCTTGAAACACCTTAGCATGACCCGTGTACACAGACCCTGACCCTTGACTTCCACTTCTGGTTAGGGTCTGGAGACTCAGGCATGGCACTCCGGAATCACAATACGTGTGTAGATTTTATCTATGATTTATCAATCATTATACATTACATGGATTGCGCAATTGTATGGGAACCATCTGCTGGCAAAGGCGTTCACCATCTAGCAAACCTGTCGATCTATCCGTGTCTCAAAGTAGTTTTATTTTATTTACCACAGAGAAAACCCCGATGCTAGCAACTATTGTTTTACTTGGCTTGAACTCTGGATATGACAAGTAGATAACTCACAATTACATAGCGACTGTATTAGCCAAGTTTTGTGTTAGCTCAACAAGTCGCTTGTTGCTAACACAGTGATCACTTCACTTTACCTCATCTGTAGGAAGTCCACGGATCTGCGGAGAAAGCGTCGCCATAATAACACTTAAGCCCGGACAGACCTCCTTCCCGCTGTCTTAAAGAATAGGTTCGATTGTGGTAGTATTCTCTGCCCCTATCCTCCGTGTGTCTTGTTTACGCTGGTGTCCGTGAAGCAGATCTACTGTCGGGCAGTGACCGCCTCCAGCCATCCTCCTGCTCGTGCGACTTCCTCCACCTCCCTTACTGTAACTAACTAAGTACAACCATCAAACAAGACATTACCTGGGCACTACCTTCACCAGGAGTGTGAATGGTAATAAACACCAACAATGAACACTAGATACATAACAGAACATCAAAATATACTAAACTAATATACAAAAATATGGACACTACAAGGTGAAAGCCCCCTCACACGCTGATCAGTCGACAATGTGCCATGACATTTGTGGATATTGCCTACACGGCTCTAATTACTATCGTCATGTCTGTGTTTATATAACTCATTTGCTAATTGGACTTGGTGTGTATGTTTGTGAAAATCCATAAATAATATATTTCTCTAGTTTTTTTTTTTTTTTCATACTTTGTGTCATCTTCACACTTCACACTGTTTTCTTAATACATACAGCTTAACCAGACATATTTTAATTTCTTCTTTTCTTTTCACCCCGCTATGCTCCCCTTGTGTCAAAAAATAAGGGATAAAACAAAACAAAGCGAAACAAATACATAGACAAATAAAGAGAAAGTATGTATATATACACAAAAATAAAAAATATATATACAAAATAATAATAATAATAATAAAGTAAATAAAATACTCTTAACAATAGATGGTTATTCTTATGGCTATATGTTAAATAGTTTTCATGTTATACTGCTGAATATACAGAATGTGTAGTCAGTCGTCCTCTGTGTCCATTTTTGTTGAATTTATATATACATACACACCCGCACAGATACTCGTTTGCACACATATATACTCATGTACATACATATACGCATACATGCATACGTACATACACATACAGTACACATGCATGCATATACACGTACACATGCATGCAGACATATAATCACACACACACACCTGTAAACACACCATATTTTTCTCATATTTCTCTTTCCCCTTCAGAAGCTCCTCTCTACTTAGTTTTATGGTTATTGTTGAGATAATATATATATTATATACATACATACGCACACACATACACACACATATATATATATATACATACACACCTACATGTATACCCACTTGTACCCACACACATATACACATACACATATTTTTTTTAAGTGGGCACTTTTAAGTAAATATATCATCGAAGGTGTGCCATTTTCTCCTGAATTCATCTTCCTCATTATTCATTTTGTGTGACAGTTTCTCCATTAGCTGAACCTCTTGAATTGCTTCCATCCAGTTTTGGATTTTGGATTTTTGGATTATTTCTCTAGTTTGAGGGGGAAAGTTATTGAAATAGGACATACACCTTAATCAACTTCTACCAGTGATAACCTATTATGAATTATTCCCTTTAGGTTTTGAGCATACATTATGAAACACAAGATAATATCAAAAATGTGGACAGAACAGAACGATTGTCCTGTTTTGTTGTAGACCATGAATGTATTAAATTATGACCCTTTCTTGAGTTAGAGTTAGTATACTATAATTCAAATAAATTACCTTTAACTCACTTAAAAAACTTTATTTCCAAAACACATGACAAATCAAAAAGGCTACAGTTAGATTATAGTGCAGGTCTAGCCCATGTTATAGAGTTGAATCACAAACACGAAGGGAAATATTTCACACATACATTTTGAAAGGAAGATGGACTAATTAGCAAGACTAATTCTTAATCATTGCATACATTTTTTGAATATTCAACAGCAAAAACATCTAGCTCAAAATCTTTCATGTATATAGGCTCCAGTTTTTACATTGCAAATATCATTTTTTAATAAACATTAATTTAAAAAAAGTTATAAAGTAAAAAATAAATATATTTGTGTCTGTACAAATAGGTTATTGTAGGCCTAGTCTACTGTAAAGTACATATAAAACAACAAAACTAAAGCAAAATTTGATATAGTATAATGATAAAAAATTAATCAATTTGGATAGTCATTACTATCATTTTCTAATTTAAGAGGCCAGAGCACACATGTACTTTTTCTTTGGTTCATAGGGTTTGACTTCTCAATGTACAATTAGTTAATGGTTTTAGTAAATGAAACCATATTGATTATCTAGACGAAATAATTTTGGTCTAAAAGAAACAGTGCAGTTAACATTATAAAAAAGGACATTAAAGATTGTCAGGCATGGCAGTATATGTTACAATGACAAATGCTACATTTATTCCAGACATAGAGGCTGTCTAAATCTGATCAAACTAGTTAGATATATTTGGAATTTAAACTTACAATTAATTACAAAACAGACATTTTACTTGCATGGTTTTGAAAAAGTGCTGATACCCAATTCATGGGCTGAATCAAATGCTGTTGTATTTTCTCTTTTTCACCTAATTAACAAAGTAAAACAAATAATATATTGCTCTTTCAAATCTACAAGATCTTAACCATCATAAAATGACCAGCATTTTATACAAATCGACATAAATGTAAGCTTGGCCTTGTACATTTTGATGCAATACAAATTACAAACAATCATAAATACCAATCAGCAAAACAAGTTAAATTTCATCCCATTAAACCAACTACTGAATGATCTTTACTCTCAAACCACTCCAGCCCACCAGAGTGTGCAGCCTCACTGCTGATGGGCTGATACACAACAGTATTCACCAGTTCCTCTGGAGTTGCACTTTCATATTGCACTTGTTGATGATTTGGATCAAACAGTAGGGTTGCATCTAACGCGTTAAGGTCATTGATGCTGCTGGTGTGATCTGACGTCATTCTGAGTTCATGGGGGAAGTTTTCTTCAGTGTTTATATCCTGCTCAACAGTGCTGGCAGTAAGGCGGTTCTGTTGTACTGGTTCTGTGCAGCTGAAATCGTGCTGCATCGCTGTTGCTGGTATGTGCTGCTGAGACGGGTCTCCTGATAAAGGCAATTGACTTTTACTACTGTCAAATATAGGAAGTTCATTACCAGTGTTCTGGAGAGTGTAACAATGGTGAGAGGAGTTTGACAACAAAAGATTGCTGCCAGAAATGTTTGGGTCAGATTCAAGTATCTGGCTGAGGTTCATACAGGCACTATAGCTGGATGGTACATTATTCACTCCAAGGCCTCGCATAGACTCATCATGAGACCTCTCCAGTTTGTTCAGGAGCACAGCGCCCAGGTGTTTGGTGCAGGATGACTGGCCTTGTGGTGGTATTTCCTGAGTTTGCATCATGACATTGAGTGGAACAGAGCGACTTCTTTGTTCCAGGCAACTGGCAGCAATATTTAACTGATTACCAGAAAATACATTGTATACTTCAGGTGTTATAGGAGAGTTAAACGGGGAAAAGACTGAACAAGGGATATTTGAAATAGCACTTTTTCCGGTATTGGCACTTAAATTTCTTTGATGTACAGCAGGGCTTACACTCCTACATCGAAAAGAGTTGACTTTAATATCTAATGGAGCAGGCACGGCAAAGCCCTCCTGTTTGCTTGTATTCGCCATGCTTGCTACATGCTGCTGCACTGGAGAAATGGGGGTTAAACGCCCAAAAGAGTTTTCCTGGTGCCTTGCATGTGGAATGGCAAAAGCATGGGGTTTTTGAAAATGGTTGTCAATCAATCCTTGATAGCTGGGAACAATGCCCATTCCACTATTTGATTTGGTTATACTACTACCGCTGTTGTTGTAGCTATTATTCATCCACTCTAGTCTAGTCTTGTCTGGATGTGTAGCCATTGGCCTCTGCATGGGCTTTACAGGGCTGCTGGTAACATTGATGTTGTCTTGATAGGCAGTGTTGCTGGAGTTGATAGGAGTAAATGCAAAAGGATTTCTGCACTCGACTGGACTAGGAGGCACAGTGCTGCTGCAGTTTGAGACCGGAGTTCCTAAAGGTGTGTGACGGCTGCTTCCCAGGGCACTGTCCACGGGTGTTGTAGAGGCCATGCGTGAACAAGGACTGTCCGCTGTGAGGGCTTGGGTTCCCCCTATCAATTCTGAAGTGGGAGTAGGTGTCGGTGTTGGAGTTTGAATGGGGATGTAATGATTATTTGTGGCAGTATAACAATCAGTCATGGTTTGATAATGATTCACGTTACCTTGGATTCCAGTTTGTTGGCTTTCTAGCGAATTGCAATTTCCAAAGTCCTTGAGGTTCAGTTTCATCTGCTCCTCCATCTGCACTAGCTCTTCCACAATACTATCCTGTGTCACTTCATCATCAAAGGAAAAATAATCAATGTCTGGCTGTGGGGCTGCAGCATTTGTTGAAATATTGTGGTTTAAAAAACACGTATTTTCAGAAGCATTGTTTTGTTGCATGGGATATGTAGTTTGACCTCTATCAATACTCTCACATGAATTTGAACCTAAAATGTTTTGTGCAGCTGTATTCTGAATTTGATTCTGTAATAATGCATGGTTAGGTGACATGATACCTTCCATAACAAGGGTATCATTTCTTTGCATTGCACTTTTTGTTTTAGCTACAGAATAAAAGCTACTGCCTCTCAAAGAGGAAGCATGGGTGTAACTTTGGGAAGTCATAGTGGAATTTATTTTGATCTCAACTTCCCTGCTCACTGGAGCACTGTCTGGGCGAGTTAGGCCTTCATGTTTGTTAGCCAGTATTGCTCTTCTACCACTTTCTGAAACCCCATCAAACATCTGCTTTGGTGAGAAGAACCGTTTGCTTGGAGATATATTACAGATATCTGGGCTGAAACCTGGACGTTTCCTTATGTTCTTTGGTGATATGACGTTTTGATTTACAAATAATGCATTCCTGCTTCCTACAGGCAATTGCCTAGTACTGATCTTCATTGAGGAGGAAGGGTTTGTATTATGAGAAAAAAGTGTTGGGTTTACAAGATCAGGACTATTTTTGTTTGCTACTGTAACCGTGCTGAGAGAGGGCGTCTCGTTGCTATTACTGAATGCCATTTCCTCCACTCCAAAAAGCTTCTTTGTTTGTGGTATCGGTACACTGGCAGCCCGCTGTTTAGCCCCACCACATGGATAAGCAAAACTTCTTTGGCTACTTTCATGGATGGCCTCGACTTCCATTTCAACATCAATATTACTGATGTCGGCAGGTTGTTCTTGCAGTGTCACAGGTGCTATAATGGGCACAGTAGAAGCACTTCTTATGCTTTGACTGGGTCTGCTTTCTTCTGCGGGGGTTCTGATCCCTGCAGATGCTGGCCTGAGGATAGAACTGGTGAGAAAGGTGGTGGCAGTATGACTGTTAGGTGCCAGAGATATAGATGGCATTTTCACTAAACTAACAGGATTAACATGACAAGTTGTCATCACAGTTTGAATTGGGCTGTTAGCGAGTATCATTGTTGAAGGGGAGCGCAGAGCAAAGGCAGATGTAGACAATGGTTTTGGAAGAATTTGTGGATAGCGCTGCCGTGCTGATCCTGCTGGATTGAAGACGTTTTGGGGGGTTGTGAGATTCTGCTTCGCTGTCGAAATTGACTGGTTCACCATGTGGAAATTAAGTGGAACAATTTTACTTTCCATGGGAGCGGCCGGGCTTGGGGATAATAATTGTTGGCACGTTTGAGTCTAAAAGTTAGAAAAATAATTAAATCCAACAAACATGGTTATAGTTTTAATATTGTGTATATCAAATGCCTTTCTTACCATAATGGGGCTTGGAACAGCTGCAACCATAATGCCTATTGGTGGCTGAGGTGTGGGACGGGTAGGATTATTAAGCACACTGTTCTCTTGTTGGTTTTGGTCCTCTCCTGGAGTAGGTGATTGCAGTTTCATTTCTTGTTGCTTTCGCTGGATCTTCCTTTGTAGCTGCTGCTTGGCATCAACAGAAGGGGGTGACAATGCAGTGACTTGAGATTGAAATGTGTTTATGTCTGCAGCGGGAACAAAAGATGAGATTGACTGAGGAGTTCTTCTCTCTGTTAACAAATGCAATTCAAGTCAATTATGCAGTAATCTGCATGTACCACCAGATGACACTGTTGTTCCTCTAGTCTAGTCGAGCTATGACCAGCTGTCTTACCTGTTGCAGTTCCAGTCATAATAGTAAGGGCTGACAAAGACTTGTTGCTTATGTAGTGACTGCTAACCAGAAAACGAGCCAAGTCTTCCACTTCATCAAATTGACGTTTTAAAACTTTTTGGGCCCATTCACAAACAAGATCACAAGCTGCAAAGCGCATTTCTTCTTTTATCCCACTCATGTGTGCAGGAGAGTCAAGAATGTCACACTGTTTTGTAAACAAAATTACAGGTGAATTATATAACAACTTTAAATATACTTATTAAAAAGTATCATTCTCACCCCTTCTCCAGCTTTGTTTAAATCTAGACTGGGGAGGCATGGCACATGAACAACTGGTCTCTTTCTCAGACCACTGTAGCAATATGTAAACATTGGTTAAGGGTAAATGTTGATGAAAAAAAGAGACATATTCATACAACATATTGACAATCAAAATACAGATGAAATCTCAGTGGGATTACCCTTGTAAAATATAAGTCAAGTAATGTTTTAACATTTAAAGCCATTTTTCAATACAATATAGTACACCAACACAAGAAAAGTAAAAACAGAGGTCACAGTCACATTCAGTACCTTCTGAGGCGGTAAGATACCATGTCCAAAGTAGAGAGGACTTTATTTCATTTCACTTCTATATTTAGAGAGCAGCTTATGAGCTGCAACAGCAGATGGTGGAGACACAGCCTGACTGTTACAGTTCATTCAAGTAAAGTCAGTTTGACTGAAGGATATTTTGATTTTCCTCTCATGCCAAGTCGACGAGCTTTCATATTTGGAAAGACATTTTTCATCATTTTCCCAAAGTCCGCTGCACTCAAAGGGTGGTAATTGAGGTTGTCACAGAAACTCCTGAAATATAGAATTCCAAAAGGATGTATAAATAAAACGGGACATACTTACAGTGTCACATGTGCTGAAAATACGTTACTGGTAGTACATTTGTGAGGCACCTGAATACTAAAATTACATAGTTATATAATAGCATTTTTGAGTGGTCTCCTGGAGATCTACATTTGAAATACATTGAGTCAATATAACACTGAAAGTTTGATTGTAAACAGTGGGATTTCTAGAAAACAATGCTATTTATTTTGACACTCTACTTGAAAGGGGGTATACATTTACAGGACAGTGACACAAATAAACCTAGTTGTTGGTCGCTTGTCATTATATTTGTATTAACTTTTTTTTTTTTTTTCTTAATTATTAAGTTAGTGAGTGAATTAGAAATATACCTCCCTCTGCTTTGTTCAATTTCTAGTACTAAGTTGTGAAAGGCATTTGGGTTTTTCAATTGCTCTCTCAGACTTTCCATTCTAATATTACCAACACTTGCTACACTGTAATTCCCAAGCCTCCAGCATCTATTTTTACTGACATTACAACTCTGCCTACTGCACCAACACAAGAAAGTTAAACAGAAAGAAGTATATCGTCACTGTAATGGCCTACCAATTTAAGGGAAAAGTTTAAGTAATTTTATTCAAGTGAAGCAAGGGCTATATTTTCATTTTCATATATATATATTTAAAATATATTTGTCATATATGTTGTGTATATCAAAGGGAAAAGGGTCAGAGGTTAAGTGGGGACGCCCTGCTGATTTTGAGTTTGAGGGATTTTTTTGCATTCTTCCTGATAACAGTCTTCCATTTGTATCTATCGATCAATCCATTGTAATTTTATCAAATACGACAATTTGCTGATTTAAGGTGTCCATACATTTGTTCTTACTATAGGCTATATGTAAGTCACATCAGTCTCTCATTTGGGTTGCCATTTTCTGGGTCAGTTTAGAACACAGGCAACAATGAACATTTGTAAATGAACTAGTAATAGTGTAACATATACAGTTAAATTTAAATTCTAGCTCTATCAAATGGCTCATTAAATACTAATACAAGAAAAAAGACATTATATACATTTTAAAATGTATATAGTTATTTTTTAGTGTACATGCAAAATCTTTCCTGGACAGTTTACATACTTGTACTCGTCATAAACCTCTTGCTTTGGAAGAGAAGTCTCTGGATACTCCTCCAAATGGTTTCGTATCCAGTTAAATGCATGGGTCTGCTGTGTACGACTTGAAGAGAGGGCATTCTGGTCACTGAGAAGAGTAAAACATTATTTGTTATACAATACAAAACATATCAACTTCAACTGAGCCAATATTGTGTAGATAATTACATTTTTTCTGGGGTGTTGCAGGGACCAGAAGGCAGCTTAAGGTAGAGGTAGAGTTTTTCAATGTCTGAGAATTTCTCAACATCGTGCTGCAAACAAAGGTGAAAAAATGTTTCTTAATGTATATTGAATCATTGGCAGGTGAAGAAAATCAAGTCCTAAAACACTGCTATCTGACAATAATACACCAAGTGTATTATTGAGCTACGAAAGTTATGTATGTGCTGGACTGGCACAGCTAGGTCTAAATCGTTTTGTTTTAACTAAAAATGCAACATTTATTTCCATAAGAAGGGGGCACTAAACTCATTTTGGCTTTATGGCTGTTTTACTTTGTAGGCAAAATCCTGAGAAAATACATTTCCAGCATTTGTAATAAACAACAAGGCCATAAACCTTTGTCAATAACAATTGTGTTGGCGATCAATGAATAGTGATCATTCTTTGCGATTGATGGTTTATTACAACACAAAAGGCTCATTATTTGAAAGCTGAATTTAAACTTGAATTGAAGACATCCAGATGAATTAAATCTATATATTCTGATCAGTCCGTTTTATAAACTAATACTTTATGAAAAATTAGCAAAAACAACTGTTAAAAAATTAAATTAAATCAAGTAATTGTTACCAACATAAATAAAATCTAAGAAACAACCACTTTTCACACTAAGCAAGGGGGAATAATCTTTAAGAATGATTTTTAAGTGAACTTCAACTTCAATTACAGACAGATACAATTAATACAGCCTTAATTAGCAGTGAAGGTCGTGAGTTGATTTCACACAAGCATTTAGCTAGTCCCTGAAAGGCTTAAGCAAGTGTAAGGCTTTTATTCTGTCTTTGAGAAATGTGTATTTACATTTTATTATTATAATCTAAGAAAGCACCCACTTATTCAGCCCATCAAGTATAGATATCAGTTATATTACATTGTGATTTGTGATTTTTGGCCACCCAACGGCACGTAGTGACTGCAGACAGATACTCTCAGAGGCAGACAAGCTTTCAATGTGCAGGACTGTATCTGTGTGTAAGGTGAACTCCAGTGATCTGCTAATAACCCCTCAGCGAGGACACCACGGCATTAGGTTATACAGATACATCTGCACACTTCCAGCACATGCTTTCATTCTTAACTGTTCACCCTTCAATTTTCTCCTTAGAATAAATCTTTATCTCTAGATCTTATCTAATTTGGTTTGTTCATTGTCACACAGGTTAACAAGAGCTGTAGATATATGCATTTAGTCACGACGAGCTTGGAGTAAAACACATAATTCTTATTAATAGCTGCTGTCATTTCTGAACAGGAAAATTAATTAGGTCCTTGGCTGCATTTCAAATGTAATCATACAAAAACCTTTTAAATAATTCAATGGACATCTTTGGCCTTTTTGGCAATGCTTTCAGTGTTCTTGGCCTGTCAAGCCTTATATGTTACTATGTCATTTCCTACGTACAATTTCAGCTTTTAACATAATTCACCTTGAACACACTATGCAGACAATAACGTTACAATCTCTCTATACAGTCTGTATGCTGCAGCAAAACATATCTTAAGAAAGCGCTGACAGAGACAAAACAGAAAGAAATGTTAAACATACAAAACCATACATGACACAACAGGATAAAATATCTAATGAAAATCTGTCAAAATAAATGAAACTTTCTTTAAATAATTCCCTTGTCATTAATTTAATCAGTGCATTTGTGTAATCTTTCATTGCTTTTATTGCATCAACCATCTATTCTGAGATCCAACATCTTAAGTACAATTACAATACAATACAATGTATTCTTGTATAGCCCTCAATCACAACAGTAGTTATCTCAGAGGACTTAACAACAGATCAGAGAATCAACAGTTAAGATACAGAAAATGCACCTATGTATTGGTCCATATGGAGAGACCAATGTGCATATGTTGTAGAATGATTAAGTCATTTTTCAATATTAAAAATAACTGAATGAAGGTCCACTGCTATGAAGGCTTATCAGCTCTGCAGTTTTGAGGGAACATTTTTATATTATGGAGTAGTTTCAGATCAATATTGCAAACAAAAAGTAAGTGTGATATAATGTAATTCTTACTACAACAAATAACATGCGTAACATGTCTGCTTTAATGAATCACAAGCAGCACGTGCATATGTGCTTGCAATTCAGTTACATTTATAACTTTAAACTCACCAGAATGTTTTCCACTTTGGACTGAACAGATTTGCTGCAAAATACAATAAATAAATTAGTGAGTGAAACGTGATCACTTGTGTCTAAAGCAAATTTATTTATAAATCAGGGGAATGTTTGGCATGAGCTGACCCTCCCTTCAGCATCACTCAGGTCATGTAACCACCATCCAGAACACATGTTGTCATATGTAAAAAATGAGAAAGGCACTGCGTCGACATTGTCTTTAAAGCAAAGGTAAACAGTTATAAACTGGTATTTACATCGAATTGCATACAACTGTCATTTGTAAAGGTTGCGGTTTATTCACAGTTAAACTCACAAAGGCCATATCCTTGAATAACGTCTTCAGATCTAATTGCTAATCTGCAAACAGGTCAGACGGTTGTTGACAATGAGACAGAGACGGCAGGTTATGCTCACAGAGTGGTTGGGAATCAGGAGACTAAGCCATGACAAGAACAGTTCCCTTTAATTCACTGTTACCAGGGGACAAGGATTGCCTAGGCCTTTATTAAGCTGCCTGAGAAGCAGGTTTTTAAGTCCAGAGAAATACACCTGAAATGAATTATAGTTAAAGCCGGAATTATATTTAGTGCTTGTTATTACTACATATTATGTATTCTATTTACTAAATGAATGGCATTCAACATGTAATCTGAGTTCAATATGACTAATAATAATATTGATAATAATAGTGTGTTAAATTGTCAAGCACAATTAATACACAAGCCAAAGTAATTTGCAAATTAAGTAAGGAAACATTATATTTAAACAAAAAATATTTTTTGTTACTATCATCATCATCATCATCATCTTATGGATAAAAATAAGGACTTGCTTGTAAATTGTATCCAAATTAAAAGCAGGGACTATGTCAGAAGACTATATCTTACCATATTGAGTTCTTTATCCTTATTTGCAAAGCACTGGATTCGGCGCTCTGCAGTCCAGGGAGCAGTCCTGGGACGATGCTGGGGGTGGCAGCCGCCCCCCTCGTGTCGTGGCTCTCGGACATAGCAGCGGCCCTCACAGTCGGCCTGAGTTCAGCGGCACTGGAGACGGTAGAAAAGCCTTAAGAACCATGTGCCCACTGCCTAAGGACACGGCGATGCTAACGGGACAGAAACGCGCCCTGTTGTTGTCCCCCTGACCACCTTCAACATAGCTTAGTTAGTTCAAGTTCAATCAAAGAACATAAGCACAATACATCTTAAACAAAAAGAAGGTAGTTGCAAAAAATAATAGCCCAAATTGCAGTTTTAAAGCTTGCAGTCTATTTCTAAGAAAACCGCCATTATGCGCTCCGGGGTGGTCAGTGGCTCGTGGTGTATTTGCTGCATGTGCATGGCTCTAGTATAGTAACTACTGCATGCGCGCATGCGCATATGATCGTAGGAATTAAAAACAACACAATCATGTCTCTGCCTTTAGACCATGGACAGACCTGTGCTGCTAACTAGTGGCATAGGGACGCTATCTTACTCACCCATTAATACGTGAATACACGGCCGGTTTAATATATGGCCACAGCCTACTGTACAACTAATAAGTGCAACGGGTCCAGCATATGACAGGTTACTGTACTACACTACTACTAAATCATAGTCGATGGTTGATTTAATCAAACCTAGACTTCCGTTTGGAAAACTTTATAAACTTCTGGTTGTTCATGCACCACATACATGGGTCAATCTACAAAACCATAGATCTTGTAGTGTTATAGTTCTATACTACAATCTCAGTGGTTAATGGTTGCTTAGCAACCCCGCGGGCGTCTCAGCAATGGCCGAAAGAAGTTTACAAAGAAAAGCAACCGCATCGGCTTCCAAGGTACTTTGAGCTAAAACTATGTTTTTCAGCACTTCACATGTGTATTAAAGTATGTATCGTTTATTGAACTACCTCTCAAAACATAACGTTTGCTTTCGTGGTGGTAGAAAACCGAGCTAGGTTTCGTGTTTCGCCATAACCATAGGTCTAGGTTAGCTCATAACATACATGTTCAAAGGGTCTAGTTAATATTTACAAAAGATCTTGTTCATATTTAATATATATTGAAACGTCATTAGTAATGGTTTATTTTCAAAGGCGAGGAACACTTTGTCAGCAAGTTGTGAAACGTATTTTGTATTAGGTCAAGAGGCCATTATGTGGTAAAAAGTCAGACAAACCAAAAATGTGTGACGGAAGAGGTCCTGGATCAGCCCCTGACGATTCTATACCTGCAAAAGAAGAGCATTACAAGTAAGACCAGTCCAAAGATAAGATGTACTTTATTAATCTCACACTTGTCAATTTTATGTGACACATTGTGTTAATATGATCTTTAAGACTTTTAAATGCAGAACTTGAAGCAAAAAATGCAGATATAATCAGACAGGCAGATCTACTCTTGGTAAGAGTTTTTGCGATCTACTTTAGTGTGACGAGGTTTGAATTAATCACCTTTTGTCATTCTTAGAAAGAACAAAATACACTTTTTTCAAAGCCCCTGTCGACTGTCAAACTCACAGACTTTGAGGAAGATGGGAGGTAAATTCTTAATTTATTTCTTTTCAAAATATTATTTGTGTTTTATAAAATTCTTAGGATAATGTTGCTTTACTACAGAATAATGACAACTTTACATGACAGTAGTGAAAAGCCTCACATTAAGGTAAATTATTTTTTTGACGAAAACGCTCAATTTTTTGCCCATTTTCCTTCTTTGAAATTATTTTTCTTCTGCATAGGTGAAGACCAAGCATCAGGCAACATTCAAAGCCATTCATTCTGGAAAACAGCCCAAAGATAAAACAATGTAAGACGCATTTTATTCATGATTATATTTTCTACTGATTTAGATCCCTCTGTATGATAATCCGCTTGATGCAAAGGATGCATTGAAAATAATAAATTGGTTGCACCACCATTTTTAATTTTATTATATATATATATATTATGTATATATAATATATATAATATATGTAAATAATCGCACATAAACAAAACACCCCATAAAATGTAATTTCACAAAACAAAATATAAAAAAATCTTCAACAAAATGGGTTTTTTATTATGATTTATTATTAGAAGATCAAAAATATCATCTGGCAACTATTTGGTTGCATTGGAAGAAGAAGCTGGTACATTTCTGTCAAAGACGATACTGAACATGGAAGAAAAGATGAATGAAGAGCAGTTTTCCGACCCCTTCTTTATAGAAACAAAGACACCTGGTATATATATGTTTATATATATATATATATATATTATATACATGTATATCTACATTCATAATATTTTACCCTGTGTTACTGTTTTTTTAACCAAGATGTTTCAGATGCGCAAATGCGAGTGTTGAAAGCCAAATTTCGGATTATGCAAGAGGAATTGGATCAACTAACCAGTGAATACTATAAGAAGGTATAAACACTGCCATCTTCATACTAGTACTGTTTAAGTTGATTAATGATTATTATCAATTGTAGGATGATGAAAATATTAGGCTCAATTCCAAAATCAAGGAGCTGGAGGAGGAGCGGTCAAAGCTACAAAAGTCAGAGAGCATCCTGAAGACACAAATTGAAAAACACAAAGTTTTGGTTGAGACATCTGATAAAAAGTGTGAAGGACTTCAGATGCACATAGTGGAGTTAAATAAGGTTTGTTCTCACAAATCACAATGCAGTAGCATTATTTATATTGTACTGTACCAATGTGCTTACAGGAAATTGAAAGCCTTAATAGATCCAGCAAACAGACAGCAACACTTCATAATAATGTAGAGATTCGCCTGAATAGAGCAACAGAGGAATCTCAGAGACTTAAGAGCGAACTCAACAAAATTAAGCAGATGAACAAGGTACGAGTCACTACAAGATAAAAGGTTGGATTTTAACAAAGTATTGAATAAATACCCAATGACCAAAGCACGCTTTTCAGAAATAAAGGTATTTGCAATTGTCAGTAACCAAAGTTGTATTGGCATAGTGTATATATAATATACAGTATAATACATAAAATAGTGGTAGAATAAAAATATTCTTTGTTGATAAAAACAACAAAAAAACAAGTCATCTTTAAACAGCCCCATTATGTCAAAAGGCATTATACACGTAAGCCATGCTCTTTATGAATATTTCTTTAACTGATAACAGTAGTTCAGCCGGGATACCCGAATTTCAAAATTGGATTTACAGCCCCAAAAACTTGTTATTGTTTACATTTTGATGTCCCGCCCTCCACCGGTGACCTGGGTTGCAAGACCTCACAGCGTTGAGCTAATCTCACTGGTAAAGTAACATGTTGCCGCAGAACTAAGGGGTCTTATTGTGATTCTCAAATCATTAATGACAAAACAAGGAATAAAACAAGGATTTCTGTCTGGGATGGCTTTGTGACAAAAATGTTGGTTATACATTTGTTGTTGACAAAACACTTGCCTATTCAGTTATTATGGTCCCAGCTGGATTTGTCGACCTATCTGGCAACCTGAGTCAGATCAAAAGCGGTACTGCATTCTGCCATATTTTTACATTTTGCTCCTTTAAAAGGAGCAATAAGTAAGATTTTCATGTCCTCAAGTCCTCATTAAATGGCTCTAATTTGTCAAAAGGCATTAATAAACCATGTTCTTTTTTAATACTTATTTAACTGATAATATTAATTTAGCCAAGATATTCAAATTTTAAAATTAGTTTTACAGCCCCTATATCTTGTTGTTTTAATTTTGATGTCCCGCCCTCCACCGTTTTACCAATCAGAAAGTCAGTGATCCGGGTTGCCAGAACTCTCCACGTCGAGCTAATCTCATGGGTAAAGTAACATGTGGCCGCAGAACTAAACAAAGGTCTCGTAATGATTCTCAAATTATTAATGACAAAACAAGGAATAAAACCAGGATTTCTATTTTTGTGAAAAAAGGTGTTGGTTATAGATTTGTGGACAAAACTCTTAATTTAGATAATATGCCCCAGCTGGATTCGTCTGCATACCTGGCAACCTGAGTCAGGGAGAGTGCAGTACCACTTCTGGCCAGAGTTTTATATACTGCTCATTTAGGTCACCCAAATACATTATCAGTAAATATGTAAATGTCCATTAAAAGACATGAAAGCTAAACAAATTCTTTGTGATGTTTGATTAGGACAAAAGTGATGAGCAATATCAAGGCAGAGAAAACCTACAAGCAGAAAATAAAAACCTTAAAAAACAGAAAGCAGAACTTGTTATTGGCTTCAAGAAACAACTAAAACTTATAGATATTCTCAAACGACAGAGGGTAAGTTTCTCAACTATTTTCTAAATCAGTTCACAGTTTATGCCTTCACCTTTTCTCTCCCAAACAGATGCATTTTGAGGCTTCTAAGCTTCTGTCCTTCACTGAAGAGGAGTTCATGAAAGCACTTGATTGGGGAGAGTTGTAATATTGTATTTAAACATTTTGTTTGTACTTTGAGACACAAATATTGACATTTGATCTGGATTAATACAAGTCTCACTGCACATCAGAAATAACTGGTTGGAATTCGTCTGATGAATAATAAAACAAATCTATGACCGATTCTCTATGAATCAATGGAAGGATGGTTTTGTATGAGTTTATTGTAACCTTTCACTGCCAAAAAGTTATTAATTATAGTCCTCCCAGTCGTCTTCTGAGAAGATATCAGCGTCACGAGTTTGAAAGTTTTTTCTGAAGTCTTCATCTAAATGCGCGAGGTCATCTACACGAAGCAAGCCCTGAAAATGACACATTATTATAAACAATTCAACTCAAAACAATAACAAAATGAATACCTTAGGAAGGTAACCAAGTAGCTGTTTTGCATGACGTTTAAGAAGCTTCTGTCTCTCTTCTTCAATGATTTTCATACGCAGTGCCTCCCTCTCCTCTTCAAGAGCTTGTTCTTTTGCAACAAACTCCTTCAAAAGATCAACAGAAAAGATTTGTTTCTTCGTCAGGCATCATTAGAAAATGTAGCCATGTGTTTTTGTTGTATTGTACCTTATCGGCCTCATGCTGCCGTCTCCGTTCCTCTATGAGTTTCTCTACTTCGCGTTTGTGTTCCAGCTGCTTCATACGACGTTTTTGAGCATTCATCTGCTCTATTCGATCATCCTCAGCAAACTTGACAAGCATAATCTTTCGGAAAGCTTCTTCTTCTTCTCTTTCTGCTTGTCTTTGCACTTCTTTGAAAGCCATTTGCTGCTGACAAGTCTGCTGCATCATCAACCGCTGACGGATCTTCTTCTCCATTTCCAACTGTGAGATAAACATTATTATTATTATTATTATTATTGTTATTATTATAATAATAATAACATGTCAAAGTATATTTTACACCATCACATCAGAAAACCTCTTCACATAAAAGTACTTACGATCTCCCTCTGTCTGTTAGCCTCTTGCTGCTCCTCTAAGTAAAGTTCTTCACGCACCCGCTCCATGTCTTCCCGCTGCTGCCGTTCTTTGTCAATCTTCTCAGATAACTAAAAAAAAAATATAAATCTTAAAAGTGTTTGCTGTGTTATTAGAATACATATTGAGGATATAAAATCGTGTGTACTAGTTTATGAAGTTTCTCCTTTGCAGCTTCCCTTTCTTTATTCATGGCCTTTTGGTTTGTCTCCTTCTGCTGCTGGCGCCTTGCATACTCCATAATTCGTCTGTTCTCAACGTCCATCTGCTCCTGCTCCATGCGCCTCCATTCAGCCTGCTGTCTCTTGAACTCTTCAATGTGTTCTTTAGTGGCTTTGACCTTTTCCAACTTCAGCCGTCTTTCCCTGAAATGTATTTTAGAATGTGTCAAGTCAAGTGATGTCCAAGATTGTAAAATAATTTCAATAAGTAGATTATTGGCATTAGCTCCCTCTAGTGTTAAAAGATTGTTCTGCTTGGATCAAAACAAATACTTGTATAAAAAGTATTTTTTTAATGTATCATTTGTGTTAGTGTTGTATTAGTGTGGTACCAAATGGTACCTACTAAGATGGTATCACATTAGAAAAATAAATCACTGGTGTTTATCCGTTTGTTTGTCTGTGAGCATCTTATCTCAACAAGTGACAGGAGATTTCAAATGAAATTTTTCAGGAAACGTGCATTCATCCATGCAGGAATAGCACTGCTCCTCTTTGCATTTTAGTTAAGTATTGTTTAGCAGGTGATAGTGTTCTCACTCACCTGCTAAAATGTTTTAAGATTGTATTGTATTTGATTGGATCTGTAGGAACCAATAACGCAACAGCCAAAAATAAAGCTGACCATTTTCAAAACGGGTGATAATTGGGTGATAATGTGAATTCTGGTATGCCGAAAATGTAAGACATCACTGGCTGGTTATATAATGGACATAACAATAACATTGGACGACCCAGAATCATTGCTGTAAGTAAGTTTTGTACAGTGCAGGAGATCAAATACAAAGAATTACAATATAATTTACACATGATAACAAGTCTGTCTGGATCTTAACCACTGTTTGAGCTCTCTGCTGAAGATGGTGATGTTAGTCTGTAGTTTTAGTCCGGTGGGGAGAAGATGTTATGTGCTCTGGGAGCACAGTGAGGCAATACAGCAGATTTAGATTTCTATTTTAAAGTAAAATTGTATTAAAAAGTGACAAACAAGAACTGCATCTTTTCAGTTTGTAGAGGACATATAGACACTGATTTTTATATTTGACATATAAAATTATTTTGGTTACATTATCAATAATGTAACCATCAGCCCATCAGGTAAAACATTATCAGCACACCAGAGTTATTAAATTATTGACTAGATATTACCAGCTTTATTACATTTGAAAATGGCAAAATAAAACACTGAACATTGTGGTCCTGACCTAAGATAGAATTATTAAGCAATACTTACATTTGATCCTCTTCGTAAATCTTTCTAATAATCTCATCCACCATAAGTTTTTCTTTGAGAAACTCGTCATAAGCTTCTTGTTTCTTGTTCTGTCGCTCCATGAGTTGGTCATCCAGCTCTTGTTGATAACGAATTGCCTCCTCATGTCGTCTCTGCTGAAGCTTCTTCTCTTCAAGACTAGCCAGTTCTTCTTCCATTTGCATCTTCCGTGCAAAGTCTGCTTCTGATCGCTAAAGAACATTTAAGATGGCTGTGTGCTACAGATGGGTTTGACAAATAATACTCCACATGTCATAAAGAAACAGAACATACCATTGAATCAAATTTCAGGGCTTCTTGCTCAGCAATTTGCGCTGCTCTCTCCTTATTCATATAAGCAAACCTCAATTTTGACTCAAGTTCTCTGAGTTCTGTGCTGAATCGTAGAAACGACAGAGAAAATAGGTTATTGAAGGTACCATTGAGGTACCATCGAAGTAACATTATTCATCCATTATTGGAATTATCTTAAGCATAACAAATAAACTCGAATACCTGTTCTCTTTAATATGCTGACGAATTTTCTCTTCCCTTTGCTTTTCACAGTTGATGCGTGAAAGCTCTTTTGCAATTCGTTCTTCCTGTTCTATCTGCATTTGTCTGTTTATTTTATCTCCTTTAGCCTGCTTGACAAATTATTACATTAGGTATTTCACATATTTAAAAAAAATCCAAGGCACACCAAACAACAACTCAAGGCACATTAACTTAACACTGATTGAAAAACAATGTAATAACCTACATGCAGCTCCCCAAAACAAACACAAAGCATAAAGATTTCGCTATGTCCAAAGATACCTTGAGAATGGCGTTTTCCATTTGTTTTTGGTTGTGCTCTTGGCGCACCTGCTGCAGGTTCCTCCGCCTCTCAAACACCTCCTCGTCCCGCAGACTCGCCTGTAGCTGGCGGTCTTTGTCCACACGCACCGCGGCCTCATGTCGAAGCTGCTCCTGTCGTAAGTTTATTAACCGCTGCTCGTTGTAAGACCATGCGGCTTTCCGACTCTAAACACACAAAGGCAACACAAGTATGTCATACGGCTACACTATGGGTAGCTAAACAGTAAGTTAACGCTAGCATATCTGCCATAATGAGCTCGCTGACCATAACTGCAGAAATATTCCTCCACAAAAAGTAGCTTGAACTAAATTGTTAATACAGAAAAAACTATCGAGAGGTCAGAAACGTAGCACCAGGCTTTAGTTTGGTATCCAGTTGCCATAGGAAACAGCGCCGGCGGAAGTTCCGGAAGCAGCACGCGAGTTCCTGCCAGACGATTTAGGTTCCTGGCAATATATACAGTTTATGTTCCTGGCACAGCCAAGGCTATATTTTATTCTATTATAGTTCTGTGCTGACTGTTGACACCTGCCAGTGTTTAATACGCATGGATCTATTGCTTTGGTCTCTCCCCCTTGTTATAATAGATTCAAGTATACAGTGTATGAAAAAAAATACGTTGGTATTAAAGGTTTATTTTACATTAGTACTCTTCTACCAGACCAGGATCTATCTTTGATTTAAAAACGTCTGCGTGTAAAATGGGATTTTTATGTGTCTGTACATTCATATATAAAAAATATATATACACACATACATATAAAAGTATACACATCTTATGTCCAGCAGCAGAAAACTCATCCAGGTCTGTTATAGTCTGACAGCTTAAGGATCTCTTAACACTTGTGTATAAAATAAAATAAAAAAAAAAAAAAATTATATATATATATATATATATATATATATATATATATATATATATATATAAATAAATGATACACATACTATATATTACACACACAAATAATGGACAGACCATTGTTTAAACAAATCCAGAATTTACTATTTTCAAATAGTGACAATGTGCTTAAGGTAATTTGTAATGATGGGGCTATGATGACAAGCACAGCGTAACCATAGTGTGCATTGCAATGAGAAGGATAAATACATTCATCTGTCTAAAGGTTTTGTTGAGAAACAATACATGTATTATGGCCAGATATGTAATGTGATTATTCTAATGAACACCTTTCACAGCAACTAAATCAGTTTGAAAATGTAAACATGTATTTTACATATTGTCAGTTGAAAATAAAATAAAAAAGACATTATGTACACTACTGTTTTTGTAGATTAAAAACGGTCTAAATTAGTTCTAATTGTTGCATCCTAATCTGAAAGTACTTAAAGAGCACTAGTTGGCTCTGGCGGCAACAGGGCCTGTGGATCTTCCGTAATCATTTCTGAGGATCCATTTTCTTGTTCACATTCAGATAATGTTGATTTTGCACACTTGTGGTGGAAAGAATCTCTTCCAGATGCTCGACAATCTCTGTAGTTTTTGATTTCAAGTTCTCAGCAACTGGAACCCTGAAAACACATCATGAGACAGTAAAACATTTAATCCACAATTATAAGTAGAGCCATAATGTTTTACCAGTGTTTACTTACACTTGATCTTTGCCGTTGATGTCTACAAACAATATCATACATCAGTATTATAAACGCACACAAAATAGTATACACAAAAAATGCATAACAAATACCTTTGACTTGAATTACTTTGCAGCCGTGATTTGGCCGTTTAGATAAATGTTTGCACATTCGGTTTCCACCTGACGAGTCCATAAGATCACATTTGAGACATACCAGCGTTACTCTGTATATACATATAGTAAAAAAATTGTAAAAGTGAGCACTTTAAAATACACAGTTATTGCAAAATAAGAAACTGTACTTTAACGATGAAGAACATTTTCCATTTTCTTTTGCAAATCGACTCTTGCTAATTGTACTATGAAATCTGCAAAATACATAAAACTTCAATTAAAAGAAAGTCAAAATAATGTCAAGTTAAATAGTTGTTAAAGTTACCGTATCATATGATTTCCTATGGCTTTTTTACAATGTGTCTTGTAATTGCAAGCACCACAATTTAATAACATTGGGAAATGAGAAAAGAAGTCAACAACGGCACCATTGCATTCAATACATTTGTTCAGTTTTCCGGTTGGTCTGGAAATAACATTCATGAACGTTCATTAGAAGGCTGCAGCCTCAAGTACAGACATTAGCAGGTAAAAATATCAACTTACCTGAAATTTTTAAGGACCAAGTTATGTTTGGGGGTTCGTTTTTGTTTCTTTTGAGACAAGGTCGATTTACCAGGGCCAGAGTTTTTAAACCGTGACTTCTGAGCAGATTTCTCGGTTTGTAGAGTCTCAGAAGTGACGATGAGACCAGTTTTCGAATGTAAGGTCGACATTTGGGGTTTTCCAGACAATGATGCCCGAATGGTTACCTAACCAACAAGACAGACATAAAGCTTATAGACATAACTCAAAAATGTGTGGCAACATTTGATTTAAATAAAACATTAACAATATAAAATACCTTTGTTCCAGGGGGGAGCCCTTCCAGAGCTTCTGGTTTTCTAAATGTCTTGTGGAGTTGTACACGATGATCCACTTTTTCTTTAAATGACAGAAAATTGAGTCTGCATTTTCCACATCGAAAAATTCCCTTTTTCTATTGAAAGAAAACAATATCAAATCTAAATCCTGTTAAATTGAGTACCTTTTTCTAACTTATTATTCAAGAGAGCTAATCAACATTAATAAATAGGTCTATATATTTTTGATGGGAGAGTGCCTGTACAAATTCAAGTGTATTGTACCACCCAAAAAGTCACACATTTGACAAATAACATGCTGGTTGTAGAATCACCTAAGCCGATTTTACAAACCTGATGTTTCATGTAGTGCTGCATATAAATGTGGCCACTTTTAACCACTTTGAGACAAAAGGGACATAGTAGGTCTTTAGTATTTCCATGTGCTTCTCGAAAATGCGTTTCCACATCTGAGAAGAAGGAAGTAATCTGAAATTGCAAACCTGTGGGAAAAGGTCATTTAAAAACAATAATAAAAATTGGAAAAAAAAAAAAAATATGCCTTTACTGATTTCCAAGACTCACAGAATATTGTGTGCTATGACTTGTGAAAAATATGAATACAAAGACTGGACTGTCTACTTTCAGCAGCAATAATAAGTTCGTTTTTAGCTTGTTTCATTCTCCTGTGATCTCCAGTCGAAAAGAGGGGAGTGTGACAAAAAGCACCAGTCTTAGAAAAAAAGCTGAGAAAATGAGGTGTTTGTGAAAACAGACGAACCTGCAGAAAAGTGACTAACACTATTTAGTTTAACTTTACCATCTCCTCAAACATGTCCAGAGTCTTACATGTTAGAAAACAGCAGCAACACGTTATGAGAAAGTGTTTTTGATGCAAAATAATGTTTTATGGCACACACCCACAAAGTGTTGCTCGAATATTTCAAAATGTACTCATCCAAAAAACGTCAAAATATACATATTGAAAGTAGAGCCCATGACAAACTAAGCCAGAAAGAATGGCCAGTTGATGTCGAAAAAGAGTAAAACTCAGAGATAAGCTATAAATTACAATGATAAACACTATAAATAACAATAAATCAAAGCAAACAGACTATATACTTATACTATAAGTGCAATAGAATACTGTTGTGTGTCTTTGTGTTTGGGCGCGCATGTATGTGCGTTTATGCACGCGTTTGTGAGGTTACATCTACAGAGTGTCGCTCTGTTTAGTCCAGCGAGCGTTGTGACCATAACTGGACTTTGACGCTGGCTCCTGAGGTGGGGTGGACTCAGTGATAGTTTTAGCAATATTCCACTTTTCTGTGGCATTTTTGGGGCGCACCGCTGACCCTCCACATGGTCTCTGGAGACACATTTACTGCTCAAACTGCCTCCAAATGTAGCCTGACCCTGAAAATATTACTCCATACCTGCTTCACCTCTCTCTCCTGCACACAATGCTCAGACAGTGATCTTTGACCAAGACACCCACAGCCAAACCCCTGACATATATGATACAGGGAGGTTTCAAATAAGGCCGCACATTCCTGTAGTTTGAGCTAGCGTGCTGGATTTAAAAAATGTAAGACGTAAAAACAGTGAAAAAAATCCGCACAGCTATGTAGCTCTCAATCAGTTTTATTTACACACCAAAAACTTTGCGTTTTGGGCTGAGGCCTGTCTGACGAAGGGCCTCAGCCCGAAACGTAACGTTTTTGGTGTATATATGATACAGGGGACACAGACAGGAAAAGATTGAAAAACAATGTTGACGTCAATTGACGTTGTATTACAATGGCAGTCAATGAGTTGGTTCACAGGTAGAGAACCATGCCTCACACAACCCTTTTGTCCCCGTAGCTCCCTGCCTCGGCTTTTTGGTTTTGCGAGATGTGTGTAAGATATCACTTGGTCTACCTAGCCCATCATCTCCATGAATAATTCACATCCACAGGTAGTAGTGAAAAGTATAAAACTAACCTGACATTCGTAGGGCATTTCTCCAGGTTTGTGATTATTTTTCATGTGGTCCAGAAGAACTTGTTCTGACTCAAAGGCCAGCTCACAAATCTTGCAATTGGCTGAAAAAAAATTACCCCTTTATTTATAATGACTTATACAAAATGTGTATAATAGATAGTAAGGGCTCCTTATACTTGTTGAGTCAATTTGGCTGTGAGCCCCCTCTATGTGACACTGTAGCTGGAATGGAGTCAAGTACTGTCGGTAGCAATGCTGACAGGTTGTATGGCTTTCAAAGCTTTCGCTATTCTGCTTTTCCAGCTCCAGGTGATGCTTCATATGGTTCATAAACCTAAGAAATTAACACACAGAGCTATTAAACCTGACAAAAAACTTATTTGCAGGGGGAAATAACCACGCATAAAAGTATGTATGACATCATGAAATTAGAGCAAAATCGTCCTCATTAAGTTTATAGTTCTACATGTATGCCGGGAAAGCAGACAATTGCAAACGATTTTTGTTTTCAAAACAAATCAATATTGTGCTGTCAACACACTAAGCTATTTAATTTCTGCTTTGCTAATTAAAAAAGATAAAACACTTTTCAGGTCAAGGTTAATGACAAAACGATGTAGAACGCACATGCTCTTAATCTGCACTCAATGAAAATAATATATTATAAACTCCTCCCCTTAACCAATAGTTCAATAGTGAATGGAATTATTCATAACCACATGCAAACAGCGCCTTCAGAATAATTCCCAACAGGTTTTAAAAGATAAATTAGGCTTTGGTCTTGCACCCCACATTCTAAGCATGTATAATGGCCCTTATAATATCTGCAATTATACATAGATTTTAGTTTTGCCTAATGATGTAGTGCCCTGCGGTTACACTAAGCACCACTACAGGTAGCTGCCATCGGTGCCCTGACGAGGCTTGGCCTATTTTTCAGCTGGTACATTATGCTACCTCAGCTCCCCTAATAGACATTTTTATGTGGATGAACCATGACCTTGACAGTGAGAATATGGTTAGAGTACAAATGTGTATCCCCATTAAAAGCAGCTTACAGATGCTTTTTTGCAACATTCTGAAGTAGTTATTTAATCAAAGGAACAGTTCTTATGCCACCTAAACTAGCAACTATTTTTCATTTTTAGGCCCGTGAGAGAAAATGACATGAGGCTTTAATTTATCTTAGAGGAAAATCATGTAAGAGTCAAGGAAGGCATGTTTATTGTTTATTGGCACAGTACACTGTTCAGTGTCAGCCAGTTATTGAATGACAGATTTGGTTTGTCGTTCTTTTCAACGAGTTTCTGAATCATCCAAATTAATGTTTTGTTTATTTAGTGTGTGGGGCTGTATTCAAAATATTGGTATTGCAATTTATATCATAACGTACTTCCAGAAACAACAAATTATGAATTACAGATTTACTGACCAGGTGACAAACTGCATCAAGGCAGAATCTACTGGTGAGAACAAAATCTATCAATTCTAATGAATTTCCAATGCATATTGTGATTCTAAAAATTGCGATTGTTGACATAAAGTTTGAACAGTGTATCCCACGCCGCCCTAATGAATATGCAATTCTGTATTTTAGGTCATGATAATTATACCACAGAAATGTACATGAAAGCACTAATGAATTATCTGCAAAGTATTCAAGGACTCACCGAATATTATTCTTTAGCACTTTCAAGCAGCTATGGCATTTAAAAGTGGTTGCTCTATCAATCTCCGGTGTATAGCCATCTCCTTCAAATTTGCCATAGTAGAACTCTCCGACCAGCATTATACGCTTCCCATCACCAGCGTTTTGTGGTGCTGGCGATGCACCTTCATGAATGACGGCCGGTTTACAACTCTTCAACCAAAAAATATACAGATGAAATGTGCTTCGACCATAATCTTAAATTGTTATACAGTCAATGCATTTATTTAATATAAAAAAAAACTTCATAAATAGCTTACCATCATATGACTTTTAAATGCCTTTTCATCAAAGGTAATTTTGCAGTATGTACATTGATGATTAGCCAAACCATTTTTTGTAATGTTACTTGACTTTGGATATGCTTTGAATAAATAAAAGGACAGGTTAGGACGATTTGGCATAACAAGATTATGAATGCAAACATTTTGTACATTTGTACAAAAATGGCTGTATCCGTAAGATACTTACACTTTAGTTGCAAAGATGTGTTGGGCTGCGTTACTTGCATTGGACTGGGTTTATTGTTGAATACAGGTGGACCGTGCATTTTTGACAATGTTACAATGTTGCCTAATTGTTGCATCTGAGGCCTATGGACTGCACCCTGTATTACAGATGTCGCAGAAATTGGTTGAAATACCTGTGACTGGGCTGAAACAAAGAAACAGAAAAACAAATCAAACTAAACCTGCGCGCAGCGTACAACCACCCTCGCCGCACCGCGCAACCTTGCACCACGCAATGCTGCACCGCGCAACGTCACACTGCGTATAGCCCTAATGGGAAAAAACACTGTTTATTGTAAACATTGCAATGCATTTGATTAGTAAGTGCATGTCTCCATTGAATAACAAGGGAACCTTCCTTCGTCTCAAAACAACCCCAAAATTCCAGCCTGCTGCATAACTGTTAAACTGAGAAAAAAAATGACAGCAGACTTTTGATGCTACACTTGTTTACAGTATGTGGAGCGAATTTGAGCCCAGTTGGCATAAACGGCCGAGGCTGGTTTGGCAAAGTGTACATGTAATTCTTTAGATCGCTCTGTAGGGGGTGCCAATGCTGCAATTTCATGTTACTCACGTTCAGCCAACGTAGATCAAACAGTTGAACAACTGATTCACGTTTGGTGTTAAACAGGAGCAAATTTAAAAGTGTCCAATTTGGGTAAATAAGTAGAATTTGCTGCTCTGCTGCTTTCACAGTGTTTAACTGGTCAAAATTCTGCAGCTAACTTTTGATCTGTTGAGATGATGTGGAGCAATTCTGAAATAAATTGGTGAAACAATCGAGGCTGGTCTGTTAAAAGTGGGGGTGAAGATGAGAGATTTTATTATTTTCCCATTAACACAGAATGGGGAGTGTTTGTCATTGCCACGGCAACACGGTGAAAAATAAAACATGCATTCAAATGGCTTTTTGGATCGGAATGTCATAACAGAATTGTGCAAAATGTTACACATTTTGACAAAACTAAATTTCTTCATGCCCATTAAAAAAAAATGTAGGCTCACTCTGTAGGGGGTGCTCATGCTGTATTTTCATGCGTTTCACTTTCAGCTGACCTAGACCTCTTTGGACTTTGTATGTGTAAGCGGGAGCCAATTTGAAATTCTCAAAGTTGGAGGAAAAAAAGTGCACATTAGTCGCTCCGCTGCTTGAACACTGTTTAATCAATCACAATTCTGAAGTTATCTTTTGATGCTACTTGTGATTAGATGATGGAGCCATTTTGAGCCATATCTATGAAACGGCTGAGGCTGGTTTGTTTTGTAATTAAATCTTTTCCTCCCCATGTATACCTTTGGCTCATTCTGTAGGGGAAGACTGCTCAAACCTGCATGAGTAGCCTGGTCGTACCACACCATAGTACAAATTACATTTCGTACTAAGGTCTGGAGGTGCTCCATTGAGCTCCGTTTACAGGTGGGAGGGGTTAACTTCTTTTGCAGATTGAAACGATTGGATCAGAGTTTACCGTGACGTATGTAGTGCGCCCGAGTGAGTTGTTAGCATTTAGCCTAGCCACAATTTTTCCAGCAATTACATTTGCTAAACATTACCCTTGCTCCGGCTTCAATTTCTTGATAGAACCAGACCAGATTACATTACTATCGCATTTTTCGCCATTACCAAAATACAACCTGCCTGTTCGACGCAAACTCTTGACATCACCCACAACTAACTACAACACCTGCCTTCCGCGCTCTCTGAATGGTCGGTCGAAATTCAACCGATTGTAATCGCTAACATTGGGACCAGACCCAGACGTTACATGCAGTGAAATGATGATTGAACGGACTGTACAGATGGCTAAGGCCAGGCTACTGCATGAGTAAACAGGAGCAAATTAGAAATTCTCAAAGTTAGGGAAAAAAAATAAAATAAAATAAAAGTCCAGTTTTGCTGCTCCGCTGCTTGCATACCGTTTAACCCAGGGGTGTCAAACTCATTTGGGTAGAGGGCCGAATAAAAAAGGAAAGGGCTGATCAGGGGCCGAAACAATAAGAGAGTTTCATTTGACTTTGACACCTGTGGTTTAACCGATCAAAAATCTGTGGCCAACTTTTGATTCTACATGTGTAGAAGATGTGGAGCAATTTTCAGCCAAATCTGTGAAACAACTGAGGCGGAGTTGATGCTCATACAAAATCTACCGTTGGCTGTAGGGGGCAATAACGCTGTAATTTCATTTTTTTTCACATCCAGGTGAAGTAGATCCGAGTTGCAAATCAAACTTTGTATGAGTAAACAGGAGCAGATTTGATTTTTTCTTTTTTCAAATGCTCCATGTGTGTTGATATGATGCTAAAATGTTGAGAGAAATTTGTGAAACGGCCGAGGCGCAGTTGATGTTCATACAAAACCTACCTTTGGATCAGTCTGTAGGGGGCACTAATGCTGCAATTTCATTTCACATCCACGACCCATAAGTTGAACAAACGATCCAAATTTAGTGCAAATTGGCAAATAAAAAAGTTTCCATGTTAGAAAAACATAAATTTTCTAGAAAAAGCGGCAAAATAGTTTGTTGCGCAGCTCGAGCAGTTTCACCAATAAAAATTCAACTTTGATGTAGGGATGTAAAAAACGATGAATTTTCATGACCGACCACCGAGCCTGATTAACCGGTTGAAACCGGTTAACCGCGTAGTTTAAAATAGTCCACGTTCTTTGAAATAACAGCCATTTCGAGCCACGTACTTTTCATAAGTGCAGCTCTGCGTTCTACTGGATCAGAGCCGAGACAGAGGCGCCCAAACCCGCAACAGCTCCGGCACCTTTGAGCACAGAGAACTGCTTTTTTAATCTTCCCATTCTGCTGTGCTGCGGGTTAATACCAAAACTTTCTAGCAGCAAACGACGGCTCGTTCACATGGTCAGAGCAGCGAGTGACGAGCCGCGTCTCACAGGTCTTCACAAAAGTTTAAATACAAGTGATGTGTGTGGAGCTGATCCCGAGGACCATAAACACAAACATGTTCCATGTGGTTTGACTGGAGCCGCGTATTTGCGCGAATCCTTTGGGCTCCGTGACACAGAGGAGCGCGACAGACCGGTATGTGTGTGTGTATGTGTATGTGTGTGTATGTGTGTGTGTATGTATATGTGTGTGTGTGTAAATGTAAGCTCCAATGTAGTTCTGACCCGCGCCAGTGTGCAACTTTGACGGTAACAGAGGGGAGAGATGATGCGTGTGGATGTTACGTATGGAGAGGGGGAAAGTGTGTGTAAGCGCGTGCACATATGTGGCTCGTGCGGCGTGAGAGTCGTCCCGGAGTTTATAATACATTGGCGCACACAGCTAGAGACAGACCCGCTCGTCACACCGTGCAAATAGGGCTTAAAATAGCGTTATTAAGAGACCTCCCCTCTCCCCTTTTTCTCTTTTTTAACCGACAGCTTTGACCGGTTAACGCTGTAACGGTCAACCACCGGTTAAACGGTCGCCGATTTACATTCCTACTTTGATGCTACATGTGTTAACACCAGAGGTTTGCAACTCAGGGCTCTGTTGCTCCTTGAGTGTTGCTCCTACATCTTTTTAATGTGGCGATATGCCTTAAAAAAATATAAAAAAGTTTACTCTAAATTTCCCCATGGAGCATAAGTGTAACAGGAAATAAGCCTTAAAACATGCTTGTAAAAGACATGGACCTGCCATTGTAAACAGTGAAAATGTAGCTTAAGTTTTCTAATAACTTCACTTACAGTGACACACTGCACCTTCAAAATAACTTAAAAACGCACAAACGAGGGCCATAGCAAATATATCAATCGTATTAAACACCTGAATTATTTACATTAAATATCACATTTTTTAAACTAATGATTACTCTAAATACAATTTTTACAACAGAGAAAGTCTTTTACAAAAGCCTCCTTCGGTGTTCATGCTTGTTCTTTAAACCGTGCCAGAGCAACTGTGCTGTAGTACAACGCTCGGTCCAGCTGGTGGCGCTAAAACTAACTTCAGTGACTACCGCGTTGTGCGAGTCAAGTTTCCATTTCTCTTCCTGTTTACACTCTGCTACTGTAGCGCTAACAGCTTGAGCACTCTGTTTCTATCTGTGAGCGTTGTTTGTATCAGAGCAATAAGAGCAATGTGTGAGACATGTCTTTCCCCAAAGTGCAGCAGCTCAGTGGGACACGTGTGTGTGTGCGCGTCGCGGAGACGGGAACGCGCTTTGGAGTAAGAAGCGTGAGCGCTGAGAAAGGAATGAATGAGAATGAAAGAATGAAAAGTGTGGCGTACGAGCAGAGCGACCGGAAATAAACCCATTTCTTATTTAATATAGATATAAAAAAGGTACCTTTTTGTATTATCATTACACATCAGATATAGCTTAAGTTTTCATCTGTAGTTCTATCGTTTTTAATGGGATGGGAAACCAGAACATCCAGAGGAAACCTACACAGGCAGAACATGCAAACTCGACTCCGAAAAGCCCTGTGCTGTCTGTCGGACCCAGGACCTTCTTGCTGTGAAGTAAGACGGTCCATCCATTTCACTTTGTCAAATTAAACCGCTATTCTTGGACTCAAACTACCTTCAGGTTAGTAGGCACTTTAATACAACACAAATGAATTTAATTTGCCACTTTTCTGTAAAATGATTTTTTTTTAATTAGATTACCTGATATGAATGCAATTGAAGAGCCAGGAGTCCCAAGGGAGGCAATAAAATTACCATTGTTTGTCATTTGTGAAGAAACTATAAAGCCCTGAAACATGTAAAATATAAGTATTATATATTTATTATACACATATATAATTGAAGAAATGTGTCATTTACCTGGTTATTGACAACAATAGGCTGTGGTGTAATTGCTGACACAACAGGAGCAGGGGTATTCACAGGACTTCCCATCATATTTAGATGCAGCAAATGTGAAGGACCAGTAGATGGTTGAGGTTTGGGCTGTTGAATTACTATTTGTTTAGGATTGGAAACATCATCCATTTTTTCGTCAGCTGTTAAACACACCAATAATAAATTTAAATTGTCATTTGGATAATAAAATATCTATATATGCAAAGGATACGTACACACTACTCCGACAAATATGGGTTCATCATCATCATCCTCTTCAGTCAGGTTAATCTGAGGAAAGGACTTCTGCCATGGCTCCAACTCTTCTTCCACACACTCCATCACAAGCTCAGACATAATGGCCCTGTCACAGATTGAAAAAATATATTGGAGACACAAATACTGTAAAGGTATGGGTTAGTAAAAAAAAACAAATCTAATTAACCACAGTAATTCTCACAACAATATGCAATAAAGAGGCTTACAAAATGACAAAAAGTGTATGGGTATTCATAGATCGATCATACATTCCATTAAAAAGTGTAGTCCATGAGTTTGAATTACCCTCATAGGGCATTTTAAATACTATTCAAATGACATAGCATTTTGAAACCCATTGGTCGCCATTTGTGTCGGAAACATACACACTCTTGTGCGAACTACTAGCTAGCACATGACAATACTATCAAATCAGAGTGAATGAAGTCACTTAAGGCTCTGATATCATATCCCCGTTTGTTTCCGAAAACCACTACCCAATTTGTTGCGAAAAACTAAAACCATAACAACCTAAATTGTTGAAATGATCAACGTTGGCACAACGCAAACATTAGCTTCTGCTGTTAGCATATCATAGTGGAGCAACTCGGACAAAGACAAGAGGTCGCCTGCGGAAATTTATCAAACTAACCAGCAGACTGGTGATACTTTTCCACCCGGTTAAGTCAAATCTTGCAGGAAACACTGCAGTTGGGCAGTATATTAACAGAAGCACAGGGAGAGCGGTCCGGGCAGCTCCAAGTCTGGAGCAGTCGTGGCGGACTACAATCCGACCAATCAGGACTTTGGTTGGATCCGTCTCCATTTACTTCCCCTTTGCAAATTCCACTTCCTGGATGTATAAAAAAACACACAGTAAGCTACTAGTTTATAAGTTGCACAGACAAATACCAAATAAGAAGAAAAGATAGGAGAGTTTTGCTAAATATTCAAATAATCTTCCAAGTTGGACTGAAATTTACATTATGATAGAACTCGGCTATTTGGTCATTTTACTGATTATATATATATATATATATATATATATATATATATATATATATATATATATAAATATAAATACACACATATATATATATATATATATATATATATATATATATATATATATGTGTGTATTTTTTTTATATATATATACAAAATTGTTGTAATCTCACAATTCACAATTACCATCTAAAAATTGGTTAATTTATTTGTATTATTATTTGTAATATACCAGATTTATAAATATTAATAAATGTTTTGCACAGAGGTGATACGGTACCACAGCTACTCTGACGCACACTGACAGAATCAAGGCAACCAGCATGGGACACTGACCGAATAAACTCATTCTAGGCAATGTCGGTGAAGAGCATGGTGAAGGGTCACTTTGCACCATAGCACCGGGTGATCCTAGACGTCTAAATCATGGTACTAATCAAGCTCTGTCCTTTCTGGCTTCCGAGGTCTGATGGAATCTGGCTTTTACATGCAAGTGGCACCAGATATGTAAGCTAACAAAGTACAATTGTGAGGAGAGTAGTTATACTTAATTTCACAGGAGATTTTCAACATTAAACAGAAATTTAGATCACCCATATTATACCAAAAATGTATGTGTTTATTTCATTCAATTCATTTCCAAATAATTAAATAGTACATTTTATTTAAAAAGTAAAATTCAAAAACATCTGATCCACTTTTAGCTAAAGAATTTGACCGAAACATATTTTATGAGCTGCTATCTTTCCTGCATATGGAACAAATGAATATGTCATTTTAGAAGGGACTGTTTTGGATTGAATGTTTTTTTTTTAAAGCATTGATCGAAGTATTGGTAATAAAGGCTCAGTGTGATTCAGAAAATATCATAAAATGACGTGCGTTTGTCCAACAGGTGGCAGTCTGGATTGAACAAAACTAACAGATGTGCTGCAGGAAGATCCACATGCAGTAAGTGTTCCCAACAAGAGAGAAGCACTTTTTCGCCAAGAACCATATACAACATTAAATGTTTCTTCCCATGTAAACATGAAAACAAATAAAACAAATAATATATGTCTAATATCCGTATATAAGTTGTGATGAAATGAACCTTGTATTTGTGATACAGGCCTTTATGATCACTGTTGAGACTTGGCTAAACGTTGTAAAATGGACATTCATTGTGTATTAAGCCTATTGTGGACAAATCTAATTTTATTGAGGGAGACTAGTAGGCTCGCTCGTCTAACATATTGGATTTGAGCACCGCGGAGGAAAAAGTAGTTCCTCCAGAGGCGCTATTGCGCTGAACGACTGTGATCTTTTGTCGTTTTAAGTATATTTGAATCTCAAAGAACACAAAGCAAACTGTTTTCTCTCTTGAGTATTATCGTTAGTCTATGATACACCGTAGACTTGTGGGTGTCTAATATTGTGTGTGCTGTAACTTTGTGACTGTGTCTGTGGCAGATGTCCTACACACCTGTCGACATAGGAGTTCATTGACTAACTAATGTTTGAGTGTCTGTCCCTGTTTGATGCATTTATTATTAGGCAATTTGAATATGCAAATCAGACCAGATGATTCCTTCCCAGATACAAGTGCCATGTCCAAATCGTTGGCGAGTGGGTTGTCACTAATACATAAGTTCTTTGCGTTTCTTGCTTCAGCTTGATCGTACAATCTGAGGGTCGTATCTCTTGTCAAGTGCGTTCATGTTTGCAGCCTGGATCACAGAGTCGCACCTCGACTGATTCACGAGCAATGGATTGGTGACGGCTGCGCGCGGGTCAGGCAAGGCGTGTGCTTGTGCGTGTGCGTGTGTGCGGTACAGTCTACGGTCCCTCAGCACCCCGCTGTGCAGAGGGGTCTGTGTGGGACTTTCATGTAACCGTCTCAGCGGAAGGATACAATCACCACTGTCATCGTGGTGCTGAGGCTTTCGCAAAGCAAAAATGTCTGCCTAAGGGAAACTCGTTACTGATATATAGAGGATTATTTCCTAGATAGAACCACGCAAACTCGCATTTTCCTGCACTGAGCCTTATTGAAGAAAGAGAAGCATCATCAGATCACCCTAGTTGGATATTTTGTATCGGTTTAAGGTAATAAAGGGAGTTTGTGAAAAGCTTTCTGACCAGTGAAATAAGTTAGGAGTTGGGGGGTACATCACTGGACTCAAAACAATCTCAATCAGCTTTTGTTTATGTTGTTTATTTATGCTGTATTTAATTTTACAATCTATATTATGCTTGGTTTTCTGTTGTATTGTTTACAATCGATGTTGCATGGCGTGTCCGTATCTCCGCGACTGCAGTCTGCCGCTAGCTCTTTAAGCCTGAAAAGAGACAGAACGGGGGCTAATGCTACTGCTAACCCCGCGATCAGAGACCCCATAATTTTCACTCGGACTGGATTTGGTTCAAGCATGCTGTCACTTAAATCGGTGATAGCATGCTGGGTAATAACACCTTGTTCAGTGAGTTGCAAACATGTGTTGGGAGAGATGCGACAGTGATGCACATGAGGACAATTGTTACCGCAATAGACCATGATGCGGATCTATCTTAAACGCCTATTATCTGCTGATTAATCGACGTAATTAGCTCAAAAGATGTAAAAGAGATATACAAAAGTTTAATTGAATGTCATGCATACGTACTTTCACTTGAAGCAAAAAGAACCAATGACAAATATACTTCGACATTCATATTATTCTCCATGACAGTCACATCTTGTGCCTCCTGCAGACATGTTCATTAGTGACATCGGTGTGTTTCAGGTTTCCAGACGGACAACAATGAATCCTCAGCAGCGGATTGCCGCTCTCGGAACAGACAAGGAGTTAAGTGACCTGCTGGACTTCAGTGCGGTAGGGCGCTCTTCGCACTTTCCTGTGGTGATGGGGTAAAGGGGCAATTAATGAACGCACTAAAATATGCTTATCACAAAGGCAAAGTTGTATTGTTTTGTTACTAGGCCTACGGATATTATTTTAGTAGATGTTAACCATTGTAATGTTTAGTGGTGTAATTATAACAGAGTGTATAATTTTTTTGTATTTTGACCCACAATATATACAATTACAAAAAAATGCTAAACTGTGCTAAAATATAAATGCTGCTTTCTAACTATTGTTACTAATTTCATACACAAGTACAGTTGTGCATGAAATTATAGTATAGTAATTTCATACACAACTGTATAGTTGCGGTTTACAAAGTAACAATTGTAAACCGCTTTGTGACTCTGGTCTGTGAAAGGCGGTATATAAATAAAGATTACTTACTTACTTACTTACTACCAACAGTGGCCTGCTGTTTTGGGGCTTTGGTTATTGGCTTATATATTTACCTATCATTACAGATGTTCTCGCCACCTGTAAATGGAGGGAAAAACAGGCCCACCACACTGGGAAGCAGCCAGTTCAGTGCCTCAGGTAAAACCTGTGTCTAAAAACATTACAGAACCTTTTTTTTCTTTCTTAAATTATCTGTCTGTTGATCTATAAAATCCACACTCACTTTATTTGCGTTTTTTGGAATTTGAAGAATCAAGTGATTGTTTCTGATCGTTGATGTCTGGTTGTGGACCTAGAGTCTGAATAATAAAAACCATACCTGGGTTTGTCACGCAGTTGTAGTAATGACGTAGTGCAAAAGTTATGTCTGAGAAACTTAACCAGCTTGTTATTGATTCAATTATCATTGGTAATCAAGAGTATGGATGGATCACACTCATATCTGTCAAATCAAATGTGCGTTAAAATAATTGTTTAGTTATGGTCTTGTGATACACACTTGACCAATAATGTAACAATATAGTCGTATCCTCACCATGTTATGTAATTTTATGTGCTTGTAATGCATTAAAGAGACATTTTACAGTCGATTTGCAGTTTAGTATACTCTTTGTGACCTCTTTTGTTGCTACGCTTGATGTCCTTGTGTAGGTCTAGTTGCCTCTTTCCTTCTTTTGATGAAGATTTACATGTTTTGATGTTGGGTGTTGTTGATCACTTCCTAAAGCTCTAAATGGACATTTATGCAAAACATCTATTGTCCTGCTGAAGTAAGTCAACAATCAAGCATTATGTTGGTTTAATGAAAGCATGTCTTGTGTTCATCCACAAAGCACTGTTGTCTTTAGTTGGCTGTGAAACTAAAGAAGACTGAGTGGAGACTGAACAGGATTGACAACACGTTAGACGATGTTAGAATAGATACTGGCTAATATTTTTGAAGTAATTTTGAAATCTGGTTTGGAGATTATTATTCACAGTTTGAAATAGACCATATAATATTACAATTATTGCATTATTAGCCCAGAATACTTTGTAAGATACTTTGGCTTTCGATTGCGTATTGATCAATTGTGTGTTGATCATCAATAATGCATAAACACAGTGGACCAAGACCCAATAACTCATTATTCAAATGAATAATGTTTTGATAGAATAGTTTTATTTATTATGTTTTTTATATTTCATTTTCATGTTTGTATGACAATGCATATGGAAGTATAAGTATACATGTAGTTTGATAGTTTGTGCTAATTAATAAAAGCATTTGATTCTTTCTCCTCTTGGTCTTTGTTACCACTAGGGCTGTTGTCAACTAAAGAATTTGGTATTCGACCAAATAAATATTCAATCATGCCTCACGTGGTGCTTAGTCAACCAAAAAGAAGAGAAATGAAAAAATTGTGTATTGTAACCTTGTTTAAAGTCCATATTGATGATTCAAATGTAGAATGTATTACTATAATCTGTAGAAGTAATTGAATTGTAGACTACAGTTGTTTTCATACTAGTGCAGACCCGGTATTTAAGCCTAGGACCAAATGGCTTGCCGACCTGTGATACCAAGCAAGGAGTTTTTTGGACCAGTGTTGGCCTTTCACTACAGGGAACGTGTCAAAATGAAAGGATCGAGACAAATTTAGGTCTTCTAAAGTCATTGCAGGAGTACCAGGAGCAGAGGGAATCGTATTATAATGGACCTTGACTAAGTTCATCATACGGGGAAATGTGGACACTTTCCTACACATTTTTACAAGGATAACTTATTACAGGAAAGAGCAGCACGTGTAGCTGCCTAAACTTTGATGTCCTAAACACAGCTCCACAGCTTGTTATTCTGTCATCACACATGGTATTGTCTCGCATATGATTTGTGTGTAGTTTTATTACCTTCACCTGACCCACATGTAAACAGCAGGCTATAAAACAGTGCAGTGTTTTAGCTCGTTTTTGCTAATTGACAGGCAAGCAACAAGTAGTTAGAGAACTAAAAGTTTTATTTACAATATTAGTATTAAAACCATGGTATTGTTGTTCAAAATTAAAAGTTGAAGAATAAATATATACCAAATTAAAAACATTTTAATTTGGTATATATTCATTCTTCGACTTTTAATATTGTTCTGATATGCAGTGAATATTTGATAAATAAGAAAATATAAATATATAACAAATGGTATTCAAGCAGCTATTGCTTACATCAACCGACAGTGCAGATACCTTGAGTACTAAGATTAAAAGGAGATTGACTTCTTGTAGATGTTCCTGGCTGATACTTAATACTAAGTTCTATACGGTGTCTAAAACCATAAAGTGCAACCTTAAACAGATGCACTTTATAGCCTTGGTGTACAATCAAAAATTATGAATGTGATTAATTGTAATAATATACTGGAGCAGAATAAAATTATCCTGCAGTAAACCCTTTTATTGAGTCAAACAAGAAGTGTTTCTCATAATCCTCCGACTTGTCCTGCATGTGGTCCTGGGTCTCTAATCTTCGAGGTGGGAACAAGCACCTCCATAAGTGATAGTGAACATAAGGCAAGACTGAGTGTGCAGACACAAGTGTGGAAATTGCTGGGAATGAGAGTTTGGATTATTGCATCTCAGCTGGGCACAGCTCGATAATTGAGCCGGAGTGGGACTGGCAAGACCCTTCAGATGTGAGCCAGAGGAAGAGGGATGGGAAAAAATAGCCAAAGTACCTCTGACCGAGATTCAACACTGCTTCTTTCCAGCTGTGTTGATGATGCAGGTTTGATGAGGCCATTGACTCTTCAGTGAAGCTGTCACTGCATGAGCGCTGCTAAATAGAGGATTTTCATTTAGTGCCATCATGTAGTGTTTTGTTTGGTTCTTTATGGAGTGAATCATCTGCATCCAAACTCAACACATGTAGGCCCATCAACCAGACAGAACATATTGTACTCTACATATTACTGTATTTCTCCAACAATGTAATCCCCCCTAACCCAGGGGCCTCAGAGCTACTTCAGGGTCCTTCAAAGTTTAAACTCTGAAATATTTATAATATGTATGAAATGGACAAATATTTATAATTACTGCATGAATGGTGATTTAGATGCAACCCGTTAAGTTATTATTAGGCCCGAGCCCCAACTGAGGTAAGGGCCTATTGCTTTTCCAACGGCACAGCCCGGAGATTGTGACCTGCACGCGACGGCGCGTGCCCAGACACTGATAAATCCGTGCTGGAGGCACTGAATGGCTTTGCTCCTGCTGTAGTACACAGTGTAATGAATGGGGTCCTATGGAGGGCGGTGGGTGACCTCATGATGGCGAGGTGATTGACAAGCGCGATACCGAGAACCCAATAGTTGCGTTCGTCTGGTCGTTCGCTTTAAAACGATGTATCATTTGTATTATAGGTTACTATGGAAACTTATATTGTTTTTGCTCAAAGATTTTGGGAAAAAATTCCTTCTTTCTTTCTTTCTTTTTTCTTCTGCACTTTGAACCTTAATTTGACCCCCTGAACATTGATGAAAAGTTGTGAAATGTTGCCCAAAATTCAGAACCGGCAAAAAATGTATTTTTTGGGTGTTTATTTTTATGGGATAAAAAAAAATGCCCGAACAGCGCCCCCTACAAAAGTCAGTTTACATTGCGCCTATGGGAGTGGGTCGGAGGTCAAGTTTATTGTAGAGCCACAAAACTCGGTACACATGTTCCTCAAGTCAAGACATGAAAAAAAAGTTATTATGGCTCCGCCCCCTGACAAACAGGGAGCTCATTAATTTCAATGGGAAATGGGAAAAATGAAAATGTATCTTTTTCACACGTTCCGGTTGGAAAACATCTCCTCCTCGGCCGTTTCACCGATTTGTCTCAAAATCGCTCCACATGGTCTAAACACATGTACCATCAATTATTCAATATAGATTTTGGATCAGTTAAACTTTGTCCGAGCAGCGGAGCGGCAAAATGTGCCTTTTTTTGTTCAATTTTTGATAAAAGTAAATTTGCTCCCGTACAAATAAAGTCTGATTTGCACAATTTTTTTATCCATTGTTCAGCTCCAGGGTCTTGGTCCCTTCACCTGACCCACGTGTAAACAGCAGGCTATAAAACAGTGCAGTGTTTTAGCTCGTATAAATATATACAGGAAAACAAAACAAAAAAGAGAACATTACAGCTGCTTAGTCCATGTTAAAATTTTTATTTTGAAAATGATTGCTCTAATACATTTCTCTAGTCCCTATTTCCCCACCCCACCAGGTTCTCACAT